TATGGCCCTCACTTCCATACATCACTACTGGGAAAACCATAGCTTTAACTATACAGACCTTTGTCGGCAAGGTGATGTCTCTGCTTTTTAAGACGCTGTCTAGGGATTGGGGGAGGATTGCCATGTGGCCCTCCAAACTTTTCTGGATCCCAACTTGCATCATTCTTGGCCATTGGCTTTGATGGCTGCAGTTTATGCAAGTTGGGAGTCCAACACGGGGGGAGGGTGGTGGCATGGGTTCCTCACCCCACTGCTGTCCTTCACAGGCTAATAGTTTGAGCCAAAGCATCTAGCCTAGCCTCCTCTATGTTGTATTTCCTTTCCATGGCAGGAAGATTTTCATGCTGGCCACTTTCAAACAAGCCCACCCCTACGTGCATTCTTTCAGTGTGGCTTGGTCACGTGGAGAAACTATAACAGGTGCCCTCCTGGATGCTAGAATCACCTGAGACTATTCCCATAACAATTAAAAGACACCCACTGCATAGAATCCTGGGAACTGTAGTTTTTTTTACGGATGCTGGGAAATGTAGCTTTGTGAAGTGTAAACTATAGATCTCAGGATTCTTGTGCCATTTGTGTGTGTGCTTTAAATGTACGGTGTGCGCGCAGCCTCACTCTTTGAAAAACAGTGCACTCTCTTAATTAATATGACTAAAGGGGAAATATTTGCTGCTTCTTTGTTCTCCCTATCGCTTGGATGCCGACTTTGCATATTTCTAAGGATAGGTTTGCTTAGAGAAGGGCTATGTTTTATGCAAATCTGTTTCTGCAGAAAAATGCCAAACATGGTTCTGGGGATATTGTGGGGCCAAGGAAATCAATGGGAAAAGAAGAAGCCAAGAGAGCCAATAGTCATGCCATGTGAGTACCAAGAACAAATGATGAATTTGTATGTCTTGAGTTACTTATACTGGTCTCAGATGCAGCTGGGGTGGTCATGTGAAAAAACGGGATGGGACTCCCGCACCTGCCATGGTTGTGCAGAAGAAGGGTGTTTAAGAAGTATAGCTTGTCCTGAGAGACACAACAGCTGAAATTCTCTCTTCTACACCACTATTGAAAGGTCTGCAAGGCTTATTCCCCCCCCCCATCCACTCTCCTTTTAAGCTCTTCTGAAAGAAGTGGGGCAAATTAGTCATGACTAACTGCTTTCGTTAATTTCAGTGGGACCTAGTCATTACTAGCTTTAGCTGGATCAGTGCCATTTGTTCATTATCTTAAAGACAGTCTTGTTAACTTCATAAGCTTTGCTTACATTTACAAATAAAAGCGTTAGTAGGAAATGCAAAACTCAAAACCAGCTTTAGTATTCAGGTGGAATTTGTATGTATATATGTGTGTGTGTGTGCATGTGTGTGTGTTTGTGTATACTGTATATATCTCCTTAAGAAGGAGTCTCCTTAAGAAGGAATCTCCTTAATGAAAGAAGGAATTGTTTAGAAGGAATTGATTTTAGATTTCTTATGGGAGTGCATATTGCTTTGAACAATTCTTTGTAGAGGTGTGGAAGCTAATTCTGTTGCTGAGTTGTTTTTTCCTGCGGGATTACAGACACAGCCCAGATCATACCATGCCAATTCTATAGCTCAGCTTAAGGATAGATGCCACCTTGTTTACATCTTTTGTCGCTGACAATTGCAGCAAGCTCCCAGCCAGTGCACATGGCCCGGAAAACCACCTTCCTCCTTGTTCTGCACTTCCTTCCTCCCAGCATGAAGCCCCCAGAGCCTTTGGCCATGTTCGGTAATCCCCTTCGGCTGGCAACCTGCCAAGGAGTAATTCCCTTGAGCCGACTTGTGGGTTATGGTGAGCAGACCATGCAAAGCTCTGCAGCCAGCAGTGCTGTACATTCAGGACATGACTTCACAACTCACAGAACTGCATGCTTTCTAGAAGCTACACGTTGCACAGGTTGAAGAATTAAGGGAAGTTCCTCTGCTGCTGCACACCACACAAGAGAAATACATGCAGACTGAATCAGATATTTTGGGACCTGGCACCAGTGATAATGTTAGGGAGTGGCCCTGAAAGCCCAAAAGCTGACCCCAGATCTCCAGCCTGCTCCCCCCCCCCCCCCGGTTTTAAAACTCCCCTTCTTTCTTTACAACTCTGCACCCTATACATTTGTGCAAATCTGCCATGGTCTGTGCCCGGAGTCCTTTAAGCACCTAGCAACACTCATCCTCAATGTGGCTCAAGTGCAAGCAATGCAGATCAGAAGCATGGTATGCAGTGGTACAGTGGAGTAGAGATGAAACACTACTACTTATTTCACAGTAGGGACTATGACACCATCTCCTGTGGTGCTATTTGCCAATCCTCCACATGCCATGCTGAATAAACAAACTTTGCTCAGAGAGAGGGAGCGAGCCACTAAATAAGCTAAGCAGAGGAAGAGGTAGGTTACATTGAACAAGCATGGCTAAGGGTTAGTCTGCCATTTTTATTTTGAAAAATTCCAAAGGCCTCAGGCTGGATGTTGAACAGGGTGGGAGGGAGAGGGAGAAAAAAGTAATGATATCTGCATTGTTCACAGGAACATAAAAAGAGCTCCCCTTGATCAGATCAAAGGCCCATCAAGCCCAGCATCCTTCAATTGTTTTTTAAATGCATATTTAACAAGGAAAAGAAGAAATAAAATTAAAGAACAGAGTGAGCGAACAGAAAATAATAATAATAATGAAACAATACTAACAATGACAGTAGACCACATCAGTACACAGTTCTTAAATGAAACATAAGCTAATATAAGCCTTGCAGATATCCGCACAAGATTGATGCCCATATGAAATATGTTTGAATGTTGCCAGAGCAGTGAGGTACTCAGACTATTGCGTAGTAAGACAGTGGGTAGTCATCCTTCCAGGCTCAACGTATCTTAGTCACCATAAGGGCTTACACAATCCATGTAAGAAGAGCCCTCATTGATCAAATCAAAGGCCCTTGTAGTCCAGCACTCTGCTCTCACAGCAGCAAACAAGCTGTGAGTGAGCACAACAGCACCCTCTCCTCCTCCTCATGATTCCCACCTACTGGTCTTCAGAAGCATACTGTCTCCGCTGCTGGGGGCTGTAGATAGCCACCCTCACTAGAAGCCATTGCCTTATTCTCCACTCCACATATTTGTCTTACCCTGTTTTAAAGCTGTCCAAGGTGGTGACCACATCCATAGCACAAGATCATCTTTGCGTTGGAATGGCATGCGTCTTCCCTCGTTCTCTGACTTGGGGGCATGACCCTTCAATTTGAGGCTGGGGACACACACGGACACACACACACACACACACACACACACACACACACACACTGTACCTTTAAAGCACATCCTTTCCCCTTGAAGAATTCCAGGCCCTGTAGTTGGACCCCCTTGCAGGGTAAGTGCTCCCAGCAACACTTCACCATAGAATCACAGAACTGTAGAGCTGGAAGGAACCCCCAGCAGGGTCAACTAGTCCAACCCCCTGGAATGCAAACTACAGTACCCAGAATCCTTTGAGGGGAAAGGTAGAGTGTGTAGCCATGGCTGAGAGAGCATCACACACTCTTATGGCACCAAACCAAAAACTCAAATGCTTTCCGGTGTCGTCAAGGGACATTTGTTTTCAGGCTGCGGCAGTGCCGGATTTATGCATAAGCTAAACAAGTTATAGCTTAGGGCCCCACACTCTTGTGGGGCCCCAAAAAATTTAAGGGGGAAAAACTGGATGTACATTTCCAAAATACAAGATAAAAAACAAATTAAATAAAACCTATATACAGCAACAGTGTTTTGTGTTGTGTAGGTTGCTATGATGTAAGTAATGGGCCTCGCCTGCTCTCCTGCTTGCTAAAATATCACTGGTTTCCTCAGAGCCTAGGACTTGCCTATCAGAAGGTTGGCGGTTCAAATCCCTGCAATGGGGTGAGCTCCCATTGCTTGGTCCCTGCTCCTGCCAACCTAGCAGTTCAAAAGCACATCAAAATGCAAGTAGATAAATAGGTACCGCTCCGGAGGGAAGGTAAACGGCGTTTCCGTGTGCTGCTCTGGTTCGCCAGAAGCGGCTTAGCCATGCTGGCCACATGACCCGGAAGCTGTACACCGGCCCCCTTGGCCAATAAAGCGAGATGAGCACCGCAACCCCAGAGTCGGCCACGACTGGACCTAATGGTCAGGGGTCCCTTTACATTTACATCCCTCACAGTAAAGGAAGAATTCAGTTCAGGGCTGTTATTTTGGGTGGTAAACTCCTGTTTGTGGTCCCTTTACCTTCCTCATATAGGGACGCGGGTGGCGCTGTGGGTAAAACCTCAGTGCCTAGGACTTGCTGATCGTATGGTTGGCGGTTCGAATCCCCGCGGCGGGGTGAGCTCCCGTGGTTCGGTCCCAGCTCCTGCCCACCTAGCAGTTCGAAAGCACCCCTAAGTGCAAGTAGATAAATAGGTACCGCTTTATAGCGGGAAGGTAAACGGCATTTCTGTGCGCTGCGCTGGTGCTGGCTCGCCAGCTGCAGCTTCGTCATGCTGGCCACGTGACCCGGAAGTGTCTTCGGACGGCGCCGGCTCCCAGCCTCTTGAGCGAGATGAGCGCGCAACCCTAGAGTTGGACACGACTGGCCCATACGGGCAGGGGTACCTTTACCTTTACTTACCTTCCTCATGGACTGGTTGCATGGCAACATGTGCAAATGGCTTTAGATACCGATTAGGTCCATAAATTACCACATAGCGTACATTCAACACAAAAACCAGCGACAATTTGTTGTTGACAAAGGACCGCTGGACATATAAAGGGCGCCATTACCTTCAGTAGCTTAGGGCCTCATCAAACCTATGGGCTGCAGCGCTACCGACCAAGGAGAGAGGTCGACCCCAGCGGACTCAGCGGGGCTGACTTCCGAGTCAAGCGCGCCTCAGACTGTGGCGACCAGCAGCCTTCTTCAGAAGAAGGCCGGGCGCTCCATCCCTTCACCCTCTGACATTTTGAAACCAGCGGCGGGGAAGGAGGAAGTAAAGGGCGGGTTTGCTTGGTTGGGGGAAGGCGGCGGAGATGGCGACCGAGTCGGTCAACAAACAACGCCTCGCGCCTCAGCCCCACCGGCAGCTCTGAGGGCGCCCGGCTCGCTTCCTCCGCCCGCCACCTGGCCGCCTGGGGAAGGGGCGGGGCCAGCCCGGGGCGGCCGCTTCGCGCCTCTTCTTCCCTCAGCTGAGCAGCAGCTCGACGCCTGTAGAGTGTTGCTCGCGGCGGGACGGCGATGGCGAGGACTTGAAGCGCCGCCGCCGCTGCTGCTGGGCTGCCGCCGAGGATGGGCGAGACGCAGGGAGGAGGCGCCCAGAGCAGGTCGGTCGTCGCGGCTTGGAGACCTCGCGGCTGCTCCGAAGTGGCGGGAGGGCGCGTCCCGGTGTCTCTCGGCTTCGTGACCCGGCTTCGTTGGGAGGGGGCCCGGGGGGGGGGGCGCGCGCGCGCGTTTGGCTGTCTCCGAGGCGGACTGAGAAGCCCGGCGGCTGTCAGTGGAGCTTCATCCTGACTGAGGTCGCCTGGGCAAGGCGTCTCCGTTTCAGAAACGCGTCCTGTTGGCTCGGATGCCGCCTCTGCCTTGGGAAGGGAGCGCAGAGGCCATCGAGTCGAGCCCCGGTTCGGTGAGGAAATCTTGCAACATCCCTGGTCCTCCTCCAGACTTTTGCTTAAGCCCCTCTTTGTGTGTGTGTGTGTGTGTGTGTGTGTGTGTGTTTTTAAGGTGGGTGGGAATATAAAATGGATAATTTCACTGGTGAACGTTGCCTCGTACCATTTCTTGGAAATGCATAACGGGGAATGGATGGGGGGCGGGCGGCGATCTGCTTGCCCGCTTCGTCGTGCTTCCCTGCCAACCCAATAGAGGACTTGCTTCTCACGGGTTGGGGAGGGGGAACGGGTCAGGGTCAGGGTGTGAATCCTGAACCAGTTCAATCCAGTTTCTGGGTCAAGGAACGCGGACACGGATAAATCTTGCACATTGAGCCCACGGGAACAACTTTAATTTTTTTAGTATACATTTCGCACCATTTTGCTGTGTTTACTGCTTTGCATCGTTTCATTCCGGTTAGGGAGGAAGGAGCTATTCAAGGCACGAAGGGCGTCCTCCCCACAACTACCGGAACTCTTTTTCAGCCCCTCCCCTCTGGCTGAAATGTCCCCTTCTGAGATTTCTGAAGGTAGTTTGCTGCAAACTTTGCGAGCTCACCTTTCGTCCGTAAGGACTAGAAACTTGTAAGCGCGCTCTCTTTTTAAAAGAAGGATCCTAGAGAAACTGAATCTTGTTCCCAGAACAAGAATCCAAGTTTTCCCCTTCTGCGCTCTGCAGAATAACAGCCTTGATGAGAGCCCAGCAAACTATATTCAGCGCTTCCTTCAATTTCCTCTTCTAGCTCTCAGCCTCCCCTCCCCTTATGTGTTGCAAAATCAACTTGGGGCATATTTTGTGGGAGGGGGGAATCCTAAATGCATTGCTTCCCTAAAATGTAACCAAATGTGTATTTATTTGTCAGTAGTGGTGCAAGGAAAAATATGGAAGGTTCAAGCTACTTCATACTCTGCATTTTGTACACACTAGACTTTTAAAGCACACCCACCCACCCCTGAAGAATCCTGGGAACTGTAGTTTAAGGGTGTTGGGAATTATAGCTCTGTGAGTGGCAAACTACAATTGCCAAGATTATTTTCTGCTGGGAAGGGAAGTACTTTGAATGTGCTCTAAAGGTATAGTATGTATACACAGCTTCTAGAACTGTGATTGGTGTGGATGTGTACTTTCTCATCTGGGGTGAAGGACCACCTGGTTATTTCCTCTTTCCATTATACCAGGAACTGATGTCCCACCAAATGCCACTGGGCTACAACTCAGGGGATCCCTAACCATTGGCTGTGCTGGCTGGGGTGGATTGTAATTGGAGTCCAACAGTATCTGAATAGCCATACAGGTTCTCCACACACCTGCGTTATATGCCTCAGGACGTTGGTGCAGGTGGTGACTTCCAGTGTGGACACTAACAGTGCAATCCTATGCATGTCTACTCAGGTGTGAGACTCATTGTTTGTCACTTGGGCTTACTCCAGGTGTGTGTATCTGTTGGTTCCTAACAGTGTAGTTGGGTTTACTTCCAGATAAGTGGGTTAAGGATTGCACTCTTAAGTCCCCTAACCTCACTTTGGCAATTATTTATTATTGAGGGAGTATATGATCACATTGCTTATTCCCAGGCTGATGGACATGTCTGAAAAAAATAACATGATGTGGCCTTTGAAGAATCAGATGGTATTCAGTGTTAACGCATACTTGTATCTGCATGGTAAAAAGATAATGACTTCTTTACTTTGTAGAGATGTTGATTATGTTTCTTATATTTGTCTCCCCCGCCCCCACTTCGCCGTAAGGTGCTGTGTGTGTGTGTGTTTGCAGTGTGATAATAATTATTAATATGGGAAGTGGCCTTGCCAATTTAGTCAGTTTGTTGGTGTAAAAATACAGAAGCACTCTTGAATGTGTATTGCATTAGCCAGTCCGTTCCTGGGTGCTCAGAGCTTGGTTTGCTCTTGCAGCTTGCTTAAGAGGTTGTGAAATGCAGTGTTGTTTTCTGGTCACAAGTGCTTTGTCTAAATTCCACATTCATTGTCTTCCACTGTTAGCCTGCCCATTCCCCTCAGCTCCTTATCTTGTTTTATCAATCCTCCTCCACAGCTCAGTTGTTTGACTAATTTGAAATATAATCAAATGATCATTGGTGGGTTGTAAACCACATAGATACCTGACCTTAAAGTCCAGGAGGGGTGCAATCCCCCCCCTCAAGACTTTGCTTCTAGTTTTTACTGCCTAACTCTTGAGGAGTTCACATTCTTATCCTGAGATACAGCTTGCTTTGCTTATTTAAATACTGTATTTTATTGTTCATTTGAAATATCAGTCAGGGTCATGCCTTCAAACTTCTTTTCATGTAGCCATGGCAAGGATACTTTATTATTATTTCTGTTATTCTAGATCATCTTGTATCCACTGATCTGTCCAGTTTTGGAATGTGACACCAACAAAGGATCTATTTGCAACATTGAAGCTACAAAGCTATGCATTCTTTCTCTGGATGTAAGTCCCACTGAACACAGTAGGACTTACTTCCAAGTAAACATGGACAGGCTTGTGCTGCATATGTATTAACTAGAAGTGAAATGCATTTAAGAAACAAACGCTTAACAACAGTTTTAGATGCTACAGTTTGAAGGTTCTTCCTCACTGAGGCTCGCTTGGCACAAGCATTACTTTCCCTACTCCTAGGCATTTGGTGGTATGTGACGGGCTAAATTTAGTGTGAATTGGTTTAATGCTGGTGATGTCTTGCATGTATCTCTTTATTTTTGGTGTTGCATATTTTATTGTTATGGTTGTCAATTTCTTTTTGGGAATTGACCTAGAACTAATTTTGTGCAAAGGGCCTACGAAATCAAAATCAGGTTAAATAAATGATACAGTCAAGCTTTGAATTTGGGCTCCCTTGTTTAAGGCGTTTGCCATTTCAAACGCTTATGGACTGATGCTACTATCCTTTCTTTAAAAAGAACCCAATACTAGTTTCAATTACAGTGTGGCTTCATATGAAGCTTTGGTATCACAGAGGAGGCTGTGAGTTTCTGTAGTAGCTAAAAGTGGAGCTTTCATTAAGAAACGAGAACTCGGGAGGGTACGCTGCTTTCATAATGAGACAGTTTTCTACACTGCCATTATGGTGCTGAAGAACCCAGCTGCCAACTGCTACTTTGGTAGCACAATTCTCCCCTCCACCCCCACTTCACCCCTTCTTATAGTGTCCTCTATGAAGCTTTGTTGGTAAAACACATGTTTTGCTCCCCCCCGTCCCCCCTCCCCGTTTAGCAAATAGAAAATGTGCAGAATACCCTTGGAAGTCAGTGAATGAAGTCAATTTTCTAAATGCTTTTTAGAGCCTTAATTTTGTTTGCTTTTTGCAATACATATGTTTCCCCTGTAAGTAAAGAAGAATGTGGACGGGGGGTGGGGGTGGGGGTGGGGAACGGGACGAACATCCACTATCTCTAAATGAAAATAGTTTTGAAGTCCAAAGAAAGGCTTAAGTCTCAAGGGAGTCAAAGCCGTACATACCCTTCTGAGAACAGTCATGGGAACAAAAGCTTCATTCATTTTAGAGTTGAGTTGGATGAACATATGAGGTGTGTTGATTTATGTCCTACTCTTGACTACCTTGAGCTCTAGTGAGTGTTGGAAAACCTCTTACAATTTTTACCTAAATGAGTGCACAGGCTAAACGATTGCCCATATGAAGCAGAAAAAGTGGTCTTAAAGCAAGAGAATCTTAACATGATGCTGACACTCCACACAAAGTTGTCTCCTCCTGCTTTCCTGGGCCTCATCTGCCATTTATCTTTCTCTCTCCTCCCCCAGCCATACATGAAACTGTACATTCATGTTGGATCCCTCTTCCCTAACTGCTCCATGCTGCAGTCACTTTGTGTGTCAAGTGTCTGCAGACTTTGTGTTGCAGGGGGAATTGATCTAATTGGCTGCTCACTCTTTGGATGTTTATTTCTCCTTCCTTACCTCTTTATCACAGAATCATACAGTTGGAAGGGACCATGAGGATAATCTAGTCCAACCCCCTGCAATGCAGGAATCTTTTGTCCAAGGTGGGGCTTGAACTCACAATCCTTAGATTAAAAGTCTCATGCTCTGCAAGCTGAGCTATCTCCCATCACTCCTGAACCATCTAGTCTCTGCCCTTGAATTGAATCTGGCTGCCTGAATACAGCAGGCATATTATGCATGCAACTTGGGAGCAGGTCCATCACTATGGGAGTTAACTGTGGGGAAACCTCGTGGGAAGGAGCCGTGAAACTCACTGGACATCGGGAATGTCTTCTACTCACCTGCTTGTCCTATATATTTAAGAACAAAAACCAATGGAGCAAAAAATTCCAGAGCACTGCTACAGAGGTTTGTGTACATTGTCTCTTCTGCACTATCACATTTTCATTTTGTAAACTGTCAATTATGACTTTCAAGTTACGGTGTTATAAATTTTTCAAAATGCCTCCCATTGTTTTTGCTTGATGTTGACTGTTCCCTTGAGGAGTTATTCCAAGTCACCAGCATAGTATATCTATTTAGATTGTATCCTGGATCTGGAACTTTGTGTAAACAAAACAAGCATCCTTCCAGGTGCCACTTCCTTCTATTTCCTCCATTGTTTTTAGCCATCTGCATTCATGAAACATATTGGCTGTTTTTTAAAAACAGTTCACATGTATTGATGCAATAGTTTGCCTTGTACTCCTGGTGTTTATCGATTCATAGGAGAGCAGATCTGGGATTTACACTGGCCAGGCTCCAGACCCTGGCCCAAGACATTTTCCTACCTGAGGTGAAGCAACAAACGTTCTCACATCCTAAAATCAAGGTGCAGAGTCTCCAAAACTGTTCAAGGTATTTTGGCACCTGAGACAGAATATCCCACAATTGGCTCCCTCTTTCCCTGAGAGCAGAAATGAAAAAAATTGCCTCTTCTGTACTATAGATTTAAAGCAGAAGCTTACCATTTTAAATAGTCATGGCTTTCACCAAATAATCATGGGAAGTGCAGTTTGTTAATAATAATAACAGTAACAACAATAATTTTATTATTTATACCCCGCCTATATGGCTGGGTTTCCCCAGCCACTCTGGGTAGTTTACAGACTATATAAAAACATAATAAAAACATTAAGGGTGCTGAAAGTTCTTAGGAAACCCCCTAATAAACCACAGTTCCCAGGAATTTGCAGGGAAACCTTGACTGATTAAAGTGGTACGATACTGCTTGAAATGTATAGTGCAGATGGGGCCAATAACAATTCACTGGGTTTATTATTATTATTATTATTATTATTATTATTATGTACTTCAAATCAGTTGCCTTGCTCTGTCTAATGGTAGAGTTGTCCTTGCCAGGGTCTACAAAATGATAAAATGCAGTAGTGCACTATATAAATCACATCTTGAGGCAAGAAACATTTTTTGTCTTTTTTGTGCCACTAAACAAGGGCACATGCTCATGTCCTGCCACCTTCAAAAGAGCCATCAGTGAACAACATCCTGTAGAGGAAAGTTATTTGCAAGACATCTGCTGCCTGATACTGTTGTACAGCTTATATTCTCCTATTTTTTCCACAGTCAGTGATGAAAAGCAATCTTGTGGGGCTACTAAATTGGGGCCTCATTGCAAAGAGAAAAGGCTAGATCACCTTCTTCTTCCGGACATTATGCAGGGTGTAGAGAAAGTGGATAGGGAAAAGTTTTCCCCCCACACCTCTTCGGACTTAAAAATTTCAGTGGTGTCGTGTGCAATGGTGCCAAAATTTGGTGCTCCCCTTCCTTTTGCTTTCAATTGTTAGTCATTGTTGCAGTGCCCCCTATGGTGCCCTCTCAGCTCAGTGACCACCAGTGTGGGCGAACTGGTTGCCCTTCCCTAAACCTGCCTCTGAACTCGTGTCCATCCAATGTTGGAAGGTTCAGCTACAGCTGGGTGAAAAAACTTTGCCTGAAACCCCAAATAGCTTCTGCCAACCAGCACTGAGCTAGACAGACCAGTGGCTTATAATACGGCTTCCTATGACCAGGAATGGCTGTGGCCCTTCAGATGTTGTTGGACTATAACTCTCCATCATCTGAGTCCAATAGCACATGGAGAGCTGGTGGTTAGCCAGCCCCATCTAGTTTTTTAGCTAATCCCCATTGCCACACTTCTCTTCTCACAGTATCTGCTAATACATGGGGGCATGAGATGCAGGCTGTGTAATAAAACACTGCAATGCTTTTGCCCATGTTTGATAATTGTGTTGCTCACACAGGGTTGAGAATAGTGAACTGGACCAGACTCATTCCTTTGCATTGGTAGAAATGTTTAAATCTTTAAGTAGCTGGACTTTCATCTTCTTTTGCAGAGCTGTGGAAATGGCCTGCCAGCCAATAGGTTTGAGGTAGAATAGTAGTTAATAGTTGAGCTATATAGGTCAAACTTTAGGCTTTCTACCTAGAGGTTCATGCAAAGTTCAAGAACCAAGAGGAGTGGATGCTGATTAGAAGAGGCAAGACAACAGTTGTAAAGCCAGTGAAGGTATAATGGTAGGGTTGCTACTAACATAGAAGAATGGAGGTGAAGAAATGCAATGGAAGAGAGCAGGAGGGGAGACAACCTTGAACTTAATCCTAAGCGGTGCTCAGGACTTAAGTGATGTGCAAGTGTTCTTTGGCTGATTGGGAACAGTGACCACAGTGCTATCAAATTCAACACATTATATGCAGGTGAGCAATTGCCAAGAAAGTCCAACACAGTCACATTTGACTTCTAAAGAGGAAACTTCCCTCAAATGAGGGGATTGATAAAAAGAAAGTTGAAAGGGAAAGTGATTTGGCTCTCCAGTTAATACATCATTCTGATCTAAATATTTTTTTAATGTGAACTTTTCCATACAAGTGTCACATCCACACTGTACATTTAAAACATTCTTATACCACTTTCACAGTCAGGAGAACTGTAGGAATTATTAAGGGTGTATGGGTGGCGCTGTGGGTAAAACCTCAGTGCCTAGGACTTGCTGATCGCATGGTCAGCGGTTCGAATCCCCGTGGTGGGGTGCGCTCCCGTCGTTCGGTCCCAGCTCCTGCCCACCTAGCAGTTCGAAAGCACCCTTAAGTGCAAGTAGATAAATAGGAACCGCTTTATAGCGGGAAGGTAACAGCGTTTCTGTGTGCTGCGCTGGTGCTGGCTTGCCAGCTGCAGCTTCGTCACGCTGGCCACGTGACCCGGAAGTGTCTTCGGATGGCGCCGGCTCACGGCCTCTTGAGTGAGATGAGCACGCAACCCTAGAGTCGGACACGACTGGCCCGTACGGGCAGGGGTACCTTTACCTTTACCTTTTAAGGTCAGATTGTAAGTCTGCAAGGTCAGTATGCAAGATTCTTGCGGAAGCCTGACAGTTAAAAAGGCATAAGAGTGCTTTAAATGTATGGTGTAGCTATAACAAAGAACAATTATATGTTGTTATTTGATTATTCATATTGACAGCTAATATCCCTTAGCCGAGTATTGCTCAGGAACGCAGTACCTCAAGGACTGCCTTTTCCTGTATGAACCTACCCAGACCCTGAGATCATCTTCTGAGGCCCTCCTTCGTGTGCCTCCTCCCTGAGAGGTCTGGAGGGTGGCAACACAAGAACAGGCCTTCTCTGCAGTGGCTCCCTATTTGTGGAATGCTCTCCCCAGGGAAGTTCGCCTGGCACCTTCATCTTTAGGTGCCAGGCAAAAACGTTCTTTTTTAACTAGGCCTTTGGTTGATCTGATGGACATCCTATACCCTTTTAAAATTTGGCTCTTTTTTGGAGGGAGGGTTATTGGGTTGTTGTTTTTATTTTGATTTTATATGTTGTGATCTTTTCTGTGAACCGCCCTGAGACCTCCGGCTATAGGGTGGTATATAAATTCAGTTAATAATAATAATAATATAATAATAATAATAATAATTAATAATAACAACTCACTCTATAAAGTGGGAGAAGTTGTTGTAAACTACCATAATAGAAGCTCTGCTACTAGAATGCAGACTGCAATTGAGGCAAGGTGGTACTAGGAATGAGAGAATGCCAGTGTGGTTAATGAACAAATTCCACATTAGGGACCATTAGGAAATGATTTTTTAAAATAAAAAACTTGTAATATCTTAAAGACTTAGTATAACTATATAAATATAAGTGCAATATATGCACTTGGAATACTGTCTTAAGTTACGATCACTGGTGTTTGTGCATTGGGATGTACTTAATTTTTTTTAGGATGGGCATCAGTGGCTATGTAAGCTGGACATTTTATGTGAGGCAGGAGGTGAAGGGGATTTTTGCATATATCATGCAGTTTGGGGAAAGATTTGAGAAACGCTTTCAGCATACTGAAAAATTACTTCATTCTGCCAGTGGTCTGGGGGTGGGGAAGTTCCCTATTTTTTTCCCTGCATCAAAACATGAAATCCTGTGACATTATGGTCATGAAGAAAGGGTTTATAAATAAAAGTCTGGAGGAAGCATGGGTTTGCAAAATATAGGGATGTTTGCTAAAGACCTCTCTAAAAGTTCATTTAGGCCAGAGATGTGAAACTTGTGCCCCCCATCCCTGATGCTGTTGCACTCCAAGTTCCATGAGCACAACCAGCATGACCCATTGGATAGCTGATGCTGCTTTATAGAATGAGTACTGTCCAATTTGTTTTGCTGGTAACACAAATGCAAGAAAACCATCCTGGGAGCAGTGCACTGAGGCTTTTAGCAATTGTCTGGGTGCTAGTGGCCCCCAGCAAGACAAAGAAAGTCATGCTATTGGCTTATAAACACAAGACCTTAATCTAACCACAAAGACATAGCAACCCACCACAAACAAAAATACACACTTTGCTGGCCTATAACTGCTCATGGTGATAGTACATATTTCTACGTGCAGAAATTAAGGTTTCTCTTACTGATACCCACACATCTGCTTCCGTCATCCTTATCTATGCACACATGCTTAATTTCTTACTTTATGCTGCTTCTTCCATTAAGAGACATCTTTCCATCCCCACCACCCTTACCTGCCTGGGATAGAAGGGTTTGAAGTCAATCAGTGTTTTAATAGAACTTATTGACTGCTTTTCGCCAAAAGGTCCCAAAGTAGTTTCCCAGCATAATAAAAAAGTGCAAACCTTAAAGCAAAATAACCCGACAACAACAATTAAAATTCTACTTCCTCCTTTCAGTTCTCCTGGAAAGGTCTTGATCTATACTTGGGGAGAGATGTGAGCTCTTGCCATTCAATGTGGGTTGCTTCTACTCCAGGGTAGAATAGTTTTGCTTCATTCACTTATATCCACACAATGCCGTTCTCCTATGAGGCCATCCTACATGTTCTCTGATGGTGTAGGTGCCTTCCATCTTTGGCTATAACTTTTATTATTACAGTCATACCTCGGGTTGAAGACGCTTCGAGTTGAGCACGTTCAAGTTGCGCTCCGCGGCAACCCGGAAGTAACGGAGCTCGTTACTTCCGGGTTTCACCGCAGCGTCACCGCAGACGCTCAAAATGACATCACGCGCATGCGCAGAAGCGGCGAAAAGCGACGCGCGTGTGTGCAGACGTGCCGTTGCTAGTTACGTTTACCTCTAGATGCGAACAGTTGAGAATTAATTTTATAATGAATGGTTTTAGAGTGTTGTTTGTGCTGTACTTTTGTACTGTTTTATTGTTGTTAGCCGCCCTGAGCCTGGCTTCGGCTGGGGAGGGCGGGATATAAATAAAATTTATTATTATTATTATTATTATTATTATTATTATTATCTGGCTGCCTCGTCCTCTCCCACCCATTTCCTTCGCCTCAGCCCACCTCCTCTACAGGTGTCCATGCCCTCTGCCCTGCTACAGCATTACAGTATGTGTCATTAGACTGTAGCATCATAGCGGTATGGTTATAGCAACCCTAAACCTCTTTCATTTAAAAAAGCCAGAAAAGTGTGTTAGTGATCATTATTAAAATATTTATTTACAAGAAAAACAAGCTCATAATATGACAGCCACCACCACCAGGGATATAGTGAGTGTTCCCTAAACTGCAAATGGCCTTGTCCACTGGTATGGGAAGTATACATAGAAAAAGTTTGACACTCCTGAGAGCGTGGAGAGTCAACTGCAATTCCACTTGCAGATCACAGCAGAGGCGCGGGTGTCTGGGTAGCATTAGGAGTCCCCTGTCTGGAAGCAGGCTTAGTCTGTTAATAGCAAGACGTAAGAAACTATTCACATGACATCAAACCCTTAAACTTGAGTAACCCTACATTTTGGGGAACTGTCTTCTTCATGGTAACCCTCGTGGTATTCTCTGTTATGGTTGCTTTAAAGAATGTTGGAGAAGCGAGAGACTCCTTTCGTTTAGGACAGCAGCCTCACTTCCTTTCCCCTGCCTGCCACACACATTCCCAAATGTTGGGTGTCCAGATGCTTCTATTGGCAATAAAGCCACCAGTGTATCCGATCGTGGAACCAACGGTAGTGTGGCTGCTCCTGGAATTAAGAACAGGCCTTTGTGATGATGACTAAATGTCTCCACAGGCAGGTGCAGGGAATGGGGCTGTGGCATAACAACGACTGTGCTTCATAGGTTCTATGGATTAGCTGCAGTTAAGCCTCCAGCATATTTGTCGTGCTCCCCGCAGGGTCATATGTGTACCTGTGTGTGTATTAGCTTTACAGCCTTTACAGCTGAAAAGCATTTTTAGCAACATTGAAAAATAAGAAGCAACCTGGAAATTCCATGTTGGAGATGAATATATCTAAAAGCTCAATCTGTGTAATATTTTCACTCTTTCTGGTCCCCTCCCTTTGACTACTTCTGCTTCTACTCTTTCTGCAAACCAGTTTCCACTTCTGCCTTGGGGTTCAGGCCTCTGAAGTCTCTCTAGTGGCTGCTGTTAAGGATGTGGCCACACACATCTCCTGTATCCTAGAATAGTGCCAGATAATCCTCAAAGGTAGGTGATTGTGGCTTTGGAGCATCTAGGATGGGAGTTTGTGCCCCTCTAGAAACATTTCCAAGGCTGCTGAAGTTGGGGTGTGTGTGTTCATGGCATCTTATCACCACTGCGATGTGGAGGTGGGAAGAGTTGGGTCCGCATTTTCCTTATTGACAGTATGTGTTCATGCCATTTGCACAACTGCAACATTTGGCAATAGTGGTAGCAAAAAGGAAGGGAAATTGTGTTTTCCTGTAACAAAGCACTGAGGGTTTTTTCCTGCAATGATGGTGTGATCTCCCACAGCAATAGAATGACAGGTGTGCTTTTTGGAGGGAGAATGTCTGGATCATCTCCAGTAACAGATTAATTGCTAAGCTCTGCTTCTTTACACTATGATGTTGAAGTCAGTAAAATCTTTGCACTTCATCACCATGATGCTGAATGTGCTCTGTGATACAGAAGTGCAGCATGTAGAATTTGGTGCATGCAGTCTTGGCTGGTTCATAAGGAGTGAGACTGGTAATGTCTGGTGTGTGTGTGTGTGTGTGTGTGTGTGTTTGTGTGTTTTACATACACTCAGTTGTTCTTAAAAGTTTTGAGCCAAGAGTTCAGCAGAAGATTAACAGAAACAAAACGACATATTTATTTATATACTACCCTTCAGTAAAGAATTGCATTACAGTACTTAGAATCTAGCAGCATTTGGTACAAAATCTGGGCTGTCCAGGTGCAAAAATGATTAAAAGCGCTGTGTACAGAATCTCTCAGAGTTTATGAGCTGCTTCTGTATGTGTGTGCTTTTCTCTATCTGATTGAAGATGAACATGTACTACACAAGAAAGAGTCATTTCCACATAGTTCATGTATGTGTCAGTTTTGCATGCCTTGTGTAATTGTGGATTTCTGAGATGTCATACCTTCCAACACTTCATGGATCTAAAATGGGGAACTCTTGTAGCACTTACCCTACTTCCACCTATAGGTTGTATTAATTTATTCTGCAATAATCTGTGCAGTAGAGTCAAACAAGGTAAGACAAGGTGAGAAAGGTCAACCGACTGGTGACATGTTGGTCAAATGGTGGTCAAGTATTCTTACTGAAACACATCTGCATTACTTTCGTGCCAGCTCTTAGCATGTGTGCTAAGAACAGATATAAACATAAATGAAACAAATTGTAATTGGGAATACAGCAAAAGCATAGATAAGGCAATACCTCAGAAGATTTTGTTTCAGGAATAGTCAACATGGGGTTGTAAATACCTAACCTTTACTCAGAGTAGCCCCATTGAAATTAATGGATTGAATACAACCCAGGATCCCCTCCAGATGTTATGACCAATAGCTAGAGATGGGAATGTCTAAGGAGTCGATCACTCTGAGTCTTCTGTGTTGAGTTAATGGGTAATGGCGACTTTGTGATTGCTGGTGTGTTGCCTTTCCACCCAACAACTTTCAGATTATGACAGTAAATTATTAAACACATTTCTTCATGCTTTCCTGTTCCCCCAAATCCAGCTATAGGTTTTGGAACTTGTATTGGTGCTTAATCAACCAGCCTCTTTTCCATATATTGAGACTGGGCACTCATAATTCAGTTTCTTTTTAGGTTCCCTTCCCTTGAAGTGCTGCAGAATGAAAATAAGTCAAATCTGCCACAGAACACATGATGCTTGTACAGTAGAACTTAATCTGGGACTTGGGCTGCACATAGTTATGAATGGGGAATGTTTATTTGAAACCAATTGAGAAAGTGAACTTTGCTGTCAGCAGAGTTGGTGCACTGGAAATGAAAAGCAGAAGTGGGGAGAAAAAGAGGAACTGAATGGGCAAAATGTTAAATTATCATTTGGTTGATGCTGTTGGATTCCCCCAGCCCACCCTTCTTCCACTCCATACACAAACAAACACACGTCCCCCCTGTCTATTTGTACAGAGAATAATGCTGACTGTTCTAGGAGATGCCTGAGTCTAGCAGAAAATAGCATCCAGAAAAGATAGAACCTGAATCAGAGCTGAATCTCTAGATACACATGCTTGATGGAAAGTATTATAGGAGAAGATGCTTAGATAATGTGGACCTAGACCATTTAAGGCATTGTAATGTTAAAACCAAGTACCTTGCATTGGATATGGGGAAAGAAACCTTTTAATACCTGCATATGTCTTCAAATAGGAGTTATGTGATCACACAACAAGCATCCAACAGTGGTTAGGTAATGGTGCTCAGTACTAGATGGAATTTCTGAACCATCATAAAAGGCATTCCCATGTACAGCACATTACAGTAATCTACATGGGAAGTCACTAAGGCATGGATACCAGTGTCCAGGTCTCTGTCTTCCAGAAGGAACCTCTTCTAGTGAGTCAACAAACCGTGGATTGCCACTGACTGCAGGCACTGCTTTCTGCAGAGGTTGGCTGCTCTGGTGGGTAAGATTGCTCTAATAAGTACGCACTTTGATGCATTAATTCCAAACGGGCCATTTTGACATTCCATAGACTAGTCTTAACAGTCTTGGCTTCTTAATAAATACATGGGTCCTCACCTGCCTGGTACAGTGGAGTTTGTTATTGGAAGAGGCTGGAGCCAAAGGGGGATGTGAAGTCATAGTCCAGATAGGGGAAACTGCAACAGACACTTCCCAGCACAAAATTCGGTGCTTCCCCTTGAAGGTGGTTTATGTGGGAGCTATTGCTGTATTAAAAAAATACAGAAGTATGGAAAGCTGGTAGGATCACTTTTGATGAAGCAACCATTTGATGGGCCTCCATGGAAGCACAATAAACAGTTTATGAGCATGAGAGAACTAATGTCCCATAACCTTGCAGCTTGTGGAAGAGTTAGTCAAATCCACAGAACTAAGAGAGTCAAAGATTTCTTCACCATTGCTGTCACCAAGGAAACCTGACTGTTGTATGGCAGTATTTCCTCCTGGGGTTTTCTCCGATTGTTGAGTACTGTTTCTCTCTCCCCCCCCCCCACTATGAACACTATAGTCACATCATAGGAAAGTGAGTCACAAAAATATACAGCTGATGCCTGTGTGTTTCCTGGTGACTAGCTAGTGTTGCCCCAAAATGGTAGCATGAGGGATGCAATTGTGACATTGCTGGTGCAAGAGATTTTTCTGTCTGAGTCAGAGTAGTAAACGTAGTCTCCCACCACCAACACATAAAGTGCATATTAGCCAATGCTGCAATAAATGTTAAGGTAAAGGTAAAGGGACCCCTGACTATTAGGTCCAGTCGTGGCCAACTCTGGGGTTGCGGCGCTCATCTCACTTTATTGGCTGAGGGAGCCAGCATACAGCTTCTGGGTCATGTGGCCAGCATGACTAAGCTGCTTCTTTCTGGAGAACCATAGCAGTGCACGGAAACACCGTTTAGCTTCCCGCCGGAGCGGTACCTATTTATCTACTTGCACTTTGACGTGCTTTGGAACTACTAGGTTGGCAGGAGCAGGGACGGAACAACGGGAGCTCACCCCGTTGCGGGGATTCAAACTGCTGGCCTTCTGATCGGCAAGTCCTAGGCTCTGTGGTTTAACCCACAGCGCCACCCGCGTCCCATGCAATAAATGTTAATTCCTTCAAATTCATTCTAGTACCCAATGTCACTCAAGTTATTTGGATGAAAAACCTACCAGTGCTTCTTCCCTATTCTAGCAGTAAAAATACAACAATAATGAATAACCCAACAATTTGCTGCTCTTTCATGACATCTGCCTGACAGGTGCTATCTTACTATGGCAAATTATAGGGTGGGTCCTGTTGAGCTACCATCTCTTGTTTTCTGCCAGTGGGATGTGCCCAGATGATCTAGTCTCGAGTTAATTGCTTAATGGCATCTGATGTTGCCTTGAGGTGGACCTCCTTTGTGACATTTCAGATCCTTCTGTGATTAACTAGAGATGCTTTTGTTCATCTGTAAGTGAACAGATAACCTTTTAAAATCTTCTGTCTACAGCTTCTCAGGTCTGTGTTTTGTGTGAGAGAGGAAGGAATTATTTATTTCCCATGCAAAAGATTCTTCCAATCAGTGTAAACAGCAGTGAGCTGAATGGGTCAATGGTCTGACTCGGACAATTCCACATGACTTCAAAATGTTTTGGGCTTTTCTCTAAACTACAGGGTTTATTCCATAGTTCTCCAAATAACCTTGTGTGATAATCATCTATTGCTGCTATAGATTGCTGTCATTTTTGGTGCTGTCATCAATTCTCTGCCCACAACCAAATGTCACCTGGGCGGTGGTTATGGCATTATTCCATTGATACAATTTTAACCTACTTTCCAGTCAACCTTTATATAAGAAATAAGCAGATAAAACCACTAAGCCACAGCAACCCTGTTCTGTCCTTTATGTTGCATTTCTGCCAGAAATTGAAGCAATTTTTGTGTGTGACAAAAATGGAGGGGCAGCTGCCAGAAGAACCCTTTAAATAAAGCATTAGGCAGAAAAGTTTCAAATCTGACAAAGTAGGTTTCCACCCCCTTCTTATAGGTCAATTTTCATTTCACACAGAAGTTCTAGCAACCTATATGCACAGATGTTTCTGAGATACCTCTTCCCACTTCCATGTATCCACCCCTGCACTTACATTGTTTGTTTAACCCAATTAGCTCTTCAATAACTTCAAGGGTTGATGATTTGGCCATATTTTGCTTCTGAGGTACCCATGGCAGGATGCTCTGGTTACGACAAGTGGTTCTTGTGGGTTAAATGCAACCTCTTTAAAATTGTTTGTGCTTGTTTTCTTTTTTTAAAAAGGTTTAATCCACATTTGTCAGCTTCACAAACAATTTCATGAAGAATTTTTTGCACTGTAATGAGGTCAGCTTCTAGTTCCTTTCAAAAACGTTCATGGCTACACAGTTTTGAAACACATTTCCAGACCCAGACCCCAACAGTAAGACCATCTCCCATCCTGGTTGTTCACAAACGAAGTAAGCTATTGCAAGACCCAATTCAAATGACCCATAACATTTTAATCAAGTTTTTTTAAAACAAAACAAAACAAAACAAAACAAAACAAAACAAAATGAGCCCCCTAACAACCTTGAATTCTGGATTCCAGAATTGTTCCTTTCCCTTTACACCTGAATTTATTAATGATCAGTTAAACTGGTGTTTTAATAGCACATTAAGAATACAAAGCCATTGGCAAACATTAATACCTTCAGTTCTGTGAAAGAGGTCAGTACTGTTACCTGTTGGTTTCAGGCATGACACACAGAATGATAAATAGAGGTTGTGTGGCTAAGTTAGATTTATGTCCAGACATAATTCAACACAATTTTTGGTGATGTGTCTTCTTCACCTTTTTTGGCAATGCATAAATAACCATGCTATCTGACTCTGGTGCCACCAAATCAAAGAGGTAACGTTCCATGGATATAGGAGGCAAAATTTGCTTTGTAGCCAAGGGGTTACGCCTAAGAATGAGACTCCCTGTTGACTGGCAGTGTCCATTCCTTAATTCTTGCAATTCTTTCCTTGGGATAAGTTGCACTCATTTTTTTCTCTTGCATAAGGACTGCTCTGTTTTTGCTTTGTGGCAATATGTGCAATGCATTGGATATGTCTTCCTCGATCCAGCTCAAGGAGGATGGGGGAGAAAGTGCACACAGCTCCTCCCAGTATGCCAGCCCTTCCTTTTCCATCCCCATATGCACAAACGAATCTGCCTTGAGTCAGAGTACTGGTCCATCTTGCTCATTATTGTCTTCTACACTGATGGGTAGCAGCTCTCCAGGGCTTCAGATGGGAGACATTTGCCATCTACCTGAAAATGCCAGGGCATGCTCATAACACTGAGCTACACACAGGAACAGAACATACAAATGCTGACATCTGTGCATACAGTTGCACAGCTGCAAATCATGTGGTTGAGTTCCTCCTTTCATGTAGCAAATGGTCCATATGACTTTTCACCCAAGTCTGTCGGCTGAAAGATGGTTAGGTGACATTCGCACAATCCATATGGAGGAGGCAGGGCTAACACACTCAGTGCATGTGGAGCAGCTGCGCATGCTTTCTCCCTTCCATGCTCTGGGCTGGACCAGGGGAGATGTATCATCTGATTTGGGCTTGTGTTAATTTAGAGGACCTACACATATATGTATTTTGGCATTTGTAATGATACTGCCAGGATAGTGGTTACTGGTCCATCTGTGAAAGAGTAAATCCACTTGCGTGTTAGTAAACAAACTTCCAACAGGCCCTTTTGATTGCTTTGTTTTGGTCCCTGTGTGTTTAAAGGAGCATATTTAAGAATCTGAGTGCACAGGATCAACAGCAGAGCATTTGGGCCTCTGTGGATACTCTGTCTCTGATCTTAAGGTCTCTGGGCAGCTTAAGATGTGGAATAATGCAAGAGGTTGCAAAGCTGGAATTCATCCATACGTTAGACTTTCTCAAAGCATGAGCAAAGATAATTGATGGTGCTTGCACTGCAAATAATGTACTGGATGTGGACTGGATTTACTCGGGTGCCTACTGGCCTGCCTGCCTGCCTGCCTGCCTGCCTGCATATGTGTGCATGCATTTGTGCAGGTGTGTGTGCGCACACATGGTAACTTTACCAGATGATGAAGGCCTTTCACCCTTCCATTGGGGTGGTGAACCAGCCATGCTCAACTTGGTTCTGGTGACGAAGGCTGCAGCTGCCTGCAGACTATAGTTCCCCCAAATGTCTCTGAGCCTTGCAATTCAACTCCCAGAACAAAAAAGACTGCAGTGATCTACTTCATAATTCACTTTCTATAATCTTTTCCTGTCTTTTATGCCCACACTGATAAGTAGGTCATTATTGTTACTGCAAATGGAGCGAGCTATATTTTTTTCTGTCTTGTATAAGATTTGTTTAGTTTTCAACCATTTCCTCTTTCTTCTTCAAGTGAGAGAAAAGGAAACATGAGGATAAAACTGATGGTGGGTGCAGAAGTGTGTGGCTCACAGTGCACTGCATTTCTAAGAAATTCTTGTAAGCCTCATCCTTCCTATATTGGCCACAACTATGTTTGCACCACCCCGGGTGGTTTCAGATGTGCTTATGGCGTGTGCTGGTGAAGTAAATACTGTTCAAAGGTTTTATGTGTTTCAAAATCTTGATAGCATGGTGCCTGAGTTCTGGAAGAAAGACCTGCTCTCTGCTGAAAGGCCCATTTTCACCTGGCCTAGGGGGTGGGGCCCACTACTCACCCTGAACACCTAAAAGAGGCCACTGGGACATTGTTGGAACAACTCTTGGGTTGGGGCAACTGGCTAAAATGTTTTAAAATGTTTTAAATGGTTCTAATTTTGGTTCCTCTGTTTCATTTTTCTTGGGTTGGTGTTGGTTAAACATTTAGTTGGGGTTGGTGGTTACTTTAATTTGGGTATAACTGTAAACTGTTTGTTATTATTGTTATTGGTTTTATTGTTTTATTGGTTTGTTTGTTGCTTGTATAGGATATCTTGGTTTTTTAATGTTGGATGTTTTGTTGTGTTTTATAGGTTGTAAGCCACCCAGAGTGGCTGGGGAAACCCAGCCAGATGGGCGGGATATAAATTAAAAATTATTATTATTATTATTATTATTATTATTATTATTATTATTATAACATGGTGACAAATGTGAATGATGCCATACAGAAAGAATGTTGCTGTATGAGGAATTTTCAGTGCAGGTTTGGGGAGAGACAGCAACCTTGTAGGGTAGGTCTTTAGATTAAGGTTTTGAATAGTCTTGCTGAAAATCTATTATATCAGCTGCCTGGTGGCCTCTGGGTGGCTTGGACCTGAGATTCCATCAGCCCCAGCCAGCCCAGTCAAGCTGGCCATGGCTAATGGGAGTTGTAGTCCAGACCATCTGGAGGGCACTAGCCTGGAGAAGGCTGCTTTAGATATTCCCTCCCTGTTAATTCCTTCTAGTGGCCTTCAAGCCAGTTCAATTGGCTTGGTCAAGCATCCTGATCCAGTAAATTAAATTGTTTTGGTCAAGCATCCTGATCCATGGAGAGTTGGGAGGCAAGGGTTGAACGCCTGCATGGGAAAGCAAGAAGGAGGTTCTTTCCACGAAGAGAACAATGCAACTTGAACTTGGAAGTGTCTTCCTTGCAGACTATTGATATTGCCTATTCTGCCAAAGCCAACAGAGGATGATCCACGAGGCACAGCTGTATTTGCTCAACATTGTGCAAGTCTGAATGGTGGGGTCTGGCACCCATCCTCACCCTTCGCTTATTTGCTTGTTTGAATCATAGAAGGGCCATCTAGTCTGACCCCCTGCAATGCAGGAATCAGATCTAAAATACTTCCACTCCATGATTCAGAAAAAAGCTCCCAGAGCAGCTTACAATCAGACTTACAATCTAAAAGGTGAAGCACAAAAGGAAATAGCATTGGAAGGGAGAAGGAAAAGTGGGGCCCTGTCCCACTGAGCACACTTGTTATTGTGCTAGTTGAAAGATGGCATCGCAGGTGCAGGCACATGAATGAAACAAATTGTGTCACTGGAAATATATCTCGTAGCTGCTCTTCTTTGCCAAAGCTGCTACAGTGTCCACTAATGTTCATTGTAGCTTTCAAAAAGTCTCTTTTCAGGTTGGATTCTGGAACAGATTTGCATATGGTATTTGTAATATGTGTATGCTCTGTTCAGATCAATAGATTTGTGCAACAGCATTGAGAAGGTGGTGTTTCCACTGTTGCCAGTTCTTTCCTGATTTTATTTAACACTATTTGCATGCTGCCTAATCACGAAAACCTCTCAGCAGTCCCTGAAGCCAAATGATACGCATTTTGTACGTTGTGTCCTTGTTCCTAATAAATGCAGGCCAGTGAGAGGTGAAGGGATCTCACCAGCGTGCTTATATTCTCATTACCATGTGTCTTTGGAGCCACATTAAATCCTAGTAATAAACCATTGATGTGAATGGAGTCTATGCCAGAGATGAACGCGTTTCTTTGTATTTAAGAACAGAAGAGTGATTGCACTGAAAGCCTGCCTCTCAGGGCAATAAACAAAGCCTTGTTTGTATCGAGATATTCGGTTTAATTGGTTTGCTTTGAGGCAAAAAAACAAAGCAAAACCCAGGCTCTCCTTAAAGTGTCTGCAGTAGCAATAACCTAGTAGAGACTGAAGACGGACTGCCAACAGGTAAGGGGAAGAGGGGGGGGGGTGAGTGTGTGTTGTGGTCAAAAGCCTAACATCTTAGTTCCACATTTGTCAGTTTCTTTGGAACTACCATCTTCAGTTCAGTAGCTTGTTACAGAGAATCTAGAAAGAATGTTTTTCTCAAAAGGCTACAGTTCAGGGTTCCTCTTTTGGCCTCCTATGGTTTTTCAGTCTTAAATGATGGCAATTTGGTGGCGGGTGGGAATAAAAGGCAATTGTAGCACTGCTCTGTCGAGTTTGAGCAGGCAAAAGTATATTGAAATGTTACAAGGATCCTGTCCCTTTTTAATTTAAAGTCTCCTGCTTGCAGGATGGGGCCTATCCATTCCCTAAACCCCCATGGACCATTCTGTGGATTAGTGATGAACAGACTCTTATTTGCACCTTGACTAGTCTTTCTTGGTTGGCCCAGTTCCTTGCTTTTGTTCTGGGCTAGGGAAAGGGGGGGGGCAAAACAGCTTTCTGTGCATTTCCCTCACTTCACTTTTAAAGCAAAAGAGCTCAAAATTAGTCCAGGAATTATGAACCAAAAGATTTGTGTTCTGGATGCTTCTTTAAAAGTTGATTAACACATGCATGTGCAAAAGTTGTTCATGTAGTCTCATGCGTTTGGGTTATAATTTAAAATAGCTTCTCAGCATCCCCCCCCCCCAAATATAGTGTTATATTAATAATACTTTCCTGAGTAGGTGCTATTCTAGCCCTTGTCAACAATGGTGACTTTTGTTGTGTTTTCTCTAGGCACAATTCAGTATTAGGGCCCCTCCAAATTGCTGTTCATTTTGTTTTTTCAACATGTCATTGATACAATAATACTGCATTAGTGAAGTATTCATATTGGACCACCCACCTATCAGTCCGCTTTATTAGTTGGTCTGTGATGGTTGCCCAGTGTTTCTGCATTATTGCCATTGGGAGGGGCACTCTTGCACTGTAGGGCATTCAAAGCAACACACACCTGAAACATTTGTGGTACAACAAGTTTCAAGATTTCAGCAGGAAGCTGCAGGACATGCATCAACTGGAAACAAAGTAGTATGTCTGCCCCCAAAACATGCAGGTTGGGAGTTGTAGTCTAGCTACATCTGGAAAGCACCACATTGACTATCCCTGCTATATAGAAGCCATTGAGTGTTGTGTAGCTGGAATGTAGCCTACTGTACAAATGTAAGAGTGGCTGTGTTGCTCCGCCCACTTCTGCCTCTGGCCTGAACCACCACTGGCAGGTGGCCCCTGGAAGGGAATGTGTGGTCTGTGGTCTGAAAAAAGTTTCTCACCCTGGCATTAGAGACCATACAGTTTGCCCTCATGGAGAAGGATCAACAGTATCTCTAACTTAGTGGGTTTGGCCTTTGCTAATTGTAAGAAGGTAGCACACACTCTTCACACATGTGCACTATTTGCCTGGTTTGTCAAGACTGCAGTTTCCAAATACTTGGTTCTGAACCTTGAGCTAATACTGTTAATTGCCAGTATGGAGTTTTGAAGCCTTGCTGTTCTGTTCTGCTTTACCTTCAGCAGGAAGAATTTATGCAGTGGTGATATTTTCCCTAGCCATGTTCTCCTTCCTGCTGTGTTTCCTCTTTCAATTCACTTAATGACAGTGAACTTTATATGCACACAAAAACATACTCTAGGTAATTAGGAAATAGATTGCATTCATCATGTGCAAGTCTGATGCTGTGGAGTCTAGACTTGGAAAATACTGCTTCCCGATTGCTAAATTTCCAAGAGCAGGGATAAATGGCAAGGCTTTGACTGTGGTTGATATGGCTTCTTCCAAGTAAATCTCTGACCAGAAGATGGGTTTCCAGTGCTGCAATTTAGAAATAAGCTCAGTCCCTCTACTTTCTTTTCTTTCTTTCTTTACTTAAAAATTATATTTTGTGAGTGAAGTATGTTTATTTAATCATCATGGTTTATATTGGGATAACTGACCTTTGGCCCACCAGATATTGTTGCACTACAATGCCCATCATCCCTGATTATTGACCACGCTGTTTGGGATTGATGGAAACTGGAGCCCAACAACTTTTGAAGGGCCACAGGTTAGTCACAGCTAGTTTATACGGAGTGCATAGTTCAAAGATGAGAGGAGAATTAAGACTTCTGTTGTCAGTTTTTTTATAGGAGGCCTATCCCTTTAAGAATCCCTGTGTTGTCCAACAGACTCACTATTCCATTTCAGAATGGCAGGCCTATCATGTCATAATAATGTTACTTACTGAAAAATCAGCATCAATGCAGTGGCCCCCAGGATTCTTCTTTGTGTAGGCCAATGGCCTATTCACCATAAGCAATGGTGATGCTTTCTTGGGTTGAATGCCAAAGCTGCTCATTTCTGCCCCCCATCCTCCAGTGCATGCTTTGGCTGTACTTTGAGTGCAGTTCATAAAACATGGTTGTCCGTGAGCCAGTCCTGCTTTAGGGAAGAATGTTAATCGGTTGACGCATTTACTAGTGGTTAATGTGACTTTAGACTTGTGAGCTTACTTCATCAAAAACCTCTTGAGTGTGCATACACTGCAAAAAAATGGGAATATTAAAAGAACAGCTAGTCTAGGGGAGTTCTGTATGCATGTGACTGTGGTAAGCAAATGTCAATCCACATACAAAGGTGTGTTTATGTTGCCCCTGGAAAAGGCTTAGATTTTTTTGGGGTCAAATCTCCTAGGGAAAATAAAATCATCAATTGTTGAACAGTAGCCAAGAATACTTGCTGGCCCTCATTATTCAGGAGTTTCTGCATGAGTGGGATCACAAAGAGCTAAATCTTGGGTAATCTCTTTCTTTAGCTCTTCAGGCTAGTCATGTTTAGCGTCTTACATTTTTGGGATTGAGCATAATCTCCCACCGACTGAACGACTGTGGGAATGAGTCCACCGCAGTTACTTGACAACCTACCCACACCTAGATCATTGCGCATCAGTGGCTGAAAAAGAGGTGGGTTTGAGTAGAGAGGGAACCTGGATGCCTCTAGAATGTCAGTATTGAGTTGTGGGAGCAATTCAAGCATGTATCAGGAAATTAGAGTTTATGCATTAAAAACACCCAGTTCAATAATAAAAAGTAAATAGTAGCAAGGAAAAGGATTTTTTTTAGAAGTGATTTCAGTGTGAAAGAAAATTAAAATTGTCGCTAGCATCCAACTACCTTGAGAGAGACGGAATGTGCCTCCAGGGATGGAGAATCACAGCGCCTGCTGTGGCCGCAGAGACTGGTAACTCATAACTGCGGCCTCCTGCATTGTTTTGCTGTGTTAGCAGCTCTGAAGTGAACTCTCCAGGGCACAAGCCTGGACAGTGTGTATGGAAGCCCTGGGCTGTGTGAACAAATTATAAAGAGGTGTTTCATTTGTGATTCCAAAATTCAATGAACAGGACCCATCTTTCAATAAATTTGCTTGGTAATGGCATTATATTGCATATAATTGCAATATAGAGGGTTTATGCAATTTGAAGAGGATTAAACCATTCTGTTGTCCCAGCACAAAGAAAGAAACAGATATTTTGCAGCTGGGAAAGTGATGGGGAAATGCTTTGGAAAGTATGGAATGAACAAATGGTTAACATGAAGACACAAGCAAATAACGATGAATGCAGCTGGAATGCTCATTGTCGTATAATATCCCTACAAACTAATGGGAAAGAATGTTTAAAAAGACTGGATACAATCTAACGTCTGTGCAAGCAGATCAGGATGACTTTATTATTATTATTAATCGCCTTCCACACACGTGTCTTAGAGCGATGCACAGGATAAAATAAAAAGAGCTTTTAAAAGCAGCACAAAAATATAGTAAATGTGTTTTAAAAACAATGCAGCAGAGACTTATTAATATAGCTGAGAAAGCTGTAAAGATCATCTGGAGAAACCCTTGCTTATCTTTTGGTTCAGGAAAGCTTGCTTGTCTGGACATTGTCAGAACCAAGCAACTGTTTAAAAACTTGAATCAGGCATAACATTCCCTTGGGTTTCTAGGGACACTTGTATGATAGCAGATACCACTGTAATATAAGGCTTCATTCTGTTCTCTACCAGCCTTTTGGTGACTTTTGAACCCTTTTGATTTAGCTGATTTCAGAAAGTTGAAACCCGCCCTATGTTGTACCGTTTTGGTTTCCTTGTTTTGTTTTTTTATCATCAGTGTGTATAAGTGAATTGTAGATAGGGCCTTTATCAGCAAGATTCTGCTCTGCAACAGTTCTGCAGGAGTACCCATTTTTCACTCGTCCTGCTGCCAATGTTCCTTCTTCTCACCATCCATTAGACGTTCAATGTAAGAACTACTTGCAAATATAAATGCAAAAAATTTAAATCGAAACTGAAAACCAACAAAACACAATCTTTTCTAAATATAAGTAATTTATAACATAAAATATAACTCATTTCTATTATTATAATAGATAATATTCCTCACACATGTGGTTTGTTTTCTTAAAAAAAAAACACCAAAGAAATAAATAAAGAAAATCAAATATTAACTCAGGTGAGTGGCTGAAAGCAGCAAATCCTTTCATATTCAGGAAACAAGATCCCTTTGTTACGAATCATTGACATTTATTTTTCTTTCTTTCTTTCTTTCTGATATAATGCATTAATTCCATTGTAAGCACATACTCCCATGTCTCTTGTGTCACTTTTTGAAGGCATAACTTGTAATTGCCATATTTTGGCATATAAGGTTCTTGTTGTTTTAACTATGTACAAGGCTATATTCCTGATGAATTAAGCTACCCATGTAGTTAAACCCAGGCAGACATGTGGGCCAGGATAGATCTTGTCTAATAACAACTATTATAGGATAACTATTTTATTGTTTATTATAATTATCATTATTTATTTAATTTATATACCACCCTTCACCCAAAGATCTTGGGACAGTAGCACAAAATAATTTAAACAAAAGCAACCCACCCACCCCCGACACACACTTAAAAGGATGTAGAATATTAATTAGCCAAAGGCTTGGTTGAAGAGGAACATTTGCCTGGCAGCTAAAGATGTATAGTGAAAGTGCCAGACAAACCTCCCTGGGGAGAGCATTCCACAAACAGGGAGTCACTGCCAAAAATGCCCATTCTCAGTGTTGCCACCTTCTGGACCTCTCTACTACCAATTTATGCCTTTCCCCTCTACATAAATCTCCCTTCGGTTTGAACAACCTGCAGTAAAAAAAACCCTAGTTAGTTCTTTTTACTCCAGCAGCTTTTTCAAAAGCTTTAAAAAGATTTTCTTGATATAATACAGAGGTGAGAAATATCTAAGGGGTTCCATCGCTGGATCTATTTAACTAAGGGATGCATAAGCTTGTCTTGGTTTTGCTTGTGACTCTTCCTATCTCTATAGGGCTATAAAGAAAGGGACTGAGTGGTGACAGTTGCTTTCAACTTAGCAACAACATGAACTCTGGCCAATTGCCCTTGATGAATAATTAGTAACCCCTGAATGGTGCTGGGAGTAACTAGCTGGGAATGTATATGCTGCCAAATTCTGCATTGGCTGGAATTTGGCAGCAGAATTGAGTTCCTGCCAATTTTGAGTCCTAGAATGAACCAGGCACTTGCTGGAGTCTATAGCACTTTACACCCCAGCTCTAAATGGCTTCTTTGATGTTGCAGGTTGTACCTGGAGATGTGATGACACTTTGGCTGAGTAGGTTTCAGTGCTATGTAGTATGGATCGCATTACTGAAGTGGGGTGTTTGTAGATTTTTGACAATGCTCCATGCTGCTCCAGTACTCTTTGAAATGAGGAGACTACAGAGCGGTTATTTCTCAAGGCACAACTATCTACTTCAGGTATAAATAAGGACTTTCTGAGTCCTTATTTGAGTCTTTCTGGATAGATATGAGAGGTGGGCGGGTGGAAATGGAAACCACCGCACTTAGGTGATGTATGAACTATACTCAGAGGTGGAGCTAGCTGCTCCAGCACCCGGAGCGGCGCACAGGCTGTGCACCCAGGGATGGGGCTAGCGTCCCAGGGGGGTGCTGCCTGCGGCGAGCAACCCAGGGGACAGGACAGCAATGTCACCCCCCCCAGGGATGACACCTGGGGTGGACCGCACCCACCACACCCCCTTCCTCCGCCAGTGACTATACTTAGTCACCCGCTGATAATTGCCACATTCCTATTTTTTTGCCTGAAATGATGGCGATGACAAGTATGACTAATGCTAGTTGGTGTGGTGAAAAATGCCTCCCCCCCCCCCAGGAAGCCACGTGCCAAATGCTTCTATACTTGCTCAACATGATATCCAAGCCAGGCATGTTTGTAGTGGAAGATGACACAGAGGTTCAGTCCAGATCTTGCAGGTTCATTGTGCACCAAACCTTCAGATATGGCGTTAACAGCCTTTGGCAATCTGTGTGTAGTGCATATATTATTGATTCAATTAAAAGCAAAGAGTAACATAAGATCTGAAGGGGGAAAGAACAATGCAGGACCTTTTCTTTTTCTTTTACAAAAATCTGTAGAACAGAGCAGTAAAATAGCAGAAGTGGGATTGGGAGGAGGGAATTGGCAGCAAAAAAGCTACAGGCAGACTAATTATAAGTAAGGCATAGCCTTGTGAGCATGGCCATGACTTTAATATAATTATATAGTTTTATATAGAAATCTAAGCCGTTTCCCGATTTGTAAAGGCAGGAGTCTCTGGTGGCATTGTGTTAGGAAACGATGACAGGAACAGAATCTGCATCCTGTGGTTTTTGCACATTACGGGAATGTCCTGTCCTATCTCTGCTGTCAGTTCTTGATTGCACAACCCAGGGTTTTGAGAGAGACCAAATTTGCTATGAGGACTGGTCAGACTTCCTGCCAGTGCGTGACCAATTGGGGAAGGAAAGCCTTCTGCTGATCACACTTTGTGGTGTCCCATAAGGAACTGACATAAGAGAAGACTATTTCCAGGCCACTTTCAGGGTGTGAATCATGCCCCTTGTTCAATCACCACTTTCCTTGACATTTGCATGAAAATGTGATTAAGATGTTGAGAGAACGTGGGGATGCATATATCCTTTTCTATTTATTCTATCCTGAGCTCCTTTGGGTACACATAATCTCTTCTGTACTGTTGCTATCTTAGAGTGGTAAACTTGCCCATAGAAGAATGGTCTTGTGTTGTGTGTGTATGGAGACCTTTAAGCCACCTGGGCATGTTGGCTGCTTGTCCTAGATGCACCTCTCCTGTGGAAGTACTCTTTGTCTAACTTGCACAAGTTATTGGTAACACTTTGATGCAGTGACTCCTGTCAAAATGCAAGGAAATGCTCTTCAAAGGTCACTTCAAAGATTCTTGTAGCCCTGAAATTCTGATTGCATGAGTTCTAGCTGGTCAACTGGCCATCCTGTTTGGTGCTGATGGGAGTTGTAGTCCAACAACATATGGAGGAACACAGGTTCCCCAATCCTGGTATAAAAAATGGATGTGTATGAACAGGAGCAACGACAGGACGTGGTAGAACGCAGCTCAGCTGTGGATCCTTTCCTCTCTTTTATCTTGATGCCTTTTGAAGTGCAGAGTTGTGGATTTTCATTTACCCTCTTGTTGCAAAACTTTCCTGTTGGGTTATGTGAGAAGTCAAAACGAAGGGAACTGTTTCCCTTTTTCTGGCATCTCAAAATCCTACATGATTATGAGCAGAAGAGGTTTGGGAAGCAGACTAGACACCACCTGGAAAAATTGGAGTAAACTGAAAACTGGGTTTGATTTATGTTTACCACTTGTGTGTGGCTAACTCTGACTTACTTCTTTTTATATCTACAGGAGATGAATTAAAATGCAGCACACGACGTGCACAGAGGACAGGATCCACCATGCACTGGAGAGGTGCCTTCATGGCCTCAGCAGAAGCACTTTCTCTGCTAGCACTTGGACTGGTAAGTGACTAACCCCATCACCATACCAGGATGATTTTTCTTTCCTCTTCAGTTTGTTACTGAAATGCATTTGGATGCTTTCCCCCACTTTTTAGTGATTCTTATTGCATTAGCAATATTTGTTCATGTGTAGTCAAACTATTAACCAATGAAAAGGGAAGCAATTCAACATTTAAACAACAAACTGATGTTAATCCTCCTTACCCAAACTCTCTTGATTTTTCCTCCTTCTAGTGAAAGTGCTTGAAAGCCTAACCAACCACCTGCTAGTAAAAAATGTCTCAGATGTTCCCAAATATTCTAGTATCAGTAGAACAGTGGCCACATTAGCACACTACACTAAGGCAAACCATGGTTTAGTGCAAATGCAGTAGCTCCCAAGGAAGAATTTGCAGCTGCTCTGCTCCTCCCTGGGCTTTTTAGGTCAGCACAGTGCAGTAGCTAAGTCAAGGTTTGATTTTGAACGCTGTGTGTCTCCTCCTTAACCATGGCCTTAAACTATAGGAGATTGTGGTTGAGGAGGAGAAACCTTACCCACAATGCTGGGTTTGGAAGACGTGCTAAGCCTAACCTTGGTTTTGTTGCTTTCCTCCATTGACCTAAAAAGCATGGGAAGAGGAGCCAAATGAGCGCATGTTGATCTCCGGAAGCCAGTATTCTCATGTGGTCTTGCTAAGCTATGCTCTGACTTACTGTGGTGTGGAAACCAGGCCATTGCTCTTAGCTCTCGCCCCACATGATGGGACATGTTTTCAGAAAGAAATCTGAAGCTAACTGGGTCTACGCAGCTATGTTGCCAGTTTACTGATTTGAAATCCTCATCCTACAGCCTCAATTTTTAATTTTCAACATGGCTTTTATGGATTGTGGGGTGGGTTTTTTTGAGCCTCAAAATTCTTGATTTTTGCTTCAACCTCTTTCTTACAACAGAGTGGAGGGCAGGAAGATATTTGGCGACATTTACACCATGCAACACTTAAAGTGCTGCGATACCACTTGATGCAGTGGAAGGCAGCTTAATAGGTTCACATTTTTATATTGGCCTGCTCCAGGGTTTGGTGGGCATGGAGTGGGGCATGTGCAGCTCACACGTGGAGCTGTGGTGGTTATAGCATCTCAGTAATGTTTCACAGCAATTGCTGGTTGCAAGCCATGAGCTGCCCTTGCCTTTCAGAGAACTGAGAGAGGAAATGCTAACCATCAATGCCACCCTACGCAGGCAGCACTTGCTGGAGAAGGCAAGCAGTCCTCAGAAGAGAACTCACTGTTTCTGTTCCAAGAAAAACATCTCTTGAAGCTCATCTTAAGCTGCCAGCCGCAAATGTGGGTGCTGCTGCCACCCAACTTTTTTTAGCTGTGCTGCTGCAGTGTGTTGCCATCTGGATACAGCCTTGCAGTATCAATTTCCTCTGTTGCTGATCTAGCACTATTTTGCTAAACCAGAGCGGGAGGACCAAGGTAACAGAAGTTAAGGAAGAGACAGCAAGGAGTCTAGCTAGCTGTTCTGGAATTTGCCTTCCATGCTGACCCTGCTATGATGATGATGATGATGAATACAATAATAATTGAATTAATACCCTGCCCTTCCCCCTAAGGAGCAAACAGAGAAGCAAACAGATAAACAATTTACAAACAAAAACAAAGAAAAAACAGATCGAAACATTCTAAAAGCAATTATAATTTAAAACCTCTAAACACAAGTACAATTAACAACTTTCTAAAAGCAATTACAAGTAACAGCTGCATCCTTGCAATTATCTTGAGGTTGCCAAGTTACTAGGCCCTTATCTACCATTTAGATTCTTATTCTCTAATACTTAACCCCCCCCCATAGCTCAAGGTGGGACACATGCTTCTCTCTCCACCCCCTCCATTTTATCCCTACCACAACCCTGTGAGGTTGATTTAAACTGAGAGACAGTGACTGGCCCAAGGCTACCCAGCTAGCTTCATGTTTGAGTGGGGATTTGAACCTGGGTCTCCCCAGTCCTAACCACATTAACCAGTATGCCACAGTGGTGCCCATCCCTGTGTGGTTTGCACACACTGCATCAGTGTGTGTGTGTCTCTTTCTCTCTTTTAATCCTTCCATGCAGGACCAGCAATTTAACCACGAAGATTCAAAAGAGATGCAAAACTTTGCCACAGATCCTGTAGCAGGAAGAAGATGGGGAGTAGTATTGTCTATGGGCTGCAATGGCTCTTTGCTTTTACTGCTTCACCTCAGGGACTCAATGAATTATGTATATTATGGATTGCTTATATTATTTGGACATGTTGCCATAGGAAATATTGAGGCAGCTCTACCCTAACAGTTAATGCACATGATTTGTTGGAAATGTTGCAGGCTAATGAATTAACCCCAACTGGGAATAATTGGTGTAGGTCAAAAATACATTGTTTCCCTAATGCTGTATTCCAGGTTGTTCTTATCCCTACTAGGGTGGTAAATGCATTTTCTCTCTTGAAGAACTGGATCCACATAGTAGGTGACTACTGAGAAAGAAAGCTCATGACTGTATCTTTTTTTTAAAATAACTCCACACACATCTCGTATCTTTCATTATGGTCCATGAATCTCTTTCATTTTGCCTATATCCCATCTAGCTCAAAATTGCAATGAACATCTGTCTTCTGCAATTAGGACACTGAGTGCTCTGGAATTCATTCCATGCTCAGAACGTGACCTGTTTCTTCATTTTTTGGCAGCTGGGCTTTGTCTGAATTGTTGGAGTCTCCAGGAGTTGGTCAGTCGTGATGCAGGGAACTACCTCATCCTTCTGGAGAAAATCTTGCAAAAGACCCAAGAGGTAAATCAAAGAGGGCAATAGGAAAGAATATTTGTACAAAGGGAGTTCTTGCTCAGTCTGATGCGCTCTGTCTCTCTCTAAGAATCTGGAATACCTTTAGTACAAATAAGAATGAAAAGTAGCTGGTTGCTTTGTGTATCAGCCCAGCTTGCTGCTGATTTCAGTTTGCCTTTGACCAAGTTCTTTCTTTTTTTTAAAAATAATATTTATTACTTTTCCAACAATTTAGACACTACAAATAATACAATACAATACAATACAATACAATACAAAAACACTACATAACACTAACAGTAACAGTAACACTAACACTAACAAACACTAACACTAACACATTAAAGACATTAAACTAACAAAACAAAACAAAACCAGTTTAAAACACATCAAATAGTTTCAATATCTTATCTTTCATTCACTTATTTCAATGACCTCCTCACACCTCCCTTTTTGTATTCCACTTCTATTAATTGTTTCAGCAATTCCTTTCCATCTTCCTCTGCTTTCTATCCTTTAATTATCTTATCAGATTCTAACCTTATTTTTCCCTTTAATACTCTATTAATCTATTTGTACTTAATTCCTTATAACATTTCTACTAAAGCCATATAACTTCATTCCAACATTTTTCTAACATTCATTAATTTTACAATATTTCTGTAAAAAAGTTCTATGCTCTGCTTGGTGTTTCAACATGTTAAAACAATTTAAAGCAAGAGAGTAGATGCACACAATACCTTGCAACGGGAGTACTTCTTTCCAAAATGGCATCAGCATGTCCTGGAGGAAGTCGCTAGTTTTTGAGGCCATTTGTAACTCATTGCTCTGTATGTTGGAAACAGAATCTGGTGTTTAAGTCAGTTTGTCACTAACAGAATTGCTCCCCCCCTCCTTTTGCACCCTGGGAACCCACACATAAGAGGGTATGTCCCACTTTTTAAATGTTTAGTATTTTACAGGTAATAATAAACCAAGCAATAATCCCACCCCCATCCAACCAACCTGCCCCTGCACTTGATGTTGGTTGAATCCTGCTTGGAGTCAGCCATGTCTTAAGGGTACCGACAAGGAACCTGTGGCCCTCTAGAAATTCCACCATCCCTGACCATGTTGGGTGAGGCGGATGAAAGTTGGAGTCCCTGGAGGGCTTCAGGTTCCTCACCCCTTTTTTAGAGTGAGGTATCCGTATAGTTAAAGCTATGGTTTTCCCAGTAGTGATATATGGAAGTGAGAGCTGGACCATAAAGAAGGCTGATCGCCGAAGAATTGATGCTTTTGAATTATGGTGCTGGAGGAGATTCTTGAGAGTCCCATGGACTGCAAGATCAAACCTATCCATTCTTGAGGAAATCAGCCCTGAGTGCTCACAGGAAGGACAGATCCTGAAGCTGAGGCTCCAGTACTTTGGCCACCTCATGAGAAGAGAAGACTCCCTGGAAAAGACCCTGATGGAAAGATTGAGGGCACAAGGAGAAGTCGACTACAGAGGACGAGATGGTTGGACAGTGTTCTCAAAGCTATCAGCATGAGTTTGACCAAACTGCGGGAGGCAGTGGAAGACAGGAGTGCCTGGCGTGCTTTGGTCCATGGGGTCACGAAGAGTCGGACCCCATGGACTAAACAACAATCTGGCCTCAGCAGCAGTCTCTGGGAACTTTTGAAGGACAGCAGTTTGCCAGTTACTTTGTTTTGCACATTGCTGCGAGGAATGGGCACAAGACACCATTTGTATTACTTCTCCCCGCTTCCTCCCCACCCTGCAACAGAATGTCTTGAGCCGGTGTTGATCTTGTTGTTTTATGTGGCAATGCAGGTACTGTGCATGGGATCCTATGGGATTCAGAGTCCTTGAGCACCATAGGTTGACTTGAGCCCAGCTCCGCTCTCTGTTATGCTGGATCTGGAGGTTTGAATTTTACTGCTGGGAAAAAGAGGACAATGAATGAGTTAGAACACCTGGGTCAGCAACTGTCAGAGTCAAGTGGAGATTTCCTACTTCCTGCTCTGTGCAACACCTCCCCATTAGGGAGCAATTGTCTCTCACATGGCAGAATGTTGGGAGCTGCTTGGCAGGCTGAGCTCCCTGCCTCCATTGTTTCCCAGCTATTGTGATGGCAGGCCAGTGGGGAATTGAGGAAGGGAGACCCCAGCTTGTGGCATGCAAAAGGCTTTCCAGGACTCTTGTTTGCAACAGGGTCACAGCAAGGTTGCTGCCCAGGAAATGAATGTAGCAGGTTTTCCTGTGAACCCGTTCGTTAGAAGCTGTTTCCCCCCGCCCTTTCTTTTTAAATTGTTGTCAGACAGTATAACTTCCTGGTGGGTTTGGTTTTTTTTAAATGATATTTATTAAAAGTTTAAAAATTACAGAAAAAGGAAAAAAGGACAACAATATAAAAGAAAAAAAAGAAAACATAGAAAAGCAATACAACAATACAGCAAAAAGAAACAAAAAAAACTAAAACACACATCCAATATTCCATATCTTTACCTTTCCTTTACCTGTTTCATCGACCTCCTCACCCCTCCCTTTTTTTGTATTCTAGTTCAATTCACTATTTCAGCAAATTCTTTTCATCTTTCTCAATTTTTGTTCTATAATTTATCTTAACGGTCTAACCTTAAATTTTTTCATTTTGGCCCGTTTTCAATCAGCTTTTACTTAATTCTTTGTTACATTTCTACTAAAACCATATAGCTTCATTCCAGCATCCTTCTAACACTCATTAATTTTACAATGTTTCTGTAAGTATACTTTAAATTTTTTCCAATCTTCTTCCACTGACTCTTCTCCCTGGTCTCGGATTCTACCAGTCATTTCCACCAGTTCCATGTAGTCCATCAGCTTCATCTGCCATTCTTCCCTGGTGGGTAGATCTTGCGTCTTCCAATGCTTTGCAATAAGTATTCTTGCTGCTGTTGTAGCGTACATAAAGAGAGTTCTATCCTTCTTTGGCACCAATTGGCCGACCATGCCCAGGAGAAAGGCCTCTGGTTTCTTCAGAAAGGTATATTTAAATACCTTTTTCATTTCATTATAGATCATCTCCCAGAATGCCTTAATCTTTGGGCATGTCCACCAAAGGTGAAAGAATGTACCTTCAGTTTCATTACATTTCCAACATTTGTTATCGGGCAGATGGTATCTTTTTGCAAGCTTGACTGGTGTTATGTACCACCTATAAATCATTTTCATTAAATTCTCTTTTAAGGCATTACATGCCGTGAACTTCATACCAGTGGTCCATAACTGTTCCCAGTCAGCCATCATAATATTATGTCCAACATCTTGTGCCCATTTAATCATAGCAGATTTCACCATTTCATCTTGAGTATTCCATTACAACAGCAAGTTATACATTCTTGACAAATTCTTAACTTTAGGGTCTAACAATTCTGTTTCCAACTTTGATTTTTCCACCTGGAAGCCTAGTTTTTTATCCAAGTTATATGCCTCCATTATTTGATAATAATGGAGCCAATCTCGTACTCGGTTTTTTAATTTTTCAAAACTCTGCAGTTTCAATTTGTCACCCTCTTGTTCCAAAATTTCCCAATACTTCGGCCATTTGGCCTCCATATTGAAACTTCCTGGTGGGTTTAATGGAGGCCCTGCCCTGGCTATTCTGAGGAAATTTTGGCCTAAAAATAGTCTTGTGGCTCAACATGCAAAAATCTGCAGCAGGTGAGAGCCTGCAAGAAGAAAATGTACTGCACTTGGGGGTATAATGTGCCACAGCATCATTATAGGGCCTTGCAAGAGCAGAAAGGGCCGTAGAGGGGTTGTTCCCCTCTTCAGGGAGCTAACCACCTCTCTTCCTTCTCTAGGAGATACTTCAGTTATAAAAAAATAAAATAGTAATAATAAATAAAATGATAGTGATAGAAATAATAATAGTAATGAGCAGGATGCACCTAAGTTGTTTTGTTCACAGACCAAGGTCCCCTTGTGCAATCGGACTTTCCCTCTCCACCCCCACCCGCTGGTGCCCCTCTGCAACCACTAAATCTGCTCTGGAGGGTTGGGGGAACCCCAGAACAAATTTAGGAGGCACATGTGAGGAGGAGTGCGGGAAAGTCTTCTTGAGCAAGTGGACCTAATTCTACTCATGCAATGCCCCACTTAGCCCTACGCTGAGTTCCACGTAATAAAAAACCCCAAAACAAATTAGTATGATTAGTAGTAGCAGCAGTATTCAGAGCCCTACATTTTAAAGTGGATGATTCTCTCTACTGGCTGAGCAGTCTGACTATTGCTTTCCAGTGGCTTACGTAAGAAAACCGCAGCATAAGAAATTTGACCTGGAGATCTTGATATCAATTTACCTGTGCTGGGGTGATACTGAGACCCTGTCACGCAGCCTCTGTTGTATTTTGTTGTGCAACTTGCAGCTGTTCTGACTAAAGATGCAAATATACCATGTTTGGTTGCTGAAATGCTGCTTGGTTTCTCTTCTTGACAAAGAGGAACTGTGTGAGAACTTCCCCCTCTTCTCTCTCTCTCTCTCTCTCTCTCAGCTTACCCAATGATATTCTACCACGGGATCCAAAAATACCATATTGTTAGGAATGTTTACTAAGGTGTGCCAGGCACACCTTCTATATACAAAAAGGGAAATACAGAAAAAAATTGTTTAGAATGGCTAGGAAATCATGACACTCTTCTGAAATGTGAGGGCCATTTGGAGAAGGTGATTGAAGAACCCAAGAATGATGTGACTGGGCTCAGAGTCACCATGGAGGAGTGACTTGCCACTGCAACAAGTAACACCTGTAGAGTAGACTTTACCTAGAGAGAAGCAAATAACAATCTTATCAAGTCACACATCAATTCCCCTCCAAAGCTTCCAGGTGATTGGTTTGGGTAGCTTTTCTTTGAGTAGTTTTACCAGAATCTCACTTCCCTCTTGTGCTTTCTTTTCTTCCTCTGCAGGTCCAAGAGAAATGCAACTATGATCTCTTTGCTCCGCTGGCTCTGCTCTTCAGCTCAGCTGTCATGTCTGTAAGTTGTCCCAGCATTGCTGGAATGAATAGCTGAAGGCATTGGCTCTGTGGCTGTTAAAGTTGACAAGAAAACCTTTTGTTTTTGTTTAAAAAATTATATCCAGCTTTTCACCATGTAGGACTCAAAAGAGTTCACAGCAATTCATACATACAAAATTAAAACATAGATTAAACTTTGAGTTTCCCTACTGACTCAGGTCAACCTCTGTATTCCTGATTTTTAGGAGAACCATTGGTAGTTGGGATATTTTTATCTAGCTAGATACTGACTGCTGGTTTACACATGCATGCTCATTGTGTGCTGACTTGTAACACTGACTGATCGGTTTCATCACCACCAAAGAGCTTCTGTCTCACCTGATGTCAATTATTGGTACACTTCAACAGAGGAAGTTCTAACTGTTGACTGCAAATTGAGTGCTGCAAGGATCCATTGATGAATTCTATATGTGTGTGAACCCCCCCCAAAAACCCCTATTTATTTGTTCTGTTTCTTTATATGACTAACAGCAAAGTCAAATTACACTTTGGATTTCACCTTGATGCTTTGCTTTCCTCTGTGTTTGATGGTGGTGTGTGCACATCTTTTGGGGCTGTCACTCAAAGCATTCAGCACTGTTGCTCAGCAGGGGAAACTTGAACTTGAGCCCATGTAGCATCAGCCCGTCTTCTTTTTCTCCAATGGCTTCCTTGGCGGGAGGGGGTGATTTTGCTGAATGAACTTAGATCACAGCGCTGGCAGCTGAAGCTGGTGGTGGGAAATGTGCATGGTTAAAGTTGCTGAATTCCTATATCTGGAAGAAGATAAGGAGATGCTGGCCTCCATTTCTTGGTCTATTTATACCACTGCTATTTTCTTTATAGACACCACACTTTCCTTCAGAGTCAGATTTCCTTCTGAGAGCCATGAGGACATACCAAGACTTCCTCACCTGGCCTGTGCCATACTGCAATATCTGCCAGGAGCTCCTGACCTTCATCAGCAATGAACTCAAAGCCCCAGGTAGGGATCCAGATTGTCTGCTCCCAGCAGGGTTCCTTCAGCCCTCTGTGGTGCTGACTCTTCCTTCCTGGGGTGGGGTGTGTGCTTGGTGTTGATGAATGTCTGAGAAACCTAAAGTTGCACCAGTACATTTATGGGCCATATAGGCATTGAAGCTAACACTGTGCTATGAACTGGAGTGGGCTGCATACATCGTGGCAAGGGTTATTGCCACCAATGCAATTATAGTCAATACAGTGATCCTGAAAGCTGATTTTTAAAACACTCGTAGCCATATGTGTTCATGTAGAGGCACTCTCTACAGCAAACACAACATTTTTGGAGGGTGTTTCATGCACATGCCTATATGAGTGTGGTGGCTTCATCCCACACCATAAGCCTGCTGGCATGCTGCATGGTGTGCAAATGGTGCCAGCACATTGGGTAAAAGCATTAAGGCTGTATCCTGATGAAAGAAGCTTACTCAGTGCTTGCATATCAACAGTATTGGTTCTGAAACAAGATGCATTACAGACCATATTGGATGGATTATTTACACAAGGCCCATCAAATAAAAGTTAATAGAATCATAGAACTGTAGAGCTGGAAGGGACCCCAGGGGTCATTTAGTTCAACTCCCTGCAATGCAGGAATTTCAGCTAAAGCATCCAAGGCAGATTTGTTTAGTCATTTATATTACTTTCAGAGAAGAAAGCACTTTAACCTGCCGAGGGAAATCCAGGTGGGCTGATGGACTGTCCACATCTGAAATAAAGCCCCAGCACACAAAAGTGTATGCTACTATAAATCTCTTAATCTGGAAGGTGCCACTCTTGTTTTAGCATTTTATATCAGGGGTGGGAATGTTTTTCTTCCCAAGGGCAAAATTCCCTAGATGGCAGCCTTCTAAGGGCCATATACTAGTGCTGGTAAAAGTAGGCAGGGCCAGAGGTGAAAAGAAAGAAGAAACAAAGTGTGGAACAAGGAATGTAGTGTCAACCTTTGGACAGTAGGCTAGATTTCAGCCATGCAGTATCTCAGTTCGAGGACACATTCCAGCTAGGGTAGTATCTTCCTGTAGGGATTAAGAATGGGAGTACAGTGGTTTGTCTAAGGTTCCCCCTTCTGAAGTAGGATTTGAACCAGAGGCTGGAGAGCTCCTGTCAGTACTCTGACCTTTTATAAGCCCATGGTTTCCACCCAAGGATAGAACGTTTCTTGTGCAAAGTCATTTGCCTGGCACAATGGATGTGGTTGCACTCCATTGCTCTCCTACCCTCCAGCTTCACTTGAAAGGGGATGAATGGCTCATCGAAATGCTCCAGTAACAACAGAGAATCCATTCAGGTAGACTTGGACTTTGAATGGGTAACTGTGTCAGATAATTTCCATATGATACACTGGGACTTCTGGTCTCTGCTCGTGAACTATGGTGCAGCCTCTGCTTAATGAGCTTAGACTCTGCTCCCATTGATTATCAGCACTCATAAGGGTTCTTAAAGTTTATGCAGTGGAAGCTTCTTAATTAGGCCATGCTGGCAGCCAGCCTTCTGTTACTCCTCATTAAGCAGTTTCCCCAATTAAATGGAGAGGCTTTCTTAGAAAGTGCCTGGGTGCCCAGCATTGTGTTTCAACCTGCAACAGATTCAGTGTCAGATCTACCTTGGAAGAGCCTATTAATGCCATTAGAGGTGAAATACAGGGTGTCTCTTTTTCATTTCCTCATTAAGGCTGCCAGTTCCTTGCTTTTGCTATAAGACTTTAAGTAAATCATCACAGTTTAAATTGAACTATTGGAGTTCTTAGGAAAGCTGAAGTTTGAGAGAGTTCAGTATGCTTTCTCATTATGCAGTGCCTGCAATCGTTAATCTGATTTATCTGTCAAATGCCCGAGGGTGCAAACATCCAGGGGCCCAGTAGCTACTGGTGCCTTAAAAAACAGATGCCTCATCCACACCATGCATTTAAAGCATGTGGTTTCCTTCCAAAGAAACCCTGGGAACTGTACTTTGTTAAGGGTGCTGGGAATTGTAGCTCTGTGAGGTGTAAACCTTGGAGACACCATGCACTTCAAATGTATGTTGCCAATGTGAAATGGGCCTAGTTACTATCTTATTGCTTCCTTGCAAACCATGTGACCACACGCAATGGAGAGTTTTCGAGTGGGTAAGTAAGAATTGCTCTGTGGGGTGCATGTCCTTCAGCTGGACTGTTTCAAAGGGGAGAAGCTGCACTGGAAATGGGTAGAATATTTGTGGAACATGGAAGAACTGTTGGAGTAGCGGACGTCACATAGGTAGTACTTTCTCAATGTGCAATGGCTAGAGACAGAATTGCACAGTGGTGAATTATTGAAAGCAAGCAGTAGCTGAGCACTCTTAAACAGGGGAATGCAAAACTTTCCAATTCCATTGGTGGACTGACTTGAAGCTATCTTTCTCCAAGGCCGAGAGATTTGGAAAGGTGCTCTAAGCATTTTGCTCACCTTGCATGGTGGATCCTTCAGCCCAACAGATTTGCTGAGAGGCAATTGGCCTGATGGGTTGTTTCACTGCTGCAAGCAAATTGTATATGCTTTCTTTCTTTCTTCTGCATAGCTCTACACATTTGGGGAAATCAATGTTGGTAAAAAAAACACTGTGTGTCAAACTGTTTGGGAGTTAGACCCTATCCAAGAAGATAATGGTGAAGAGTGGTATTCAAGCTGAATTCCTTCTTTCATTCACCCCCATCCCCGTGGGGTTCACCTGTCTCTTCCACCTGAGCCCACCAGTTCTGTGAGGTCTCAGTGAGAAGTGGATGCCACCTCTGTGTTTTAACAACCTTCTCTTTCTTTTAACAGGGATTTCATTTCAAAGGCTGGTTAGGGCAGAGCAGGGTCTGTCTGCAAAGAGCTGTGAGAGTTCCATTGTGTAAGTATCATGCAGGAATCATGACTGCTTTCTGTGGGTTAGGAAAGGGAAGGAGCTTTGTGGGATATTGTTCTCCTTTAAATTTCCCAGGGCCTCCTGTTGCTCAGGGCTTGGCTTGTACCAGGGCTCAGCCGCAGCATTTATTTCAGGTAACAGAGGAAATCCTTAGACTATATGAAGGAAGGATAAATGAAACAGTCCCCTGAGTATGCAGAGTGACTTTCCATCACTACTGAGTAGCTGTGAAACCCCCCAGACAAGAGATATGGCTCCCAGACCAGTGGTGGTGGGGTGACTGTAGGCAGGCTTGAGACCTGGCAGATCGTAGGTCCCAGCTGCACTAGCAGAATCCTGCCACTTAAACAGCCATGGCTTCCCCTAAAGAATCATGGGAATTTTGGTTTGTTGTTAGGAGGTCTCTGTTCCCTTCAAATAGGTACAGTTTGGGAAAGGAGTGTGGATGGTGGGATCATAATGGATACGTACAGGATCAGCCCAGACTCTGAAGTGACCTGTGTTTGACCCTAAATTGATGTGTGTCTGCTGAGGTGTAGACAAGTCTATAACTGCCCCTTTTCAATCTACCACCCCTTCAGACATGATATGTTTATGGTTAACAGTTGTTCATGGATAGGGAGGGCTAGTTGTAGATTATGATTATTTCTCTGCAGTCTTGTAACTGCTAGATATCTCAGCAATGCCAGGCTATGTTTTCTAAGCACACTGGTTCATAGAAGCAGTTCCACATGAAAGGGGAGTGGGTGTAGAAAAACAGAAAAACTGTGCCATCTGCTGGTGCTTTGATGTGAATTAATTGAAGTATGGAGTCACTGCATGTTTTCTCCTGCCCTCCAATAGCTCATAGATTATGAAAGTGATCTGTGGCCCCAGGCACAGATAAACGTTGAGTCTCTCCATTTCTGAGTTGGGCTTTTAACAGCTTGCCGTCCTATTGCCTCTTCTCTCTTACCTATTCCCCACCCCCACAGAACAGTCCTGTTGCTGAACCCTTCAGAAGTTGACGGAGAGTTTCTCTCAGTCGCTGAAAAGTTGAGCACAGCAGAGCACTCCCAGCACACGGTACTGGTGACACTCCTGGAGCACATCTACCAAGCTAACTTTGGGACCAAATGTGACCTGCCAAGACTACGTGAAGTTCTCAAGGTAGGGAAAGCTATGTGGCCTGGGGCCTTGGATGCATAGTTCTGTGGAATGATTACTGATCGATTCTTAAGTTCCAGGAGTTTTCAGTCTTGAAGAAGCAGACATTTTGATGGCAAATGAATCAAAACTGGCATAGCTAAGAAAGTGGCTTGGGTCAAATGGTGAGAGAAGGAAGGATACTGAATAACTTGCCTCGCATTGTTTGCAGGTTCAGGAAGTAGATTGGTTTTACCCCAAAAACCACAGCAATTTTTTTTCTCTCTGTGTGTGTCCTTGCAGCACTGCAGGATATTTACTTAAACTTAAATCCTCCTGCCTAAACTGTGTGATCCTGTTCCTTGCTCAGAAAGGGCAGCACAGCGCATGCATCATGGTTAAACTCTGTCCTCCCATCCTCCCACCTGTTGTATATTGTGTAGTGTGTGAAATGGATGCTAAGATACCAGATAGATCTTCTGCTGACTGTTCCCTCTCTCCCTCCACCCCCCTCTCTCTCTCCAGCTGAAACCTTTAGAAAAGCTCATGGAGATATTTGCCAGCACCACAGAAGCTCAGGAGCTGGCAGCTGCCACCAGCAATGACCTTTCCATGGCTAAGGAGCAACTAGAATCTGCTTTGCTGGAGATTGCAAAGGCAGCTGGGCTGCCTGAAATTACAGGTGGGAAATTATTAGGGCAGTTTCTTCCTTGGGGTGTGGGTGGGCATGTTTGGATGTGGTCAGTTCCATACCATCCTGAAGGAGCATGTTGCAGTCCTAACCTCTGGTTGCTTGTCTCTTTAGGGGAAGTCCAGCATTGTAAGCTCCACTTGATCCCCATCCCTGTTGCCCGGTGTTACACCTACAGATGGGATAAGGATAACTTTGGTAAGCTTGGAAACATGTAAGCAAGTTTGGCTTGATTCCAGGAGATGTTCCTTGGCCCCATCATGGCTTCCCATGCACAGCTGTGTATGTTTCTTTCCCCCAAGCAGTGATAATCCTGGCAACATCAGCTGTGATCTAGTGGGACCCTTGTGCCCTACTACAACTCCAAATCTAAAGGCTGATCTTTCAGTGGGTGCTATTAGAGCAGAGCGTATAAAAGCAATCTCAAGTTTAAAAGCAATCTCCTTTTCTATTCCTAATTTTGCACCTCTGTCCCTTTTGCAGACATCTTGAATGAGGTACTAGACAAAGAGGGGCACTTTCCAAAGCCTGTGGTTTTGGAAGATGAGGAGGAGGAGGAAGAAGAAGCTGATGGCTACTGTCCAGAAAGAACTTCTCTGTTGACTTCCCTGGCTGCTGTCTCCAAGGAATCTGTGTATTCCGTATTGTCGGAAGTCAGTCCCCGTGACTCGCAGGCACCAGTCCTCTCCACCCTTTCCAAAGACTCTGAGCTCTTGTTGGCCTCTAAAAACTCCTTGAAGACTTTTGTCTCTAGCCTGAAGGACTACACAGACAGTGGTTATGTGGAGGACAGTGATGACAGCTCCCTTGAGCCGATTGGCCGCCTGGATCCAAAGGAGGAGAAGGCATCTCCCAGGCACCGGTATCGCCTGAGCAACAGGATAATCAAGCTGTTCAAGAGCAAGAGCCAGCTCATCCTGGGCAGGGAATTGCGGGACGTTTCTGAGGTGGCGTCGCTTTCACTGCCGCTGCGCCGAGCCGAGAGCCTCTACAACCCCGTGGTCAAAGAGCGCATCCCTACACGCTCACGGCGTGCACACTCTCTGCCGCAGCATGCACTGAGCGCCACGCTTTTCCAGACCCGTGTGCCGCAGAATGCCTGTGTCCAGCGCAGGCCCTTCCTGAGCTGCGACGAGGACACCAAGGTCTCAACGCTGCGGGTGGTCGTGTTTGGCTCCGACCGCATCTCTGGGAAGGTGGCCAGGGCTTACAGCAATCTTAAGTGAGTGGCAGAACAGCCTGCTGGCGATCTCCTCTACTTGCTGAGTCCCTGTTAAGGAATCTGCTGGCAGACACGGGAGGGATTTCCTCTTAACATCCTGCTTACCTACATTTGGCCCAAGGGGGTGGGTGATAAGGTCACCTCTGGAGTTTCACATCACACCATCAATTCATATCCTATCTTACCCTTTCATGCCACCTTTCATGCCACCTTTCAATTCATATCCTATCTTACCCTTTCATGCCACTATGCCATGGAAATGGTCTCCGAAATGGGTTCTGAGCTCTGCAGTATGCCTAATTACTACAATATTGTACCCTTCTTTTATACCTTTGATGGATGCTAGCAGACTGTAGCAGAGGGGTGGGGAACTGGTTCTGTCTGGATCCATATCCCCTTCCCATGGGCTGAGTTTGATAGGTTGTCATGACCACCCATGTGTCAATCAGCTGAAATTGCAATGTTGTCAGGTGAACCAGTTTTGCCTGCTGGGTTTCAGATCAAACCATGTGATCAAAGGCACAGAGTTCTGTAAGCCCTGGTGACCCAGTGTAGGGCAGGTGGATGTGACTTGGACAAATAGGGAGGCTTGTTGGGATTAGTTAGGGCTGTGGACTGAAGACTGTAGCAAGGTGGTCTCCATCTCACTGTTTTCCATGTGTCCTATTCATTCGCTGCAGATCTCAGGAAAGCAGCTGCCCCTGGCTAACTCGGTACTTCAAACTGCAGTTTTACTATGTCCCCGTGAAGAGGAGTGGCCCTACCTCATCTGCACTGACCTACCCTCCTCCTTCTCCAGGAGATCCACATTCCCGTGCCTGTGGATCAATGGTATGCATTTGGGGAATGGCAGGCTTCCAGGGGGCATGTTCCATTATGCCAAGAGGCACAATATCTTCACTTTTAGCTATTACTGGTGCTTGTTGGGTGCCTTCTGTTGGAAAGAACCTTCTTGCATTATCTGAGATAGTGGGGATAGCCTGGCTTGTGTGCCTTTACCCTAAGAATCAAGAACCTTTCACAGCAGGAATTTCAGCCTTGATCTCTTTGGATGTTGGGAGCAATTTGGGCATCCTCTTGCTATGGTTCTGGTAAGACCTGGCCATCGATAGCAGCAAGCTGGCTAATGGGCTATGCTTCTTTCTTTGATTTTCAGGATCCTAGTTTGGCAGGGGTGGAGAGCAGCACAAACGATATCTCGGTCTACATTGGTATGCTGGATCCATGGTACGAGCGCAATGTTCTTGGGCTAATGAACCTTCCCACAAATGTTCTATGCCAGGTAGGTCCTGAACTATATACTGCTTAAAACAGCAGTGCTCTCTCTTTTTGTAAGATCCAGGCCTCATGGTGTAGCAGTGTCCTATGAGCTTACACTCAGTCATCTCCCACATCCTTTGAGCTTAGGTGCTGGGTCAGTGTGGGTCTAGCTGCCCACTCACTGATGTTGCCATCATCACCCACCAACTCACCAGCTATTGCTGTTGGTGCTGGGTTCCTATGGGGCTGTATGGAGCACTCTCCCCATCTACATGTACAAGAAGGGATCCTTCTTCAAAGCAAAGCACTGAAGATAAGGCAGCTGCTGAGAATGCTTATGCTATTCTCATTTTTTCTGCAGTGGTTGGCGATTCTGTTTTTAAACAGAATTGTTGTGACCAAGCGGTGCACATTTTCAGGCAAATAGCCACAGGGTACTCAAATATTGACTCCTCTCTTGCTCTTGAAGGGTGCCAGAGCTCAGTGGTAGAACACCTGCTTTGCATGAGGAAAGTCATGGGTTCAGTCCTCAGCAAGTCCCAGGGAGAGATGCCTGTCTGAAACCCTGGAAAACCAGTGCCAGTGAGTTTAGACAACGCTGAGCTAGAGAGACCAATGGTCTGACTTGGGATAAGGAAGTTGCTTATGTTGCTGAAGAAAGAGTTACTATAGAGTAGGTTCTGCAGTTGAATCACCAGGGCATCCTTGGCCTAGACCTGTGTGTGTGAATGAGTGGTTTGTTCACTTTTTGCTCTTTCCATAGCAATCTGCCAAACCTGAGGGTGAGCCCCTAGAAGATACAGCAGAGCAGCTCCCCATCCTTGCTGACATGATCCTTTATTACTGTCGTTTTGCTACCCGCCCAGTGTTGCTGCAGGTCTATCAGGTAGAGGTGAGTTTGGTCCTAAAGCCCCATGGGATTGGCCAAGCAGCTAAAGACTCTCTTTTATTTGCTGGAGAGATGAGAAGCAACTGCGTGTCCCCTGCCTTGTGTTTGGCCAGGCTGGGCCTCCATGATCTGAGCCACTACTTTCACTCTGTAACAGTCACATTTGTCAAATATAGATAACTTGCAATGTGATGGCCACTATCAGTTCTCTCTCTCTCTCTCTCTCTCTCTCTCTCTCTCTCTCTCTCTCTCACACACACACACACGTACTCCTGTCTACTAAAAATGTTGTCTGTGCCTTAATGACAGGAAAATTGGAAGCCCCTCCATAGGAAATTGATATGGGTCCCATCAGAGAACAATTGTCTACTCTTGGAGAGGACCCAGATGTATGGTTGTCAGGCTCATGTGATCTTTAGGCAAATCACAGCTCATCTCCAATCCAGGACTGGAAACCCAGTTCAAACTGAGGCTTCCAGTTCTAGTTTAAGGCAAGCAATGGTTTGTCATAATCTTATTTTACCCAGTTCAGAGAAGATAACAAACTCTGGTTTACCCTGAAATGAGAAATGAAAAAGTGTGTGAACATAAGTGTCTGATACTCGTTGTAAGTGTCTGATGACTGAACCACAATCTGAATGAAGTCACTGTGTAAATACGAAGCAACTGCCAGACACAATCTTCTGCTTGTGGCTCCTCTTGAAGCCAACTCTGTGTGGCCTCCACACACACTGATGCTGGCTTCCTTCCTCCAAGCCTATTTGTTATACTGCATAGAGTGACTTCCTCAGCAGCATATAACTCTGGGTCCTTGTGTTCTTCTTTTCAGTGATGGCTTTGAAAGGTCCTGGTCTGTGTTTAAAAAGTTGTGTATTGGAACTCTGTTAATTAGAATCCAATTTTTGCCCCTAAGCTACTGGGTTGTTTTTAGAAAATGTTTGACCTAAAGAAGGGCTGAGCTGAATAGGGTGTCTCATAAATGCTGGATTGACCTCTTCCTTCCTCAATTCTGCAGCTCACCTTCATTGGAGGACAGACAAGGACAGAGATCTTCATCCACTCCCTAGAGCTGGGCCACTCAGCAGCCACACGGGCCATCAAAGCCTCAGGTACGCATCTGATCAATGTTGAAAGCAGGTTCTCTGTGACATCCTTTTGTGCTGTTTAGTCTGCAACATAGCTATTCCCCTGGAAAGTGAAGGGGAGAATAGAGATGGGAAGGAGGAAACCAAATTCCTAACCCATAGAAAAGCAGCAAATTGAGAATTTGGACAGCATGATGATCTGCCGGGGTGGGTATTCTCCTATTAATACACTGCTAGGATTAGGCACTTTTGAAACTCTTGGTGAATACAGACATAACACAGAAGAAGAAGAAGAAGAAGAAGAAGAAGAAGAAGAAGAAGAAGAAGAAGAAGAGGAGGAGGAGTTTGGACTTGATATCCCGCCTTTCACTCCCCTTAAGGAGTCTCAAAGCGGCTAACAATCTCCTTTCCCTTCCTCCCCCACAATAAACACTCTGTGAGGTGAGTGAGGCTGAGAGACTTCAGAGAAGTGTGACTAGCCCAAGGTCACCCAGCAGCTGCATGTGGAGGAGCAGGGAAGCAAATCCGGTTCACCAGATTACGAGTCCACCATTCTTAACCACTACACCACTACACAAGAGGACCTTTTGCAGTTGTACTGACAGACATGCATGCTACTGGAAACTCCCAGTGCTGGACTTGCTCTCCTCCTCTGCTTGAGGCCTGTTGCCTGTACTGGACTCATCTGTCTATCTGGTAGCTTCTGCTGCCATCTCCCCCTGCTGGGGAAAGTTAACAAAGCTGTGGACAGCAGCAGAAATGAGAGGATCATCCGCTCCTTCTCCTCCCCCTCTGCAACATGCAACAGAATAGAGAGGGGTGTATGGAGAGCCTGGTTTTCTTTCTACCTTCACAAGATGGGGTGTGCTCTTTTCCTTTCTCAGAGACCTATGTAGAGTAGGTTGATCAATTCTGCAAAGTTACTTCCAGCTGAACTGGGGAATGTGGCAGCAGAGTATGGGGTGACGAGCCTGGGACATGCAGCCTGCCTTAAGAGGCAATGCTGATGACTGGGGCAGCTTTTTAGTTTTTTGATTTGCGCATCTTTTGGTTCTGTTGCGAAGAGACTCTGCACTACATAGCCCTTGTCTGTAACAAGATACTACCTCCTCTCTTTCCCCCTTTTTTTGGTGCAGGTCCAGGTTGCAAGCGGCTGGGCATAGATGGAGATAGAGAAGCAATCCCACTAACACTACAGATCGCCTACAGCAAGGTAATTCAGAGGTAGCTGCTGCTTCTTGCTCCTATTGCTGATGTTTGCCTCTAATATTCAAGCCTAGTCCTTTAGCTGGGCTGGAAAGGAGAGGACCAGCAGCAGAGAGGCAAAATACAGGGAATGAAGAGGCCACATGTAAGCGAAATACTTGCACTCTGGAAGCACTTTTGGAGAATGTTTTAATTAGATGGGGCTGGGGCTGTGAGCAGCAGTTGCCCCCCCTTTCTTGCATGCTTCCACAGACTAGAGAATAACTGGGGTGCTGTGTGATCCCTCCAGAGAGCAGTCAGTGGACGGAGCCGCTGGAATGACATTCAGAAAGTCTGCACGACCATCAATCTCAGCAAGACCTGTAAGAAACAAGAAGAGCTTGGTGAGTCTTTATGCTAGGGTGAACATGACTTTTTGCTACCTTCTCCCAGCACTTAGGTGGAGAATGGGCCAGGTGATTTAGAGAAGCCCTGTGCAACCTGCATCCTGATGTAGATGAGCATGCTCTTCTCTGTGTGTGTGTGTGTGTGTGTGTGTGTGTGAGAGAGAGAGAGAGAGAGAGAGAGAGAGAGAGAGTTGTGTGCAAGCTGTTTTGTCATGTGTGTGTATTTATATATAAATATATATATGCTGTCGTCTTGTTCTGATGGTTCCTTGTTTTGCTGAAGCATATTGAAGAGAAGCTGCAGACATGCACATTTAGAATGGAGTTATGCCAATTCTGCCAGGCAAGGAAAACGCTACTGCACACAAAATCCACACAATCTGGCTCTGTTGCATGTGTAGTTAGCCCCTTGGGGATTTCAAAACCTCTTACAGATAGTGGGACAGTTGGCATAGGAATGTAGGCCAGACCCCAAACCACCACCCACCTGGATGACTACTTCTGCCTGTTGCATTTCTGTTGACCAAATGCTGCAACTTCCTTTTTCATCTCTCCCCTTTTGCTTTTTAAAAACAGCTTGACAGCTAGCTTCAGAACTAATCTGCCAGAGTCATGCAGTAATACACTTGGCCACAAGGTGCCACAAACTTTCTGGCTTATGCTGCAAGGACTCTGGCTCACCTTTTGCATGAAACTCAGGGTTGACTCTGGTCCAGCTCTTTTAAAGAAAATCTGTTTTTAGCCCACTAAAGCAACTGGCTTTCGATTCGAAATACTTTTAATTGCTTGCATAGACTGAGTGGGGTTTTCTCACTGAAATACATTTTTAGGAACCATCTAGCACAACATCGGACATGGGTGGCGCTGTGGGTTAAACCACAGAGCCTAGGACTTGTCGATCAGAAGGTCGGCGGTTCGATTCCCTGTGATGGGGTGAGCTCCCGTTGCTCGGTCCCTGCTCCTGCCAACCTAGCAGTTCGAAAGCACGTCAAAGTGCAAGTAGATAAACAGGTACCGCTCCAGTGGGGAAGGTAAACGGCGTTTCCGTGTGCTGCTCTGGTTCACCAGAAGCGGCTTAGTCATGCTGGCCACATGACCTGGAAGCTGTACGCTGGCTCCCTCAGCCAATAAAGCAAGATGAGCGCCGTAACCCCAGAGTCGGTCACGACTGGACCTAATGGTCCAGGGGTCCCTTTACCTTTACCTAGCACAACATCGCAGATTGGTTCATGGATTTTGTAAGGTGTGAAATGGGGAGGCACTGCAGAAAAGTGCGGGCAAGTGTCTGCTGCATGCAGCCTTGCCCCCAAATTATGTGCCAGGGAAAGGGATTGAGGTTAAGATAACTAACACAATGGTATTTGATACTATGGTGGTGGTGGTGGAGGAGGAGGAGGAGGGATGGAAGATGAAAGTGTGATGAGTTTTGGAGTCAAGGGAATGAGGAGAGGGGTGTATCGAGGTGCTGCAGAAACTGTAGCCGCTGGACTGCATCTTTCATAGACTTCTTCCTGAAGCTTCAGAACTTTTGCAGAGCAGCCCTGCTGTCCATAAAATGTAACTGTGTGTGGCTTCTTTTATAACCAGTTCTTAAGGGTCCCTCCAGACTGGTGCTTTTTTGAGGGTGCATTCTGCAATGTGTCACTAGTGCAGTAATAGTGCATTAATGGCAGGTTGATGCTGGACCATCCACACATCATTCAACTCTACTAGTTGTTATTTCCCAGTGTTACTGCATCACAGTGTTCAAAACTCCCATTTTGTGACAAGAAATTTCATTAGCACAAGCCGTTTCTGAGCTCTGGGCGCAGTACCATGCCTGAGATTTCAGATTAAAACTGCAGAGTGGAAGGAAAGGAGGACCTTTTTCTACCTCCCCATTTCCAGCTACTCTCTGAAGACTGGAGAAGAGACCATCTTAAGAATATTAGGGGAGTGGGCGGGCAGGGGAAGGACTAGACCATGTGAAAAAATGAACATAATATTTTAGCTGCAGTTCATTCATTTTCAGCTTTGTATTCTTGTTATACAAAAGACATTCCATTGTTGTGCCCATAACCTAGGTTTAGGGTGCCATTTAGCTCTTAGCTTTCATATCTCAGTTTCTCACACTGCTGCATTATTGACGTCTGGAGGGGCACTCTTGTACAAAGTGCAACAAAAGTGAAACATCACCCACCTCCAGGACATGTGTGGTATGAAAAGTGGCTGGCTTTCAGTAGGTAGCTATGGAACATGCACAGGTTGGAAGCATGTCTGCTCTGAAACCTTTGCAGGCACAGGGAGTATTGAAAGCAGGATCCTGTATAACCATCCTGATACAATCAGAACACAAATAATCATGAATGCACAATAAAAAGGATGTCTGGAGGGACCATAATTGCCTTTACCGTGACGAAGGTGTTGTTCCATATACTAGTATAGCTCCTTTCCTGTTTCCTCCAGATTCAAAAACCGAATGCTTAACTCTCACTGCAACAGAGGTAATCAAGAGGCAGAGTTCCAAGTCCAAGAAGAGTTTCAATCAGGTAGCCTGACCTGTGGGTCTTAACCCTTTGTGGATTTATTTTCATCTCATGGTGTTGTTGGGTGGGCAAGAATGCTTTTAGCCTTGGTGAATTTCCCTTCTGCTGCAACCACCACCAATAATTTGACTGATTTTTCTTCTGCAGCAAATCAGTGTGTCTCAGATGAAAGTGGACAAGGTCCAGATTATTGGGGTGAACTGTTCCTTTGCTGTGTGCCTAGACCAGGATGAGAAGAAAATTCTGCAGAGTGTCACCAGGTAGGGAAAACATGGGAGGATGGGACATTTTCCCGTAGTTGTAATTGGGCTCTGTGATGGGGGTGGGTGGATAGGGAAACTGCATTTCCCTCCTTGGTCCATCCTGATTTAAAGGTAAGCCACTCTAGTTCCAAAGCCTCGGGACCAAAGATGGATGCTGGACCTTCACATTAGGGTATATCTAATTTAAGAATTAAACCTAAAGATACTTGGGGTTCTAGGTCTGGCAGCAGCCTGGTGTTCTGAAGTGTTGCCTCCACCAGTGTTGCCTCCACCAGCTCCTACCTGCATGTCACCTGAGCTCTGCTGGCTCCACCCTTGGCTAGGTCTTATGAAAAGGGTAAAAGGTAAAGGTACCCCTGACCGTTAGATCCAGTAGTGGACGACTCTGGGGTTGCGCGTTCATCTAGCTCTATAGGCTGAGGGAGCCAGCATTTGTCCAAAGACAGCTTCCGGGTTATGTGGCCAGCATGACTAAGCCACTTCTGCCGAACCAGAGCAGTGCACGGAAACGCCATTTACCTTCCCACCTGAGCAGTACCTATTTATCTACTTGCACTTTGATGTGCTTTCGAACTGCTAGGTGGGCAGGAGCTGGCACCGAACAACGGGAGCTCACCCCATCGTGGGGATTCGAACCGCCGACCTTCTGATCGGCAAGCCCTAGGCTTTGTGGTTTAGACCACAGCACCACCTGTGTCCTTGCGGTGAAAAGGGTTTTGGAGCAAATTCTTCATTCCCACCAAGTTCCAGCAGATCCTGTAAGAAGGTTTAGTTAGTTTTGGGAACATATTCTCTAATCCTCAGCTGCTTAGATTGTTCAGGGTGACCCAAGTAGCCCTTTACGGTCATTTGGTTTGGGGGCAGCCTGTCAGTCGTCTCTCTCTAGATTAAGTCCATTAAAAAGTATGTAGTGTTGAATATTCTTTGTGGATGCCTTAAGCTTGGTCTGCTTTATCCAACAGTGACCCTTCACTCCTGATTATGCAGCTTAGTCCACAATTGAAAACTTTCTCACAGGAGACCTCTGCAGTGATCTTCAGAATCCAAGCTGGGTGCCATTCACTTTGTGTACTTGAGCAGGCCAAAAATCTGGGTTGCAGTGGGGATCAGGACTTCTGATCTAGGATAAAATCCATCCAGATATACTCCTTGTGTATGATGAAGCTGTGGCTTCTGAGTCTAAGTTTTCCAAGCAGAGTCCACCTCACTGCATAGTCAATCTAGAGGCACAGTGGTACCTTGGGTTACATACGCTTCAGGTTACAGACACTTCAGGTTACAGACTCCACTAACCCAGAAATAGTACCTTGGGTTAAGAACTTTGCTTCAGGATGAGAACAGAAATCGTGTTCCGGCAGCAGCAGGAGGCCCCATTAGCTAAAGTGGTGCTTCAGGTTAAGAACAGTTTCAGGTTAAGAACAGACCTCGAGAACAAATTAAGTACTTAACCTGAGGTACCACTGTACAGGAGCCAAGGAAAAATGGCCCTATGTATTTCTGCTAGGCAGCTGAACCTGTACGCCCACCTATTGACGGAACAATGTGTTGCAACTTTGCTCAGAGTTAATAATGCACTTAAATGTGCCTGTGTCTCCTCAATAAATCAACTTCTGCTTCAATCTTAATATCCTGCTGTATTCACAGGTGTGAAGTCTCTGCATGCTACAAGCCCAAGATCAGTGAGCCCTGCATTGAGGAGAACCCCTGTTCACTTCTCCCTACCCAGAATTCCTCTGACTTCTGCTCTCTTCTCTGCTTACCCATTGCCACCTTCAGTGGGGCACTGCCCTAGGGAGTCCGAAAGGATGGAGTGAGTGAACTGCTTCCAGCTCCCAGTGCTGATCAGAGGTGCTACCAGGCATCCAATGGAGATGGACCTCCACTGAAAGAGGAAAACCCATGGCATGCGTCTTCCTGCCCATGCTGGGTAGCTTGGCTTCAGCAGAAGCAGGGCATGGTAGTCCTCCCAGAACTGGGAAACAAGCACTTGACACCCCTGGAATATGAAAGGGTTTGGTGTCTTTTAGGGGAAAGAATATCTACCATCTGTGGTTTCCCCAGGAGTGCTGGAGAGAGAGAGAGAGAGAGAGAGATTGCAGATGACATGGCATGAATGTGATGGGGGCACATCTGAAATGCAGAGAAGTTGGAGGGTTTGCCTGGCCAGTTTCTGCTAAACCACTGAAAAACTTCATTGAGAGTGAGAGAATTGCAGCTGTCTGCTCCCCCTTTTAAACAGGGCATTGTTGATGTGACTGGCCCAGGGCGGGGCCTGACAGGCCTATAAGAACTGCTGCTGCGGCTACCACCCAGGAGGACTCCCCTGCTCAGCGCCTGAGGACCCCAGTCCTGCCCAGGGCGGGGCCTGATGGGCCCTATAAAGGACTGCTGCCACTGCTGCTGCTGGGCAGAGAGGGCTCTGTTTTTTGGGGGGGGGTTGTTGTTTTTTTTACCTATGTCATTTTAAACTCTGATATGAATGGTGTATACTTAGTTTTAGATTTTGATTTCTGTGGAAATTGTTTCCCATTTGGTTGTGTATTTTTTTGATGTGGTTTATTTATTGTTTATGACTTTTGTAATTATGTAAATCTTGTTATGCTGTAAGCCGCCTTGAGCATTGTTTTTTTAACTGTGGAAAGGCGGCATACAAATAAAAAATGATGATGATGGTACTTACTGCCCTACAAACGAGTCCATAACAACAGAGGTGGGGTATTTTTTTACAGCTGGAGCTGAATGCAGCTTTTGTGCTTATGCTTTGCTGCCATTCACAAATTGCAGGGATTGCAGTATGTTGCACCTTGGGTTTTTCTTTGTTGAAATTGCCTGATGCTCAGTCTGTTAAGAGTCACCAGGAACTGGAATTTGGAATTTGGTGGCCAGCAGGGGGTGGGCAGTGGCAGGAAGCGAGCAAAATGAATGAACATGCACTGAATGAAACTGAAGGGCAGATTGGAGCAGGGTGTGCTCTCAAATGGAACAGAACGGTTTGATGACAAATGTTAGATGAACCAGAGTGCTTCTCTGTAAAAATAAGATCGGAGAAGAAAACACTAATAGCCATCTATGGTTGTCAGTGGATGCCCTAAGTCTCTGCAGGAGAGCCTTTGAAGCAAAACTGTTCTATTTGCCTAACTTCCTACAGAATTGGATGGCTTTGAGGTGTTCTTGGCCACCAATGCGTTTATTCCAGGCACAGGAAGCCCATGTTCCTCCAGGTGGCGCTGGACTCTACCTGCCACCATCTTCAGCTGGGTATGGCCAATAGTCAAGGATGATGGGAGTTGGGAGTTCAACAACATGCAGATGGGTACTGTTTCCCCATTCCTGGTATCAAGGAATGCAGGGCGTTACATGCTCTTGTGTTGCTCCAGATTTGCGACACCCAGGTGGAATCGTTTCAGGAGGCACAACTGCAGAATTTATGAATGGGTGGTTGCTGTAGCAAAGAGGCAAAGAAGCCTCATAACAGAACTGGAAAAGAACTATCGTGGTTTCTCTTGCTCTGTAGCAGGAATGGTCCTCTAGATGATGATGAACTCCCACCTTCCCTCGTCATTGCCCATGCTGGCTGGGGCTTGATGGGTGCTGGAGTCCAACAATATATGGAGGGCCTCAAGTTCTCCATCCTTGGTATAGAGTGGGACTCCTTTCCCCCCTGAAGATGGAAACAAAATGTTAACCTGAGAAATGTAGGTAGCACTGAGGTCCATTTTAATCGCCTTCTTACTTGAATTAAGCCATTTTTACATGAAAGTTATAATAATAATACATGCTGTTTACTTGCTTGCTTTTGAGAGGAGAATGCAAATGGGTGAAACTGATTGTTGGTAGTGGGAGGTGGTGACTAAAGGGGCATTTTGAACTCCCAGTTGCAGGGAGTGTCTGTGTGTGTGTGTTAGTGTCAGCAGAATGTGGAAAGGAAAAATCCAGGTGAACAGGGTCCTCCTACCTTCTCATTCCACTTTTTATTCTTATTGAACACACACACACATTTTGCATGGGTAATAGTTGCATATTCTTTTCTCAGGGAGAGGAACAACCTGGGGTTAGGTGCAATGCAGATCAAGAAATTGCTGGGTGAAGAATTGAGGACAAGGATGTCAAGTCTCAAATTCTTCCCTAGAAAACTTCCAGAAAGGTGCACACACAGAAGCCATGGGATGCCACAAAGTGGTGCTTTTAATAGCTTTTGTATGCCCTGTTTTTTGTTTTTAAAGCACTGATTTTGTTCCTTAAAATGAGCTGTTTGCCCTTGGTTTCAAGTTGCAATCTTAACACCTTACCCTCTCAAGACCACTGCCACATACCTGCCTGTAAAAGCAATTTGTGGCAATAAAGGCAGCGTGATGCACTGTGGTTTTCAGTAGCTGTTTGTAAGAAGCTTTTGGAAGGGAGGGAGGAAGGGAGGAAGGAAGGAAGGAAGTGTGTGCATTATAAATGCAAAATTTTCTACTGAAATTGAGTACCTTTTGTCTGTTGGAGCATTTCTTTAATAGATGCAAGAGTTGCTTGCTTTTGTACATAAACCCACTGTGTAAATTTTATATTGTGACCTAATTTTATAAAATATTGTTGAGATATTTTATTGTAAATTTATTTGAAATAAAGCCACATTTTCATAAATCAAGACTACATGTTTTTAAAACAGCTGTGTTGTTTTTAATATGTTTTCTCATTTGCTTCATTCTAATATTCAGGCTGCTTTTTAGCCAAGGGAAAGCTGTTGCATAGTTGAACCACTGGATGGCACCAAAGAATCCTACACAATTAGCATCAGTAAAGCCTTGTCCATAAGCAAAAAAGCGATTATCTGATCCTCCTGCACCTGCTCTGTGTGTCCTCTACGAAGTTCAATGCAAAACCAAGGAGTGACGCAGGTTCAAATTCCCACTCAGACATGAATTCCACTGGCTAACCTACCTCACAGGGTTGTTGTGTGAATGAAATGGAAGAGGAACATCATATAGCAGGAGGGATGGGGTATGTCAGGTCTGCCGCTAATTGTTTGACTCCAGCTTCTGTTATTTCTGACCATTGGCCACAGTGGCTGGGGCTGAAGGGAGGCAGAATCGAACAACATTCCTGCTATACACACTGCCTTGATCTGTCTGGAAGAAAGTTGGAAAATAAATACAATAAATAAATATTTATCGGAACAGTACAATGCACATTTCAAAGCAGAAAAGGGCATATGATTGATAACCTATTACACGCAAAGAACAGACCGTGTTTCTTTGTACAAAACTATGATGAATTTTGATCACAACTGCAGAATTGTACAATGTATATTTGCTTCATCCAGTAATTATAAGAGAGAGCTTATGAATTAAAGTACTTTCATCAGGTAAGTTTTAAGACTTAATGAAACTAATGGATTGAATTTAGCCATGTTCATTTTTTAGTGAATCTATTGTGAGCAAAACCTCATTGAATGTCACCCATCATGCCACAGAGTCTCCAATAATTGGACAGTGCTATTTGACTTTGTCATGTGAGTTCACTTCCAACCTGAAAATAGTAGTAGTAGTAGTAGTAGTAGTAGGAAATTGTGCAGAAAGGAGATTGCTCAAAGGTTCAGGGTGAGTAGCATTATCTTACACCAATTGCAAAGTTATCTCCTACCTTATTTCGACAACTCTAGATGGTTAAAATGCAATTTCAAAAAGCAATAAAGTAGACTGTTCAATAAAACCTGATGTTAAAAGAACTCCTTTGTATCTCTTGAGCCTAGTCAGCGTACAGTACACTAAAACTAAAATATAATACAAAACCACAAATTTGCAGACTTGGGCACCAAATTGGCTTAGACCCCAGCCTGGACCATCTTGCAGGTACCTGCAGTAACCAGCTGCACTTATTTCCAATAGCTTCACTTCATGTGTTTAAGGTTGTTTTTTCCAAACATATGAAAAAACAATCTGTAGTAATCTAAATTGCTTCTGGCACTCATGTTTTCCTGTGCCCGAGCTATCCTTATATGTCCCTCTTTTCTCCCCCGGCATGCAAAAAAAGTTGCTTGTTTAATGCTTAAAAAATCCTCCCTGCTCTTAGCATTCTCAAATGAAGAGTGAAAATTAAAATCCAGAGTCCTTTTGTGTGTTTGTGGGCATGCAAACATCATCCAAACTATCCCCTGCTGGGCACATAGTGAATTCCTTTTTAAAGACTACACCTTTCACCCAGGAAACCCTTTAAGTCTGAAGCTGTTGCCTCGTGAGGAACCTTGCAGCTATTGAAAAGAAATGTTCACGTATTATTTGGTCTTTGGGGGAAGCTTTGGCCTTATATGGGGGTCAAAAGTTTCATTTGTGAACTGTTGGCTGTCAACAGGAATTCAGATGAGAAACTTCTGAGATGGTTGTTGACAATTCAGGATTTTCACTTTCTTACATTAAGGGAAGCGATCATGTCATTGCGTTTGTCACATTTATCACATCCCTATCCAGCTGATGAGTAAAATTAGCTTGTTTTGATCTGATTGCACCCTCATCTGACCACTGGTATGTTGTACAGATTGTGCTGATTTTTGTACTTGCCTTTATGATTTGCATCACTGGGTGCCTTATTGTACTCTTTTAACTGTACAACTGTTTCAGCCTTTTAATCACTGCTAAACCTTAGGATGGTGGTTAAAGTAAAAGGCTATAGCCTATACTCCTCCAGAGCATACAGTATACATTTGCTGCCCCTGCTGCTTTCTATATATATATATATATATATATATATATATATATATATATATAATTTTTATTAATTTTCCAATATAAAATTATACAAAACAAAACCTCCAATTTATCACCAACATCCTCTTTTTGGACTTCCATCAGCATGTCTGATAATTCTCCGTTTTACTCACTTCTTCCACATTTCTCAATTTAATATTGCACTATATTAATATCTTATTTTACCTTATTTTTTTAAACAATATTTCTACTATACATTCTCACAGAACTTCCTGAAACCCCTGCTGCTTTTTAAACTCACATGAGTTTAAAAATAAAGTTTGTCATGAGATCACCTTTAAGAGAAATGAAGTCAATGATTTGGATCAGCAAAATGGTGAGGGAATAGTTAAGACACTGTTAAAGGTAAAGGTAAAGGGACCCCTGACCATTAGGTCCAGTCGTGACCGACTCTGGGGTTGCGGCGCTCATCTCGCTTTATTGGCCGAGGGAGCCAGCGTACAGCTTCCGGGTCATGTGGCCAGCATGACTAAGCCGCTTCTGGCGAACCAGAGCAGCGCATGGAAACGCCATTTACCGGTACCTTCCCACCGGAGTGGTACCTATTTATCTACTTGCACTTTGACGTGCTTTCGAACTGCTAAGTTGGCCGGAGCAGGGACTGAGCAACGGGAGCTCACCCCGTCACGGGGATTCGAACCGCTGACCTTCTGATCAGCAAGTCCTAACCCACAGCGCCATCCGCAAGACCCTGTTACCCCACTATTATTAACCTAATCCAATTCTCTCCTCACCCTGCTCCCCAAAATCTAATAAACGAATATACTCAACATTTCATCTAGTTTCCTGCTTAAGGGTGGGTTGTGTGCAGTGTGGAGGCAACAGATGTGAGACAGCCAGCAAGCAGTTGGTCTCCCTGCCTTCTGCCCTACCAGCTCCATGGACACCTGCCACCACTGGATGATAATTTCCTGCAGAAATGGGAGTGAGATTGTGTAGTGTGTGTGCCCACCCATGTAGTGAAATTCATTGTCCTCATCTGTATGAATTATTTCTTGCCTTTTAAACCAGTCTTCAATGATCTGCTGGATATTTATTTCTTTAAAGCATTTCCCCCCCCCCATACCCTTCAGCCAAAGCAGAAACACTGAGGTCCAGCGCTGAGGGCCTTCTGGTGGTTCCCTCACTGCGAGAAGCCAAGTTACAGGGAACCAGGCAGAGGGCCTTCTCGGTAGTGGCACCTGCCCTGTGGAACACCCTCCCACCAGATGTCAAAGAGAACAACAACTACCAGACTTTTAGAAGACATCTGAAGACAGCCCTGTTTAGGGAAGCTTTTAATGTTTGATGCATTACTGTATTTTAATATTTTGGTGGAAGCCACCCAGAGTGGCTGGGGAAGCCCAGCCAAATGGGTGGGGTATAAATAAATTAATAATAATAATAATTAATAATAATAATAATTATAATTTATTAAGCCCTCTCCCAGATCAGCTTATAAATGTCAGGTGATCTGCCCTGAGGTTTCCAGCGCAAAAGGCACAGCACAAAAGGAAAAGGGATTGGGAAGGAGGAAGGGGAATAAATCAAGCTCCCTGCATGAGTTCTTAGTTGCAGAGTTTGTTTAACTTTTAGAAATCAGATACTGCAAGTACTCTCTTGAAAGGCTTCCTGCTTTGCATCTGCAGGAAAGTGCCTCTGGTAAACATTTAAACCCATGGGGGTTCAGATCTTCCCATATAAGGATCCTGTTGTCCTGCACTTTTGCCATGTGCTTGCAACATACTCTGTTAAATCAGGATGATTCTGTGATAGACCCCTGAACATATGATCTGGAATAAGGCTGCACATCTAAGAAGAGATGACCCTGAAGCCTCACTTGGACCTGAGCCTGGAGTGAACTGAGCCTCTGAGGAGCTGAGGAGCAGCTGTGCACAAAGGTCCTTGAGAGGGAGATTGGATCACTAAACCCAGGCTTCATACACACTATACTTTCAAAGCCTATTCAAAGGGCATTCTTTCTCAAAGAATTGTGGGCACTGTCATTTACCCCTCAATTCCCCAAAACCCTTATCACACCAATTATTGGGAAGAGGGGGGTGTTTTCTAATGTGCTTTAAAGGTACTGTGTGTTCGCAGCCTTAAAGATGGTGGAATTTGGAAACCGGAGCAGCTTCAGAGGTTGGAGAATCATTCTCTTACTCCATGATCATGACCTTTGTTGAATGTCTTTGTTGAATGTTATTACATTTTTAAAAATCCCACTCCTCTTCAAAACAGTTCAGATGCCCCTCTTCAGAACAGAGTACTCTGTTCCCCTTTTAGATTCACAACAACCTTGTGAGGTAGGTGAGGCTGAGAGGTGCCCACTGGCACAGGGTCCCCCAATAAACTTCATGGCTGAGTGGAAATTTGAAACCAGATATGCCCAGGATACGTCCCTACTACACCCTACGCCTACTACACTTGAGTTCTTCAAGTGTTGTTGGACTACAACTCCCATTATGCCCAGCCAGCTGAGCCAATGGGAATTGTAGTCCGAAACTTTCTGGTAGGGTGCCAACTTGAATAAAATATTGGGGGGCAGGTAAGCCCTGCCCCACATAATTGATCACATGACATGGCACACACACACACCCCATTTGAATGACAAGGCCGATTAACTTGGGGGGCAGCCCCCTCAAATATTTTATTGGGAACCAAAGGGATCTAGGTTCCTAGCAGTTGGCTCCTATGCTCTGGGAACCTTAGCTGAAAGAACACTGCAACTCCCCTGCCCAAGTTTATTGTATGAATTGTCCATTGAGTGATGGGCTTTTAGAATGAAGATTTGTTCGCACACTGCCCATCTTTGGTTTCTAGCTTGAGTTGCTAGGAAGTGGTGTCAAAACAGAACTTTGGGGTTCAGCTGTGCGCCCCACAAAACAAGGATGTGCGTCTGTGGTTGTTGGTTAGTACATACAACTTCTTCTGTCTTTCTTTTTTAAAAAGTTTTTTTTTAAGTTTACCATTTCAGAAGGAGGAAACTGATGAACAGGAAACACGCAGAAATGCTGAAAGGGGGGCTGGGAACGAGCGATTGAGTGGGGCCGCCATGCGCTGTGCCCACGAGATCGAGATCTTTTTCTGCTGCCAAGAGATCTTGGGAGGCCGGCTCAGCTGCTCCCGCTGCCGGGAAGCCCTCGGAGCGGGGCAGCACCTGCCCGCTTTCCTCGTAGCAACCTTGTTTGCGTCCGTCTCTTTATTTAGCCCAGGCCTCTTCCTGTTGGAGGTGCCAGGGCAGAGGTGCCCAGCGCAGCCACCTCTCCTCGGACAGAGGCACCCACGCGCACATCTCCCGGACTGGGCAGGGCGCAGCGCGCCGGGCGAGTGAGTCAGGCGCTCCTTAGTGTAGCTGTTGGCAGCGGCTGCATCCGCCGCCGCCGTCCCCACTTGACTTCTGGAGCTGGAGAGGTGGCGGCGAAGGCCAGCGAAAGGTTGCAGCTCTGCGATTCCTCGGCGCCGAGAAAAAAACCAAGCAGCAGACGCCGCGGAGGCGATCGGCGCGGTCGCCTTGCGGTTGGGCGAGAAAAGGAAGCTTCTTTTTCGTCCTATAGTAGGACGCGCCGTCGAGTTTTGCTGCGCGCTCTGCGGAGCGAGCGAGCGCCCGGCGACTTCCTGAGCAGCCCGAGCCAAGGCGGCGAGCGGCGAGGAACCAGACGCCGCTAGACCTCCGGAAAGGAGCGAGCGGGCTCCGGAGGTAAGCTGAGCTTGTCTTGAGACGGCGGTTGCCGCTACTACCACCGGCACCTCTGCGCTTCGGCTTTCGATTCCTGTCTCTTTTCGGGTTTGTTTTCTTTTGATGTGCCTTAAGGAGATCTTTGAGCAATACGAGCCGAAAAGGAAAGAGGTCCCGGGACTTAAATAGCGTTCTTTGGAGGTTTGCAAGGAGATGTTGGCGGAACGTTTTAGGAAACGTGGCTTTCAAAAACGCGCCCTCCAAGAAGCCCTGCTCTAGAGTCCGGGATCTGGGCAACCCTTTCCAAAATCTTTCCGGAGAGGGCCCTTGTGAAATTGCAGGAAAAGACCCTGGTGGCGTATGGGGCTAGCAAGGGACAAATTAGTACATACTGTATTATGATGAGCAAGGAGAGGGGTGTGTGTGTGTGTGTGTGTGTGTGTGTGAGAGAGAGAGAGAGAGAGAGAGAGAGAGAGAGAGAGAGTTCTATTTCTGCCAAGCAACAACTTAGGAAGGAAGCTACTCCAACAGGATATCGATGCTTCCTTTTCCTAAGTCAATTTCATTTGCAAGGGAGATGGTGATTATTCTGGGAAGGGTGGGCCGAAGAAGTGCATCCGTGCAGAATGGATCCCATCAAAACAACTGCAGAGGAAGCGTTTAAGCCCAGATGCTATTCAACAGGTGTTCCCAAAAAGTTTCAGTGTGTCGACGCAGAGAGTCGTCTGGCCCCCTTCTGGCTCCCAAGGGCAAGGAAGAGCTGTTTATTCTCTTGATCTGCCCTCTTATATTGCTGGTAAAGACTTTACAGGCTTCGTCGTGGGAGAGGCACAATCTGGAAGAGAGGCGTGGGGAAGTTCGCAGATGCCTTTTGGGAACAAGCACTCCTCAAATACTTGCGCAAACCCTGTCTTGTGTTACAAGGAGGTTTTTTCCCCCTCTAAGCACATTTTGTTGGAATGTTGCCCTCTTGCAGCCATGCCCAGATTGGCAGCTGCTTGTCCTCCTGGCTCAGTGCTATTTATAATATATTATGGGCCTGTTTGCAAATGCACATCCATCACTTGGTTGGGCAGCCCTTTATTCTTTGCAGGTGAATGTGTGAATAGAGTCCTTTCAACAGCCTGGTGTTGGAAGCGGTATAACAAAAATCTGTCTCTGGTACTTGATCTGTGATGGCTGATTCACATGTGCATATTTAAGGCACACCCACACAATCCTGGGAACTGTAGTTTGTTAAGGGTGCTAGCAATTGTAGCTCTGTGAGGGGTAAGCTACAGTTCCCAGGGTTCTGTGGTAGGAAACCATGTACATTAAATGTGCTTGATGTGGTTGTGATTATTGTTGGCTCCACAGCCTTCCACATGATCTAGAGCAGGGGTGCCCAAACTTTTTTCAAAGAGGGCCAGATTTGAAGAAGAGAATGTGCGTGTGGGACAGCCCAAGTTGTTGAGCTTTTTTTACAATCTTAGAATCTTGCCCCAAACTTGTTGAGGTTTTTAGGACTGAAGCTTTTAGGCTTGAAGTTGCTGAGCTTTTTTAAAAGGATTTTACCCCAGGACACGGGTGGCGCTGTAGGTTAAACCACAGAGCCTAGGACTTGCCGATCAGAAGGTCGGCGGTTCGAATCCCCACAACAGGGTGAGCTCCTATTGCTTGGTCCCTGCTCCTGCCAACCTAGCAGTTCAAAAGCACGTCAAAGTGCAAGTAGATAAATAGGTACTGCTCCGGCGGGAAGGTAAACAGCATTTCCGTGCGCTGCTCTGGTTTGCCAGAAGTGGCTTAGTCATGCTGGCCACATGACCCAGAAGCTGTACGCCGGCTCCCTCGGCCAATAAAGCAAGATGAGCGCCGCAACCCCAGAGCCGGACATGACTGGACCTAATGGTCAGGGGTCCCTTTACCTTTACCTTACCCCAGGACATATACAGCCACGGGGGCCAGATTAAATTGACCGACGGGCCGGATTAGGCCCCCAAAATAGACTTTGGACATGCCTGATCTAGAGGAAGGGCAGTAGTGCAGGATAAATGGGAGTATCCTAAAGCCCTTTCTGTTAGGATCCGATTCAGCGCATGAGAGCAGCCAGGCTCCAAGATGTACTGATGTACAAGGTATGCTTTCCACACGGATAATTTCAGTGCAGAAAGGGCTCTGGGAGACCAACACATGATATCTAGCAACTGCAGGTTCCTTACACAGGACAACGGGACTGAACGAGAGCCGTCTATAGCATGTGGTGAGAGATGGAGTGTGTGGCTTGGCTCCTTTATCATATTTTTTCATGTGCTGTCTCACTTAGTGTCTGCTTTTTCGATGAACAAATTTGGCAACAAGTGTAGGAATTTCCCGCCCCCGCCCCACCTCACCCCCAGGTTGTTTTTCTGAAACCACCGGTGGAAATGGGAGGGGAGATGCTAAAGTTTAACAGGCTGTTGCTTCCTGATGGCCATTTTCTTTTTCCAAAAAGTAATTAAATATGACGTGCTGGAGGAACTCTCCAAAGAATCATTAACATCCAGGAACTGGTCTGCACATCCTCCTTCGGCTATAAGAAAGAGTCCTTGAAAAGCCTGTTTTGCAGACAGAGAGCTGGCCTTACATCTCTTTGAAAGTTCCACGAAGAAGGAAATTTCTTAAAATGCCAGTGCTTCTAGTATTAGAACTTGCTGCTCCCTTGATGCCTCCTCACCCACCTGGCAATGGATCTGCTGCTTCCTGCCAGCTCCCAGTGGGACCTCTTTCATCTCTTATTTAAAGGTTCATAGGTTCCGGCTGACAGTCAGCTGCAGATTGAGCAGCTTCAGGGCCCAAAAGGCTGTTTACTGGTTCTGTTCAGATACTGCCTCACTCCCTGCCACCCCACCCCCACCCCCGCACCCCACCCTAGCTTCACGGCATGTCTTATGTCACTCTAGTTTGCCTGCTTAGCACAAGAAAGCGAGGGAGGAACTGGCAGCAGACTGACACTAGCTTTTGGCAGTCCTACAATGAACCATTGTGCTTCAAATGTGGCATGTGGTCCTAAGGCAGGGCCCTGCATTGGGGAAAAGATTCCTGCATTGCAGGGGGTTGGACTAAATTACCCTCGTGGTCCCTTCCAACTATATGATTCTATTATCTATTATGATGTCCTCCATATGCTTTGGACTGCAGCTCTCTCGCCATCCCTGACTAAACTGGCTGATGGGAGTTGTAGTCCACCACCCCTGGAGGAGGAGACCTAGGGCAGGGTTTCCCAGACTTGGATGCAGTGCTGTCTTTAGCATATGTGCCGCAGGGGTGCAAAGATCCACCCAGTGCCCCCAAATTTAGCCCCCAAATTAACTTTTATTATGCTTATGTCAGCCACCACGCTTACGTCTTATCTCTCGTTTATGAAAGAAGGGAGGGAAAAGAAACAAACCTTTTTATTTGCTCATTTATTTACAATATACTTATACTTAAGTATACAGCACCACACGTAATATAATATTTTGATGTAAGAGTTAATTTTGAGTGCACGGTGCCGTTGTGAATGACAAGCGCTGTCATTGAGTCTGACAAAGCGCTGCCATTGTGAATGACAATCACCACCGCTGGTGGACCGGGTTCGCGTCTCCGCTCCTCCACATGCAGCTGCTGGGTGACCTTGGGCTAGTCACACTTCACTGAAGTCTCTCAGCCCCACTCACATCACAGAGTGTTTGTTGTAGGGCAGGAAGGGAAAGAAGAATGTTAGCGGCTTTGAGACTCCTTTGGGTAGTGATAAAGCGGGATATCAAATCCAAACTCTTCTTCTTCTTCTCTTCTTCGTTGGCTCCTGCCATGGAAATTGGCTTTGGGCTACAAGAAACAGATAGCACAAGCATGTAAGACTTGTCCTTATTAATGTAATCACAGGAAAGAGAAAGCACAAGGCAGAATTAGTAGTGTACTGATTTTGCTTCTTTTCCTACAGCCAGGAATTATGCTTTGTTCTGGTTTCCTAATAAATCTTATGTCAGCCGTTATAACCTGTTCTGCCACTGGATTTTGAACCATATAAGGTTCACCTCCTCTGGTATTTTAGATTACTGCTACATGTACTATTGTTGCAGGGAACTGGGTCCTGGGAACAAGGGAAAATTACCTGAGAAACAAACTCCCTTACAGCCTGGAGGGTTTTAATGTTGCTAGTTGGGCGGCTTTCATCGTGATTAGAGTGAGCTTTTAGATAAAAGTATTTTTTTGTATCCAGTTACAGATGTACTTTGGAACTTTTGATCTTGTACAGCCAGAGTGTACCTTTTTAAAAGATTGGTTAAAGAACAACAACTCTCCTTTTGCCTCTTGTTTGTAACAGTTGTTGTGTTGGATATACTTTGATATTATAAAATATGTGTATGCCGCAACAATGAAACAGGGACTGGCGACACTTGTCTCCTGATGCATTTAGCACCATCTGCAAGAGTTCATCCAATTGCAGAGTCCCTTAGCTGAGCATTGTAAAATCAGTTAAGTTTAACCCAAATTTATTTTTAAAAATGTAGTCTTCAAAAATGAAATAAAAGCAACTCAATACATTACAATGGATGTGGGGAGCACTATTTCTGACATTAAACATCTCTTGTGCACATAAATATGCGCAGATCTAGTTTATGTGCACTGGGTAAGTTAGGTTTCCTAAACACGTGTTCCCAGACATATTAATGTCTAAAGATACACAAAAACCACAGTAACACTTGTGGCACATTGACAAATTCATTATCACACGAGCATTCACATAGTGCGATCCATTCAATCAGATGAAATGTCCTAGGTTACTGCTGTGTGTGTGCGTTACCCACTTGGGGTTGTAAACAGCGAGGTCAGAGAGAAATGAACTGCATAAAATACAGAGACAGCGATAATTACATAATTAACAGTGGTAATTCACAAAACACATGTTGATAACGTAGACATTAGGCCATTGGTAAGCCAATTAACATATGTAGCATAATAAAAATCCAATTCAATCCACAAGTGATAGCACTGACCCTCTTGATGATTTCACATTACGGTCTTTCTTTAAAGTTCCTTTGTTCAAGTACAGCCACTTACAGACTGTCCTGAGAGTCTGAGGGGTCCTCCCCCCCCCCGCTGATTTTTTGAGTATTACCATTTGTCAGTTGCTTATGATGTTCACACATTGCAAGAGGGCTGCCGGAAACTCAGTGCTTACCGTACGTTTCTTTCAGCAGCTGTAATGGGTAGAGCTGTTCTAAAATGGTGAGTAAAGAGCCGATTCCCTCCTTAGTTCAGAGATGGGAAACCTGTGGCTCTTCAGATGTTGTAGGAGCACACTTCCCATCATCCCTGACCATGGGCCATGCTGAATGAGGTTCAGCCACCCCTCAACATCATCCCTGCCACTGAAGTTCATTCTGGTTTGGCAATATAGCCATTTAACTACTGATTGATTGATTGATTGATTGATTGATTGATTTTTTTAAACCCCTCTAACCATCACAGTAAGTGGTAAGAAATATGAACTCGAAATGTACCTTTCATGAATTCCAAATGCACCAAAGAGCTCTATGGGCAGTGATGACTTGCATAACTGTCGCTGAGCAGAGCCATCTGAATGTATTACCATAGAAATGTTAAGATGGCAATTAGAATGTATTAAAAGAAGGGTAGTTTAGATGGTTCCTATTGGTCTTTAGGCAGTCTACAGAGAGTGTCCTGAAGTGGCCAAACAGAAGAACATTGCACTTGCAAGGAGCAACTGAAATGCACTGGCGTAAATTGCAAAATTGTACCATCACCTGTTGCTTATTCATCCACATAAAAATCAGCTAAGTTTTACAAATGACCATTGAAATGAGCTAGAAATGAGCTGGGATCTGGCACCCTCATCCACAGGCCTCAGAATAAAGCTTTTTCAAGAAACTTGCCATTCCGAATGACAGTGAGGGGGTGCCTTGAGAAGATTGCAGTATTCCTGAGGAATTGCCTACAAAATTTGCTGCCTGCTGCATCAACTGAATTCCCAAATGACCATCAAAATGCTGGGAGACTGCTTGGATCTTTCAAAATAGCCTGCAGGTTTTGCTGCCCGCCATGCCCATGAGCTGAGCTGCTGAATACACTGAAATGGCTGGGAGAGACTCAGCGACGCTTTGCATTGAATGTCAGGAACCCCAGTGGGTGTTGCAGATGCACATAGGCAGCCCCACCCATGCCCAAGACTTTCCTGTCACTGTTTTGGTACTACTTAGAATACCTTATTCAAACAGATCGTACAACAAGCCTGTGAGGCAGGCTGCATAGTTGCCTATTAGAAATATCAGTAGCTCTCCAAGGAGTCACCTTCAGAATGAGAATAGGAACCCCACTGCCACCCAGTAAAGCATGGGTAGGCAAACTAAGGCCCAGGGTCCAGATCCAGCCCAATCACCTTCTAAATCTGGCCCGCGGACGGTCTGGGAATCAGTGTGTTTTTAGATAAGAAGAATGTGTCCTTTTATTTAAAATGCAACTCTGGGTTATTTGTGGGGCATAGGAATTTGTTCATTCCCCCCCCCCCAAAAAAATATAGTCTGGCCCCACACAAGGTCTGAGGGACAGTGGACCGGCCCCCTGCTGAAAACGTTTGCTGACCCATGCTAAAGGGATGCTTACTTTCATTTCTCTCTCTCAGTCAATCTTTAAGAATTAGTTTGAACCTCCAGAATTTTGTGCTATTCTGGTCCAGACATAGATAAAAATGCTTCACCATGGAGTGTGAAGCCACATCTACTCATTGCATGTGCAAACTGCAATAATAATGAGTGAACATAAGAAACATGAGAATGCCCCCCCATGTATTTTCTGCATCTGTTTCTGGAGGCAGGATAACATAATTGAAGCCACACATTTGCACTTTCCTAGAACCTCATCTTTCCAACACACATTACATTAACATACACATTCTAACGGAAAATGCACATTTCTGCACTGAATATTGGAACAAACCATGAGCCGCTCCCTCAGGACAAAGGAAATTTTGCAAGTATACATCAGCACAGCAAAGGTTGTTAAAAGTTCCTGGCTGCACAGTGAAGGCCTACATGGTGCTGGTAATATAGTCATAGCAAGCCATTCTGTGGCCAGCCTGTCTTGGTTTCATGGATGATAGAGACCACATCCTCTTCCACACCGGGATATATGTCATGACAGGCTAAGCTCCCACAATTATCTGTCAAAACAATTATCACTTTATTTGCGGGCAACTGTCGCAGAGTTTCCTACACTGTCTTCATGACTCTATATCATAATGCATTCCGTTGGGCACTTGGAAGGACATGTATTTGCCTGGATTTATTCTGAAGTTGTCATTCCGGCCTTCCTCACAGGGTTGTTGTGAAGCCTATTCAAACAACGTATGCCAAGCAGCATCAAAATGGTGGTGTGGAGAGTGGAGTTGTATGCACCTTTGGGTTGGATATGTCTTTTGTGTGCACGGCGATGTTCCTGACATTTCATATCAGTCGCTGGCCAGCCTCCCATAGCCACCTCAATGCATTTCTACAATCAGCCCCAATCCAGTTCATCAGCAGTAAAACCTGCTAGCGATGTAGCAGGATCCAACCTTTCAACAATAGCATCTCTATGGTCTTTTAAGAAAACCAGTTGATTAGCACAGCAAGACAGCAAAGCCTTCAGACAATTTAGCAGGGACAAAGGTATCTCAGTACAAAGATACAACAGTAACTTTCTGTCATATGGAATGGCAGGGGGCTTTATTATGAGGGCTGCAGCTCTAGGTACAAGCATGAAATCCAGAGCAAATGTTGTGCTAGCAGAAGCTGGTTGTACAACAGAAAGTATCAGGGCTACAGAGATCTGTTGAGCAACCAGCCATGAGAACCAGGCTGGATTCCTGCGCCTTTTCTTGCATAAGCCATTTCACTAGCGTAGCTAGTACAGTGCTAAGGGAGTTCAACTTAGCATTACATTGGATTCCTCCCTGTGTGTGTGCATGCACAGATGCGCAGACATATCCGTCTAAAGGATATTCCTTATTGGAGGCAATCAGCTATAATATGGTCATAGGTAGAAGCAAAAAGGGAATTGTTAAGTTTGCTTATTCATTAACACTCCCACCCCATTCATACGTTGATTATGGAACGACAGGCCCCTAGAGCTGTCTCCCCTCATTCCAAATTAAAACACAATCCAGAGATTTCTGATTTCCCAATCCCTCCTATTCATTTTTAAATGACAAATTTTACAGGACCAAGTTTCTTTTTCTCGGAATGTTTGGAAGATAGTTTGAACTTAGGTATCTCTCATTTCTTTTTGCCCTCCCATAATCTATTTCTGTGAAATATGCTGAGCTTTAGTGAAAGAGCTGGGAATCAGTTCCTGTTGCCTTATGCTTTCATGAGCACACATCCTATTTTTGTTTTGTTGAAGTTCTTTATTCTTCTATTATTATTAGGAATAAATATGCCTAACTTAGGGGTTTGTTTAACCGTAGTGAAGCTCTACATTTCCCTCCACCCCTTTGTTTTGTAATGAATGTGTACTGTAGCAGATAGGCTTGTCACCCGATGCTTATTTCAAGGAATGGTCCCTTACTTATGAGCCTTGTTTGTTTGTGAGATGCACCTTAACTGCAAAAAGCAACTTCAGTCTCATGTTACAAAGACAGTATATTCCAATGAAGTTCTGTTCTGACCCACAAAATGGATCACTTTCCTACGGTCTCACAATGCGTTCCTTATCTTTGAATTCTTCAGGTGGCAAAGTTCAGGTGCAGACCGTGGCAAATAGAAATGTCTGCTTTTCAGTGGGCTGTTCTTCCTTTAAAAGAATTGTGCGAGAGCTAATTGTGGCTGAAATTGTCAGCTAGCTGTGTGCTATGCTGATGTATTCATGCCACTAAAATGGCTTCTCTGTGCCTCCTGAAAAGAATGGCTTGAGCCCTTTTCTTCTTACTCTGACAGTGGTGCATCACAGATGTTTGTCTCGAAAAAGCAGGTCAATTGTAGTAAGTAGTGTAATGGGCAGGGCTGGATTAAGACATGCTGAGGCCATAAGCAAAGTGGAGTTGAAGAAACCCCACAGCATTACCCCAAAATGTGTATTATTCTAAGCGAAAGAACAATGAAAACATAAATAAGAAGCTTTTATATTTGCATATATTCCCGTACGTAGGCAAGCATACAACTGACAATCTAATAGAAACATATATCTTGCAATAAGACAATTTGTATATGAAATACCTTTACATTAAAATACATTGTGATTTCTTAGCGTATATAAAAACTATACTGCAGTTCATGCTGCACAGATTTATAAACAAAGGGCAACAAATAATTGTGTGGCCGTTAAGTACATTTTTGTCATACCCGAATGATAAAATCTGCTTTAGAGTCTACATCCCATTTCATTTATTTTTGATCAGTTATGTAAAACTTTAAATTGGTGTATTTAGAGCCCCCCCCCCCCCCAGATCTGAGGCCCTAAACTGTAGTTTACTTAACTTGTGTAGAAATCTGGCACTGGAGATGAAGAACCTGATTATTGTTGGACTGCTGTTCCCATCAGCTCTAGCCAACCAAATGGTTGGGGAAGCTGGGTGTTGCAGTCCAACATCTAGAGGCCCACAGGGACTTCTATAACATTCTTCATTATCAGAGGTATATAGGTGTGTGTGTGTGTGTGTGTGTGTGTGTATATATATATATATATATATATATATATATATATAAAGGTAAAGGGACCCCTGACCATTAGGTCCAGTCGTGGCCGACTCTGGGGTTGCAGCGCTCATCTTGCTTTACTGGCCGAGGGAGCCGGCATACAGTTTCCGGGTCATGTGGCCAGCATGACTAAGCCGCTTCTGGCGAACCAGAGCAGTGCACAGAAATGCCGTTTACCTTCCCGCCGGAGCGGTACCTATTTATCTACCTGCACTTTGACGTGCTTCCGAACTGCTAGGTTGGCAGGAGCAGGGACCGAGCAATAGGAGTTCACCCCGTCACGGGGATTCGAACCGCCAACCTTCTGATTGGCAAGTCCTAGACTCTGTGGTTTAACCCACAGTGCCACCCACGTCCTATATATATATATATATATCCCAAAATGTAGTATTTTCTATGAACTGAATGGCTTAGCTAAGAATAGGGTCCTATATGGCTTCCCTCACAACACATATAGTTCCCAGTGAATGCTGGGAAATGCTCTCCTCATTGCTTCATTGCTTGCTCTTTGACAGCACTATTCAGGCCTGATGGAGAATATGAAAAATCTGAGGCAGGTTAGCGTGACTCTTTGTTGTGACAGCATGAGAGCCTTGTGGGCTGGGGTTCTTGTAAGCTCAGCCGTCACTGTAGGGAAGGTGTGAAGAGGAAGCTAGGCTGTCTGTAATCACTTCTGCCTGAACGGGGTCTTAAAAATAGAACAGCGGAAACGGCAAAGTGGCATAGGCCCCTTGGGGCTGCTTCTATGAATGACTGTGTCACTCTACAGTAATGACTGATGCTGACCATCTCTGATGAGAGGCAAAGCTTCAGGCTAGTAGGTGTTGACAGTACAAATAGGGGAGAACTGCTTTGAACATACATCAATGGTCAAAAGTGATCAGCCCATTCTGCAAACAGGTTTTATTTTTCAAACCTATTCAGTATTATGCACAAGTAGTCCCGTAATAATTTTAATGCACTGAATTCCTAAATGGAATTGGATAATTGAATGGAAAATGGGGGTGGGCAGGCTGTGGATTAGTGGACATGAAATGATTAACATGGAAAAAGTCCCAGGTTCAATCCCTTGTGTGGAAATACTCCTGTCTGAAACCCTGGAGGGCCACTTTCAGTCAGTATTGACCGTACTGGGCTTGATGGATCCATGGTTTGTCTGATATAATTCCAAAAGAATACTATTTTCTATTGGTTCAGAAATTCCAATTTAACAACTTGGTGTTGCTTGTATAATTGCAGGTGGGGTTAAAGGGTTTAATTATCTGGTGGAGCACTTCAAAGAGCTGTTTTTCTAAATCTGGATAAGAAAAGTTTGGGTTTGTGAGTGAGTTGTGATGCAACTTTATCTCCTGGTGGGCAGCTTTTTGGTGGCATGTTACCCCAACAGCCTATCTATGTCTTCATACATCTGATGAAGATCCATCTAATGTCACAATAAATCTGTTAGTCTTTGAGGTGACCCAAGACACTCTGTTAAAGGGACACGGGTGGCGCTGTGGGTTAAACCACAGAGCCTAGGACTTGCTGATCAGAAGGTCAGCAGTTTGAATCCCTGCCACAGGGTAAGCTCCCGTTGCTCGGTCCCTGCTCCTGCCAACCTAGCAGTTCAAAAGCACGTCAAAGTGAAAGTAGATAAATAGGTACTGCTCCGGTGGGAAGGTAAACGGCGTTTCCGTGCGCTGCTCTGGTTCGCCAGAAGCAGCTTAGTCATGCTGGCCACATGACCCGGAAGCTGTATGCCGGCTCCCTTGGCCAATAAAGCGAGATGAGCGCCGCAACCCCAGAGTTGGTCACAACTGGACCTAATGGTCAGGGGTCCCTTTAAGACACTCTGTTGTTTTTGCTGCAACAGACTAACATGAGCAACCACTCTAGAACAAGAGAAGCCAAAGTGGTGAGACCTCCAAATGTTGTTGGACTCCAGTTCCCATCAGCTCCAGACAGAGTGGCCAATAGTCAGGGATAATGGATGTGGGCTGTTGTCTATCATCATATGGAGAGCATCACATCATCCCCATGCTCTAGAAGTTGTTACTCCTATGCTTGTTCCTGAAGTGAGTCATTCCTATGTGTACTTGGATGCAAGAGGGGGCAGGGGCTAGCATAACAACTACTGGTGTGACTCTACTCATGTTTCAAAGGCTGCAAAGATTACACTTCTGGTTCTGCTACTGAGGAGGAGAAACTAATGTCGCGTCTCTGGTTTTGCTCCTCAGGTTCCCTTTGAAGTGAGTCCTGGAGCACAACTGCTGGAATCTCTGCAGGGCAGCCTAGCCCATGTGCTCAGAGAAGGTGAGCATCATTTACTGCAGGGATAGACAAACTTCCAGCTTTTTGGAGCTAGTCTGTTGTTATTTTTTTACTAGAATCCCACAACGTACTAACTTGAGCCAGGAGCAAAGGACAAAAAGATTAGAATTTCAAAAAGCAGGGTGCCTCTGAGCACATTCTAGTTAGTTAGCTAGTTCCAGGACCAAAATGAGCTCACAGTTCTTTTGTGGGGGGTGGGGGAGCCCATTCCTGGTTTACTCAACCTTTCATAATTTCAGCAGTCTTAATTTAAGAGGGGAAAGAAGGCACCTTTTTGCTGCTGCCATTGTTAAATAATTGGGAGTCAGAAATCTTTGCCAGTCTACTGCAGATGACCCAGACACCCCAGTCAACTGTCTACCCACCTCAAAATAGTGCTGTGCAATGACCAAGCAATAAAGGCATTTTATTATCTCGGCTTTGCACTAAACAGCATGGGCCAGTGGTCCTGGGATATCACCAGGAATCTCGGCAGAATATACAGGGGAGCTGGAACACAGAGGAAACGGAAGGCAGGTGAACCAATAACATTGTGCCAGCCCACCTGAGCAGGATGCCTGTGGCTGCTGCTGAAGAATGTGTTATAACTGGCAGAGAGTACAATCAGAGAAAAGAGTTTCCTTTTAAGCCTTAGGAAATCACTTTGAAGAGAATAATGTTATCAGGGCAACTGTAAATACTAACAGAACTGTCCTTGTTCCCCTGGCTTTATCTGCAGCAAGTGAAACAAACGTGGTCATAGGCGATGGGGAACTATGGACAAAGAGGAGCCCACACATTCCTTTTTCTGATTTTTTTTCTCTCTCTCTCTCTCAAATATTTGCAGGTATTGGCTGGTACTGGTGAGGCAGGTAAAGCAAGTTTGTCTTGGGCGTGTTCCCACTTGACGGAGATTGGCAGCTTCCAAAGAAATCCGACAGCATCCCAGCAGGAGAGCCTGGGTGTGGTTGTAGAAATTGCTGTCTTGCCGCTGCCTGATGCCAAGGACATTGTAGTATTCTGGGTAAGTGGACCTTCTTTATTTCTAGCAGAGTCATTGACATTCTGACCAAGCCCTTGTCCTGGGCATGTTTCCTGATGCTAATCATCTAGAAATTGATTTCCTATGTTGCCTTGGGGGGTGGGGGTGGGGGTGAAGATGAGATATAAATGTTACAAATATGTTGATCTGAGGATATATGTCCTTCTGGAAAGAGTTTGGCCAACTTCCTTAACAACCACACACGCCCTTCATCCAGCATGCACAATACCAGTAATTTATGGCAGTGGTTTCTCCAAGTTCTATGCCAGTATTGGGGAACCTGTGACATGCCAGATGTTGTTGACTACAACTCCCATCAGCCCCAGCTAAGATAGGTAATGGTCAGGGCTGATGGGAGTTGTAGTCAAACAAAAAATCTTGAGGGCCACAGCTTCCCTACCCATACTCTGTGCCATTGTGAATTATAACACTCATCTTCTAGATCCCTTTCCCCCACACCATCCAGTGGGGGCATGCTATAGTGTAGCTTGTTGCTTCTTGAACAAGAGGTGCACACTGAATGTTGGAACTACAGTGTGAAAACCACAATGTCTCCTTCCCTCTTTCTTCATGGAGCCTTGTGCACCTTGCACCAACAAATTTTGGGGTAAAATAAGCTTAGTGTGAAATAAGTGGGGCATAATCTACAAAAGTGGATACAATAGCAAAACGCATTAAGGTGCCATAAGTCTCTTTTTTGTTTTTGCTGCAACAAACTAACACGGCTACTTATCATTTCAGTGTCAGGTCCCTGGTATTAAACAGGGATTTCAAGCACACTCAACCGCCATCTTGTTTTTTTTGCAGAAGTGCTAGAGGATACCAGGTCATGCTCAGTGAAACTGGACCCTCTGGCCACCCAGTTCTCCCAGAAGTGCTGGAAAAGATAACCTCACGACCACCTGCTGTGACTTCCACCCAACCATGGATAACCCAGGTTACTGTTGTTATTATTATGATCATTAGTCTCATCTTCACAGAAGCATCTCAAAGTGCCGTATCGGCTTCTGCTTGCTCTCTGAGCATGAGGTGTTTACGTGAAAAGAGTGGATTGTCTCCAGTTCCCCCACTGCACAGTTGAGAGAAAGAGATAAATAAAATTTGGAGGGGCAGCTATGTTAGTCTGATTCAGCAAACACACAAAAAGAGGCTCTTGATTGCTTTAAGTTGCACAGATTTATTGTAGTATGAGCCCATTTCATTAGATGGAATGTTAGACCTAGTAGGAACTTCAGTAGCTCATGGGTAAGGCAAGCTGTATTATTTATTATTCCAACAGGCAGACATAGACCTGATTAGCTTGTGCAACCCTACCATTGCCAGAATCCCACCTTCAGTAGGAGTATAACAACAATTACATCCCCCCTCCTTCATCAGTTGTGTAAGCATTTACTGAGAGGTAATGGATGGGAATTATATATTATGGAAGCAAGTTTTTCACTGTTAATAACCAAAGGCAATGCCTATCTACACTCTCTTGTTTGGGAGAGTTAACATCAAAGCTGTTATAATACCAGTGATAACTGGTTGTATACAAGGAGGCAGGGGTGCGTGCACCTTTCGATCCATGAAAAGCTCATCCCTTATCTGCTGGCCATTATTCCTGTGCTACTTTATCATGTATTTGCTCAAAAAGGAGCTTGCAGCATTGATGGCAAACCACTAGCATTACCCTTTTGTTGGTAGGATTTGGTTTGTTAAGTACAAATAACAAGAAGACACGGAGTTATCTTGTTCTTCACACCCTGTTTTTCTCCTTTGTCAAGAGGTTGAGTCCGACTTCCTCCGAAGTGTGCATGCCCTCCTTCGTGAACTTGATGGCCACCACCCAGCCTTCCAGAGCGAGAGAGGTAAGAGCCAGTGACCCGTGTGCCCCAGCTCATCACTGAGCACTGAAGAGTTTTGCAGTGTGTCTGAGAACACCTCTCCCACAGCTAGAGAGAGCAAAAGGAAATGACTTTTTATGTTTGGCCAGCTGTGTTGGCATTTCCTGGGTTTTCTGGTCTTGTTGCGATACCTACCCATATGGATGCATATGACTGGGTGTGGGTACCTGGTTGATTCCAGACAAAATAATGTCACCAGTAAAACTCTTCCTTACTGGCAACAATTGTAGAGAGAAGGAGCCATAGCTTGGTGATAAAGAATATGTTTTCCAAGTACAAACTGCTGTAACCTGCCCTGGGACCTTAGGGCAAGTAAGAAATCAAATGAATGACCTAATAAATAATTAAATAAAATAATATGTGGAAACCTTGAGGGAAGAGCTGTTTTTGTTTATGGTTCAGTTCTGTCCGCTCCTCTTCTTCTATAAGTGCAACTCACTTTCCTTCATTGCAATATTCTGCTCTTGTCTCTTGCTGATTCCTGACCCAGTGAAACATTGATAGCTGTTTTAACTTTGGTTCTCTTCCCACCTTCTTTCAGGGATGCTGAGATGGACTTTGCACAAGAAGATTGACAGGAATCCCAGCAATGGAGCCCTCTTGATCAAAATTCTGGTGAAAGAACTGGAAAGGGTAAGAATGTCCACAGAAGGAAGCAATGGGCTGGAAGTTGTCTTCACAGTCCACATGTAGCCTTTCTCATGAATACGAATCTATGGTTTATTGCTGTGGAAAAATGTGATTAAATTAATATACTGCTCTTCAAATTGAAGACACTTCCAAACATCAGATCCTCTATCAAGGCTCATTGGCTCAGTCATAAATTCAGGGTAGCCAATGCAGCCTGCTTCTGACATCACTCACAATCTCTCTAGTGTTTGTAGGGAACCAGCTGCCCCGGTGTTCCTTATTGTTTATCCTGCACCTTCCTGCCACTTCTGGTCCTTCTTACTCTCTCATTAGAAGCCATTCTTCCTGCAGAAAAACTGATCTTTAGGTTGGCTGAAGATAGTATACTTACAGAGCATTGGGAGGTCCATGATGTGTATGCGCATTCCACTATTTTTTCCCCTAAGCAGATGTTGCAGGATTTTGTAGTGTTCCAAAAACCTGCAAAATGCACATGACCAAAGATGTCACAGCTGCTTCAAGCTTCCCTCCTAGGCTTTATATTCATAGATTCCCCCCCTCCCCCTCAAATGTCTCCTAAGCATGTCAAGGGTAAGTCTTTAACTGAACGCACAGTCCAGCTGAGGTCTGGCTGGTACCATGGCAATGTTCCACCTAGAGTTGTCTCTGCTATCAAATGCTCTGTTGTTCTAGCTGCCAGCCCTCCTCCCTCATGTGTTTTGTGACAGCAGAGGATCCAAAATCAGCCTCACATTGTTGGAAAATCTTCAGCGTAACCGTTTGCTTTCTCTAGGCAGAAAGATGCAACTATCGGCAGTACATCATCCCTTTGCTTCACACGCTGATGTACACATTGATAAAGGTGAGAACTATAAATTCATGCGGCTGTGATAGCACAGGAATTCCATGCTGGGAGTTGATGTGAGGTGTCAGCTTGCACTATGGCCAACAGCTCTTAGGTTTCCATGGATACCACTCGAGATTCTATTTTGAATTCTAGGGATGTGTGAAATGTGCAAGAGAGGGTGCCTCTAAGCATGTGCAGCGTGTTTTTCCCTCCCTGCTGGGAAGACACAGACACTTTGATACTTCTGGGGCTTAGGAGCAGAGTGTTTAAGCGAAAATGGTCTGATTTCTAGTTAGATTTGAGCCCTAGCACCTCTCCCCTGTAGGAATGGGTAAGCACTGGATATTGTCAGAGTGTCAGACAACAGTCTGAAATGCATTTATGGATGGCCACGTTTTCTTGTGCTGCTCCATTCATAGTTTAAAAAGAAGTGACTCATTAAAATCAATGGTAAGAGGGGGAAAACGTGACTCAACAACATCTCTGTGGTGGAATGCAGGTGATTAACGGTCTGTTTATAACCAGAGGTTCTCCAACTTTACCATATGCTGTCTGCATGCATAAAAGATGCATAATTCATGTGAATTGTGAAGCACATACATTAGCAGTGATGCTGTCCCTGCTTGCAGACACCTTGGGAGAATTACATTTGCTCCCTGTGGAAAAATGGTGAAATACTAGCATAAAATCAGCTTAGCGAAAATTCTGGAGCAGAAAACACCCACAGTTTTATTGAAAATGGAAGTCTGTAATAAGGAAATAGTGACAGTGAAAGACATTTTTATTTGAAGAAATGTTTAGTAGCTGTGGGCGTCTCGGGATAGCTGCATTTTCATACCCTGGAGAGTAAAACGACAGGGAAACATATGGTTATCTTAGACTTAGACACTGCTTTCTCCCCCCTCCCGCCTCCTTGTAATCATTCAAGATTCCCTGAGGTCACCAAATAAAGCAAATAAAGTAACAGAAGCATTTAACCTTGTACAGCTACTCTGCAAAAGGAAACATATGAATCTTGATGAACCATCTTCTCAGTATAGTTGGAGTTCTCAGTCCAGATTCCACCAAACAGCAGATGCGAATAGGCCTGATTCCACTGAGACCAGGGGTGAATTGGGCTGGTGATTGTCAGCCAATGCTACAGGGTACTTCTCATATTTAAATAATTTTTACACCGAAGTTTGTTCTCCCATTGCTGCTCCAGGCACCTTGCATCCCTGATGATTTGTATGAGAGAGTGTACGATTTCTGCAAGAAGTTACTAACTCTGCCCAAACCGTACTGCACCATTGGCCTGGATTATGCTCGGCAGCTAAAACTGGAACGGACAATACCAGGTGTGCAATATTCCACACTCTTTTTGCTTTCTTTTGGTTTGTTTGTTGAGGACCATTGGGGAGGTGGGGGGAAATTGGTCAAGCAGAAGAAAAGCACTCATAATTGGGGTGGCATGATGTGTTCATCCATCTGTCAGTTGGGTCCTGCTGCTGGTTCATTTCAGCAGGAAACCAATCAAAGTGGGATGCTCTTATCATGGTTCACACTTTCCTTGACACTGATAAGCTAACACTGGGCCAGAAACATTGCTTAGATTCCCCTGTTAGTGTGCTACCAAAACAGCTGTTCTTTCTGAAAGGCAACCTGCATTTCTTTTAACACACATTGCTTGAAGGCTGTGTAAAAACGCCCTGGCATGCTTCTTTGTGCAAAGGCTTATGTTCAGATACTGCAACCAACTTATTAATGAACAACTTTAATTGCTCAATAATGGATGACTACAGCTCACTTATCAGGTACCATAATAATGGATGACTACAGCTCACTTATCAGGTACCTACTTCATGAATTCCATTTCAAACCAATGTTATGACATCATTATCAATGGTGTGGTTAGTTATACCAAAACCAAACCATTGACCTTTAAACTTTGACTGATATTTAGATGCTTATTTTATTCATTAGGAGCATTATACCAAAGAATGGTTTCTGCAGAGCAAAGTCTCAAGAACGACTCATTCCCCTATCAGGAAAAGTAAGTATAGGGCCTCTCACCTGTCTTAAAGTGACATATTTATCACACACACACAAAATAAATCTGCACTAATCTGTGGCTGTCTCTATATATGTTAACTCTTCATTCCCCAGGGTTTTCATGTTTGTAGATCCAGAACTGCTGTCCGAAGCTGTATGCCGGGCACTCATTGATGAAATCAAGGCTGCTCAGATGTCCCAGTGTATGAAGTCCTGCATGCTCTGTGTGATAGAACGTGCCTTCCAAACGGTGCTGAAGGAACACGGTCACGTTAAGAACGTGCACAGCATTCTTCAGGTACCATAAAGATTTCATTGAAATAAATGAAATTCCATAAGCAGAAATGCCAGACATTCCCAGTCACTTGCCTCCCATCTGGAGGGCTGCCATTATACAGTTACTCCATAGACTATTATTCTCATACTGGGGATGGATGTGTGAGCAAAAGTTACTCAGTGTTGCTTCAGATGAAAACTGTAGAAGGTAGAGATTTAAACAAAACAACTTGTTGGCTTAAGAACACCACTCGATCCAGTACACTCTGGCATATATAGACAAAAAACAAACGGATCACCTTTCTCCCACTGTGTAAAAGGGTACGTTAACTGACGGAAAGAAAGCAAACGAATCTTATGGTAAGTGGCTGATTCTTGGGGTTTTGTTAGTCTTCTTGCAAAGTTATACGTCCAGACAGAGACTTTGTTAATGCTGAGCCACAGACCTGATTAGTTCCACCACCACCAAGACAGCCATCTCTAGAATTTCTAAAGTTACCTGGGAGTATGGCCAATTGAACTCATGGAAACATATAAAAAAATAGGTTCCAAATTGTATAGAATGTTTCAAGTTTTTAATGAATGTTTCAGGCTCTGCATCCCCTCTAGCAACTGCCATGTTCTTGGTGACTTTGTCCATTAATAAGTGTTCCCAAAGCCTTTGAATTTGAACCCTAGCCTTGACAAATACACCAAACTTGACAGATACACCAAACATTTTCACTGATTGTAATTATTGCTCTTGCTGCTGCTGAGGAATGTAAAAATATTTTCTCATGTATTGTAGACTATCAGTCCTTTGGAAAACAGTATTTCAAGTACTTGGAGACTTAGGGGTATTTTGTTTTAGTTATGTTATTAATTTTGTTTAAGATATTTCCCCAAATTTTCCTCCACTAGAGGATATGACCACCAGATGCAGGCAGATGTACCAGTTCCTTGACATCCTCTCCAACATTTATTTGAAGCTGTTTGACTATCTTTTGCTCCTTGACTGGGACTTTGTGCCAATGAGAAAGTACTTAGAGGCTGCAGTCCATCCATTTATGTTGGAGAAAGCCCCATTGAACTCATTGGGACTTATGTCTAAGTAGACACATAGAGGGATTGTTCTATGAAAGTCAGTTCTCTTGCCTTTGGCGCTTATTGCCTTCCTTGAGCCAGAAATAAAACACTTATCCCAAATTGAATTGTCTGTTGGCATTTTAACAAGATTTGTTGGACTACAGATGGGGGAGAAGGGAAGCTTAGGAAACAGAAGGAAGGAAATTACTCCCAAAGTCTTAAAAGGTCAACTTTTAATAAGAAATATTAGAAGCAAACAAAGTTTTAAGAATACTTTTAAGAAACCTGCTAGCTGTGCTGTCAGGTGTTGCATGTTTACCTATTTCCCCATGTGTTCATACATGTCAATGTGTCAATGACAAAATTGTTTTTGAGTTAGGAAGAGCTGAGTATTGTGAGTACCATACATGCGTAGTGTAATTTGCTATAAAGAAAAAAACCTTGAATAGGTGTTTGCAGTCTGTGAACTTCATTCCAGCCAGGACTCCCCCCCCCCCCGAAAAATAGGTGCTAGTACTCACCATGAAGTTGTTACAGTAAGTGCCCAGCTTTTTAACAACAACAACAAAAGGTGTTGGTACTGCGTACCCTTGAGTACCCCTTGAAAAAGAAAGCACTGATTCCAGCAATGATTCATTACTCCTTCCCCCTGTGGCAGGCAAAGCCCTTAGATGTGACTGAGCACTATTTTCAGCAAGTGATGGCTGCCATTGAACATGCAGGAAGAGACATGAGTGCAGAATACAATCAATATGTTGAAGAATTGGGGAAAATCTACAGCACATTGCTGAGCACTTCAGAGAAAGGTAAGTGTGGCCCTACGAGGCTGGGATGTGAAAAAGGACCCCAGTCCCTGCACTTCATCTGGAAATGAGCCCTGAGACTTTATTGTAGTTGCTTTTGTGGGCACTTCCCACAGCACCCACAACAGTGTGAAAGGCAAAATCATTGATTTAGGTACTGAAAGGATGGAAACTGATTTATGCAGCCAAAGGGGATTGTGTTTTGTAGCTCTGTGCTTTGTTCAGGATCACCCCCTTGCATAGATATTTGCATGCAGTCCTCGGTACTAAAAAAGACCAACTTCACAGTGATTTCTGAGGAGAAGGAAATTTGTGTGTCTGTTCAGTAAGCGTGACCCTGTACTGGTCAGAGACAAGAAGGCTAAATGGGCAAAAGTGCCAAGTATAATTTGGGGGTCTGCTCAATGGTAAGAGGTGATATTACTGGTCACCCCAAATCAACGAAGAGGGATATCATAAGCTTATTTATTATTGCATGTCTATGCCACCTTTCCTCCAAGGAGCTCAAGGTGGTACATTGTTCTCCCCTCCCCATTTTTCCTCACAACAACCCTGTGAGGTAGGTTAAGGTAAGAGAGAATGATTGGCCGAAGGTCGCCCAGTGAGCTTCATGGCTGAAGAGGGGTTTGAACCCTGGTCTCTCAACTCCTAGTCCAACACTCTAACCATTACACATTGCATGTGAAACATCATCGTTCACCTACATTGATGTCATTTGACACTTTTAAATGTTAGTTATCACCCAGCAGGCAACTGCACTAAATAAAGATACATCTTTTCCCCACGACGTGAAATATAATGGATAAATGTGTATTTCTGGCAATCACAAGGCTTTTTCTGACTACAGTGGTACCTCGGGTTACATACGCTTCAGGTTACATATGCTTCAGGTTACAGACTCCGCTAACCCAGAAATAGTACCTTGGGTTAAGAACTTTGCTTCAGGATGATAACAGAAATCGTGCTCTGGCGGCACGGCGGCAGCTGGAGGCCCCATTAGCTAAAGTGATGCTTCAGGTTAAGAAGAAGCTTCAGGTTAAGAACGGACCTCCAGAACGAATTAAGTACTTAACCTGAGGTACCACTGTATCTGGAATTGGTGCTGTTCATTGCCCTGAAGAAACTGCTGTTTTGCCATGTATCAGCCTCTGGCTAGCTGCTTCACATTTTTCTACATTAGCTTAGTTATAAGAATGCTCTTCATCAGCTAATGCAGGGCATATGAGCCACAGTTTTGTTTTGTTTTTTTAAAAAGCCCATGGACTTCCACTTTCCCTTTACCGTATGTTTCCCTCGACCTCTAGTGTAGTTCCTAGTCTCTGCTTTTACTCGTCTGGCCTTCACTTTACTCCTTGAAATTGAAAGATTAACAAAAAAATTCTCTCTGTCCTACAGATGTGGAGAAGACAGCAGTAGAAAAAAGTTCAGGCATCCCTTTACCCAACCCTAACATCAGCTTCCACTTGTGGAGAGATGAAGACCAGCTTTGTGAGTGTCTGTTCTCATGGCCTGTATCTCACTTGGAAGCAGCTGTTGTTATCCTTTTTCACTCTGTGAGAGGGCAAGCAGGGCGGAGTCACTCCAGGGATGCAGTGTCCCTGTGGTCACTGCAAGCAATGTGTCTTTGGCCCCTTCTGGTTTCCTTTTGGCTACCATTTATCCTTTGAGGTGTAGTTTGCTGCAGACAGTTCTTTTGGGGGGCAAATGGCAGTGAGGAGGGGCTGCTTCTCAGAAGAAAACCTGCATGAGGCCCTGATCCAGAGTAGAAGCATAGGGGCCCTATGCTCACAGGGTTCCTGTGATTTCCCCCCCTTTCTTTCAAAATAAAATTGACCAGTTTAAGCATGTCTCTTTAAAAGTGTACTGCTCATAACATGTGCTTATCCTTGCCATGCCTACTTTCTTTAAAATAAAGAAAGATAAGATAAATATCTTTCAACATGGGGGAAATATTCACCTGTATTCTGAAGTTGTAGAATCCCAGGAGGGAGGTAACATGTTTTTCCTCCTGAACATTTTGATTGGCTCTAACCATCTCAGGGGAAAGGATGGGAACCAATAAGGTAGTGTTTTCGTGTCAGGAGGCAGCCTACATTATATTAAAACATGTTGCGTATGTGCACATAGACTGAAGTAGTCTGGCCTATGAATGTGGGCAAGAAACTTTACTTTTGTAGTGTTGGGACAATGCCACACTGTGCCATGTGAAGATTCAAGAATTATGATGGCCTCCTAGGTATTTCACAAACCATCTCTTCATTTTAGGGAAGGAGTTGGTGCTATTCCTCCGTTCGCCAAGTCAATCCTGTGAACAGGATTCCCTGAGTCCAGAACTGGATATCTTTGAGTTTCAGGATATGGGGCCAGACTTTGACTGCTGTGAGCAGACACGTTTCTCTGTGCTCTCCAACGACAGCGGGATTGAGCGAGACCTGCCCAATCTGGGCGATGAAAATCAGTCTTCTTACACTCCTGAGGCTGAGCACTCTCGGCTCCAGAGGAAAGGTTGCATGAAGAAGAAGGGGTCTCCTCTGGACAGCCTCGCTTTCCTACAGAGCGGCTCTAATGGGCAAGGAGCAAAGCCTGCTGGGAAGCTGCATCGGAAATCTGGGGGTAGCGTCATGGAGCCGGTGGCTCAGCTGAAACGGCTGCACACAGCTCGTGTCTTGGTACTGGGTGATGACAGAATTCTGGGGCGCCTAGCCCAGGCCTATTACTCCCTGAGGTAAGTGACTGTCACGATGACTTTGAGAAGAGGGAGAGTTTTGCTGTGTTTGGGACAGAGTTGCTGTTTCTGTGTGGTGGAGTTGCAGTATCTCCTTCTAGGCCAGGGAGGTCCAACTTCTCATACCAAGTGGGCCGCAAGAATACTTTGACATGGAACCCATGGGCCACACACTGCCCATACCCTCCAACATTTCTCTGAAGAAAATAGGGACATCCTATTCCATAATAATAATTTATACCCCACCCATCTGACTGGGTTTCCCCAGCCACTCTGGGTTGCTTCCAATATATATATATTGTGTGTACATACACACACACACACACACACACACACACACACACCAAAACATTAAATATGAAGAAAACTTCCCTATACAAGGCTGCCTTCAGATGGCTCAGGGGTTGGATAAATCCATACCCTCCAAGATTTTTCTGATTAAAATAGGGACATCCTAAGGAAACACTGGACATCCCAAGATCAAACCAGAAACTGGGGCAGCTTCTGTAAAACCTGGGTGCCTTCTGTAAAACCGGGACTGTCCCTGGAAAATAGGGACACTTGGAGGGTCTGACATTGCCTTGTCGTGTGTGTGTGGTGTGTGGAGGAAGCAAGCCCAAAATTTGATGCTGCCCTCCCCGCAGCCCTCACACTGCCTTCCCAAAGTGAGGCACCAGGCTTTGGGAAGGAGGCATGAAGCTCTGGCAGGGTCTTAGAGCGCTCCCACCTCCTTCTCAAGCACTAACTAGGCTTTGGGGAGGAGGCTGGAGGAAGGGTGGTGCAAGGGCTGGGCCTGCGGGGGTGTCAAATATTGCCAAGGGCTTCCAAAAAGGTATTGAGGGCCACATTATGCCCTGGGACCATGTGTTGGACCACCCTGTTCTAGGCACTGCTGATGTGAAAGCATGGTCATGATTAGAACAAGGTGTTAGTATGAAAATGGCAAGGGCACAGGCAGGTAGGTCTCTTTAGGGTGCTCAGCATGACTTAATGGGAAGTTTTATGCTAGGCTAGGGGCAGCGGGGGGAGGGGGAGGAACATACCAAGGAGTTCCATGGGAAATAGTGGGAACCATATTCTTCCTGGCTAGAGAATGAAATGGATCCCTCCCCCTACATACCATTATTTGTGGCTATCAGAATACTATGTGCACAGGTCCACCTGTGTCCTCTCCACCACAAGAGATGAGATACTGGGATGACGTAAGAACAATTTTCTCTTCCTCATTTCCAGGAAGCGGGAGAGCAGACGTGCCTTTCTTACACCAAGGCTAAAAGTGCAATTTTACTATGTGCCTGTTGTGGAGGAACAACCCACATCTTCCCCCACCGAGGTGAGCAGCTCAGGGCCATGCAGAGGACGACAGAGCTAAATTGTGGCCATCCTCTTCCTACCACGTTCTTATGCTCTTTGTGCTGGTGAGCTTATTCTTCTACTTCTCTTCCAGGAAGGTGCTCTGCCTGACCAGACAGAGCCTTGTGAGTTGGCTGCTTACCTTGGAAGAGCTGATCCATGGTACGAGAGCAACATTAACACCCTCTGTCACATGATTCCGAAGCTGGCCACCATGGTAGGAGAGGAGCCCTTCCTTCTGCTTGTATTCCTTAGAACAGGGATAGGAACCCAAGGACTCCAACTCCCATCAGCCCCAGCCAGCAGGAGCAAATGGTCAGGGACGGTGGGAGTTGTAGTCCAGCAACATTTGCAGGCCCACAAGTTCCCCACCTCTGCCTTAGAAACAACAATGGGAATTTCTGGAATGTTCTTCAGAGGGCAGAAGGAACTGTCACTGAGGCTGGTGCTCAGTCAGAGGCAAGGGCCAAGTACTTCCAGATCTTACGTATACCTGGGCCAAGGGTAACCCTGAGGCTCCCACCAGCCCTCAGCCAGGATGGTGAATCATCAGGAAATATACGCATTATAGTCCAACAGTTGGAGAACACTGTGTGGGCAACCCCTGATCTAGACTTACATCCATTAGCATGCTTGCTGGTGAAAGGCTAGTTCTTCCTCTCCAACTCATAATAGAGGTAGAATAGAATGGCCCAATTTTTTAAAAAAAAAAAATTAGTATTTCACTTTCTTGGCTCTAGTGTTGTAGATACAACGTGAGTTGTGTGTATCATCCCTTGGCTGCCTAATTCACCAAGCAGGTGAAATATCAGGAATGATCAGGAAGCTAACAGAAATAGCAGGTAACTTGGCAGTTGGTTTGGACTGATGCAGTCGACTTTGATCCCACACAGCCCTCTTCTCCAAGCAAATCTACAGTCTCTGAGCTGTTCATCCTTGACGTGATTGCGTACTATGTGCGTCTGGGCTTGCAGCCAGTCTTCTTCCAGGTGTATGCAGTGAAGGTCAGTGCTCTCTTCTTGTTCTTTGAGCATTGTGAAGTTTACCACCAGGCTGTACAAAAATTATATTCATGACACTTGTAACAGTTCACCCACTTGGAAGGAACCATGCTTTGAGAGCCTCTTTCTGCCTTTCAGGTTTTCTTCAGTAATACAGATTTGGAGCCTGTTGAGGACATTTTCTTGATTGAACTGAGTCTAATGCTTGAAGACTTCAACCCTTCCAGAGGTCTGTATCTCATTTCAGGGCTCCCTAGATATCGCAGAGCTCCTTTCAGAGCTCCCCGATCTCTCCAGCTGGGGAAGTGTTTGCTGGTCTTCAGCCAGGCTGTGTCTCAAGAAAATAAAAAGTTAAGAAAGGAGGCAGAAGGGTAACTGGTCATTGGGGAAAAACACCAAGTTGTGTGTTCTTCTGTGATGCCATGAGTTGCAGAACTCATTGGCTCTTATTTTTCCTGTCACTTTTATTCACATACTATTCCCACTCCAGCTGTACTTATAGGTCCTTATAAGGGAAAGTATGCCCCAATATTCATCCTCTCCCCTCCCCCTGTAAACTTAAATGGGAAGATAGCTGTGTCAGTATCCCAGCTAATTGAAATCTGTGGCTGTTTCTTTTGCAGACACTCTACCAACGAAAAAGAAGGTAGCAGTAGAGGTTCCTGGTGCAGATCTTACACTCATGTATAAGAAGGTGAGAACATTTATAAATACCGTATTTTTCGCCCCATAAGGCACACCGGCCCATAGGACGCACCTAGTTTTTTGGGGGGAGAAATAAAGAAAAAAATCCCCCCCAGGCACGGGGCTGGGGCGGGAAGCTGTCCCCCGAGCTTGTGGGGCTGGCGGCGGGGAGAAGCAGGCTCCTCCCTGCCGCCAGCCTTCAAACCAGGTCAGGGGACAGCGGGATGGCGGCGTTCCGCCTCCCCGCTCTCCCCCGAGCTGGTGGGGCTGGCGATGGGGCTCTCCTGAAGCCTGGAGAGCGAGAGGGGTCGGTGCGCACCTCCAGGCTTCAGCGAAAGCCTGCATTCGCCCCATAGGACGCACACACATTTCCCCTTCAGTTTTGGAGGGGGAAAAGTGCGTCCTATAGGGCGAAAAATACGGTAGTAGGCAAGAAGGGACAGGTACAAAGTCCTGGCAATCATCATGGCATTCTAGGCAAAATATTTCACCCACATTAATTATTTGAGGCTATGAATGCTGAAAGAACCTGTAATTTGTTTTCATTGATGGTCCAGAAAATATGGATAGACTTCTAGAGAGAGAATTAATCTGTCCTGGCTTTTCTTCCTGCATATTTCATGCTTACCCAGAATGATAGGCTTCTTAGTTGCTGGATGGATGGGGCTAGTTCTCCACTGTTCTCTGTGCTGATTGCCCGACACATGAAAGGCATAGGACAATGGTCTACTGCAGTAAAAAGAAAAAAAGAGCACTGTTGCAAAATATAGAAACAGCAATGGTTACACTGTATGGCTGAAATAATAACCCATTGTTTCCAATAAGGATTGATGCATTTTTTTCACTGGGAAACAATGGTGATTTCTGTCTAGGTTTTACTGAGTAACCGTGAGAAGGAGGAGACACTTTCACTGCGATCCACAGGCCTGGTTATTAAAGCCATTCCCTCAAATGAGACTGAAGGTAAAGGCATTGTATAGGTGGGGACAGCACACACTGGTTTTCTGGGCTTCCACTTTTCTGGATTCCTAGCTGGATTCCTGGGCGAGAGCTGGAGTTCTGCAGATGACATGCACTCTTGTTCCAAAGTGAAGGAGCAGTCTAAACTTGCTTCATGGTAGGTATACATTCTTTTTGCCAACTTGCTACTGTCACAAAAAAAAGGGGAGCGGTTAAGATGTCCACTTCATTTCTGAAGAGAGGGACAGCTCAGAGTTAATCTAATGTATATTTTAGAAAGCTGTTTGTTCACTATGCATTTGGACTCTTCTTACAATATTGTAACCAAAAGTATGCATGATGGATCCTGAGATCAAACAGCAGGTTTTTGTCTATGTTTTGAAACAGTTGGATACCATTTTGCACCAAGATGGTGGGCTGAAACTTTCAAAACTCTACTGATATTTTGATTTCTTAGAATTCCTTAGCAACTCTAGGTATGAGGCTGCTAGTAATCAAATAAGAGAAACAAACAAGACGCACAGAATGCCAGCAAATTGGTTTGGGAGAGACACATTTAAGCAATCACATGGTGTCTGTCCCCCCCCCCAAAGAACCCAACAGTTGTTTTCTTATGCTAAAAAATGTTCTGTGAAATGAGTGCCTTAAGATGTTGCAGATACCCTATCAGTCAGTGTTCTGCACAACTCCTTCTGCTTCAAATTGATGAAACTTGTTCCTCCCACCCCAGGCTCAGTCCTCAAAATGTTATGTAGGACAAACAATTAGTGAGGTTTCCAAAATTGTGTGACACCTACTTTTATGCATGTCTGTTTTTTCGTAGACACCCTGTTCCTGTGAGGGAGCAATCAGCTGCTAAATTACGGTTTTAAAAAAGAAATGATAAATGAATGGTGGGACTTGTGTTGGTTATCATCTGTGATGCTACATGCACCACCTAATAGGTGCCAATGAAACTCATACAACCACCTTCCATGCAGCAATGGAGGAGCTAAGCTGGGGAACAAATACACACATTTTCCCCAGCAATTTTGAACCTCGGGGAAATGTTTGTATCCCTTCAATATATCCTTCAAAGTCCTTCTTTAAGAAACACTTGGATCTTCCACAACAGGCCTAGGCAAACTTTTGAGACTACAATTCCCATCATCCCTGACCATTGGTCCTGTTAGCTAGGGATGATGGGAGTTGTAGTCCCAAAACATCTGGAGGGCCGAGTTTGCCTATGCCTGTTCCACAAAAACAGAGTATGTTCATTGTAGCTGTATGTTCATTGTGTAGCCCCCCACCCTGCTCCCACAGCCCCCCATGTATCTTAAAAGGTCCTAGGAAGGGGGTACAAGAAGGAACTATAAAGTCTGAGTGAACTTCTCCATGCCGTTTCTCAGGATAGGAGAAACAGTGTTCTGACTGTGTTCTAGAGCTCTCTTCTACTGCTGAATAGAACAATGTTAGTCATGGAGGAAATTTGGGGCAGTGCTAAACATGGCAGGGGATCATGCAAATGCTTCAGTCGAGGCAAAAAGAAGGGGGAAAGTCATGACTGATTCATCCATCTTTCTTCATTGTACTCTGCAGATCTGGTGTGCTTGAATGTGAATACTACTGAAGTTGTAAAAGTATCCAACCTCTCAGGACGATCATATTCTGTAAGTGACACTCTGATTCTTCAGAATTAGGAACCTAGTGGTGCTGCTTAGTATCTACAGGGGGAAAATGTAGGATTTTCCACCTATTCTACAATACAAAGTAGGAGAGAATCATAAAATATGTTACCCTCAATGGAACTTTATGAATCCACCTAGTGTATAAGTTAAGTTTGCTCCAAATTTTTTCTGAAGCAAAAATCAGCAACCCTAGACCCATTAATGAATAATCATCATAGTTGAACATAAAAATTACAACCTCCTTTCCTCATTCTTCCGTTGACCATGTCTGCTGAGTCTCCATGGGCTTCTTTATTAACTACATCTTGCTAAAATCTCAAATTCCAACCAAAAAGACCCAGGTGTATGGTTTTTTTGGGACGGAAACTTTCACACACAGCAGTTCTATGTCACTATGTCAGGTGCCAAAGCCACTCTGATACTTGAATCAGGATCCCTTCAAACTGTTTACTTAGGTTATTGAACCTTGTGCTTTCCCAGTGAGGAATGCAAATCCTGCTTTCCCAGAAAAGAATGTTACATGAGTCCTTTGGGTTAGAAAGCAATCAGGCTTGCAAGGGTATGTGTGCACTTGGAATGGAAACTGTTAAGCTTCTTTGATGAGCCCCTTAGTAAATTGACTGCCTGATGCTGACCTACATCTCAGATCACAGGATATGTGCAACACAAAGTGGCTTTGCCACAGGACAAACAGCTCAACAAGCATTTCATAATTTCAATTGCATAGTCAGTCTTGGTGTGATGCTGTTGCACAGATATTTTCTTCCTCTTTTCATCATGGCACTATTCTTCCAATATGTAGCTCTTTACAATTTCACATGGCTAAAATTGAAATGACAAAGAAATATCCATTGCCTTTCCAGAAGGATATATAAGTCACTAGGTTTGTAACCCAAAATGTTAGATTCTAAATTACATTTATTCCTCAAAGATTAATTTTATGCTGCACCTGTGAAAGAAAGGAAAAAGGGGTTCCATTTCAGGCTTATACATCGCATACACTTGCTTTTCACTTCAGATTTCTCCCCCATTTAACCATCAATAATTCCTACTGAGCTGAAGATTTTTGAATAAAACAAACTTATATGCACAGTTGGAACAGCATTTCCATTGCAATTAGTATCAGTATCTGAAGTGAGAAATGAATTATCAATGATTTCTCCATTGCATAATTTATCAAATAGGCTGATTACACCAGCAGTGAATATTTAAGTTTCCACTCTTGTCAATGTCGGAACCAAGCCACTATCTTGTAACCACTCACTTTGCAGGTTTCTAAATGTTTATTGGCAATACATAATTATCTTTTTCATTGGTGAACCTAAGAGCAACAGTAAAATGCCCAACAGTCATGATTATAAACAGATTTTACCAAAATAATCTGTCACAGTACAGAGCTTGTGTAGCGAATTGCTTTGTGGAACCTGACACGGAAAATAAATGGCATTGCATTTTGGTTTGTTGAACGTGGTAATTAATGTTTTGTAAAAAAATGCTTCGCTAAACTTGTAGAAGGACTGATATCAGTAATGCAACCTGAGGACTTCAGAAGACTTATGGGTTGTATCTAACAAAGTTGTCCTGTTGTGCAAGGACCTGTGCAATAGAACTTCCTCTCCCTGTGCCCCCTGCCCAAAAATCTGCTCTGGAATGTTGGGGTAACCCCCAGAACAGATCTGGGTGGGGTGCAGGGGGCTCCAGGAGAGAAAAGAAAAGTAAGATCCACTGTGCAGCCAGAGCTCCTTGCGCTAATGGGATGACTTCATTGGATACAACTGCATGTTTTTTCCACCAAGTAGCAAATAGGAGCTTTGAGAGAGTGGTGGGAAAGAGCACAGGGATAAGGGTTAACCCATCCTTCCCTAGTGCCACGGCCCCACTCCAAACTGCTCCCCTTGAGGCTGACATTGCTATTAAAGGCAGGAAATCCTATTCACAGATCTTCTGAATCATGTCTGGATGTGCCCTGAGAGACAGCTTTCTAGAGCAGGATTTGTTCTGTGCTTACCCACCCTTTGCACAATTCTATTGCCGGTTTTTGTTTTCTGTTGCTAAGGTAGAAACTTGAGATTCATGCCACAGAAAACAAAAAACTTGCTAATCCAGTAACACCATGTATTACATCACTTGTTTGCATTTGGCCTTGACTAAAAAAAGCACTCTAACCGCTAAGCAGAGCATTTTGTTGCATTTTTTTTCCAGTTAGTGACAAACACTATTCGAACACGCAACATCAAAATCAGAAGCACAGAACAAAGGACCTTCACTGTGTGCCTAGACAAGGACTCTAGGAGACTCTACAAGAATGTGACCAGGTAGGGCTCTCCAATAAACTGTATATTATTAACTTTTCACCCAGGTGTCCCTTCCCCATTCCTCAAAGTCAGTTCTTGAACATGGTGTGGGTGCTACTAATAAACACTGTCAACTCAAGAACTGCCTCCAGGGAAACTGAAATGGATCAGAAGCAGTGGAGGACTTTGGTCTTTCAGATTTCAGCAGTTTTATGCTGCTTTATTTGTCATGGTCTGACATTGGGATATGCAACTTAAATCACTCTGAGGGCCACATGTATCTTGTTACTAACTCATGGTGGCTAGATGTAACTTACTGGGTGACAAATCAAGGCTTTAGTCCTTTGCGGTATTTTAAAACTCTGTTGGTTTTTGCGCATACATCACTGTAAAATTTAGATGTTTGGGGAAGATATTTTATCTCAGTAGTGGGGAAACTTTGGGGCCTGAGGACCAGAGCTTTATTTCCCTGCACCCCATGCATCAACTTTGACAGGTGAACGGGGCCACCCACCTGCTGATGATCTGATGCTATGATGACATTAGGTGCCTGATAGATGGGCATGGTGATAGTCTTGCTCACTGTCAAAGTTGTCTGGAGGGTGGTGGTCTCCTTCCTCAGCATGTTCCCTAGAAGGAAAGTAGCACCCAGTAGGATTGACCTTCCTATTCACCAGCTGATGAGTGCAGGGAAAGCACTGGTGAAGCAGCAGTCAGCAGGATTGAACCCCACTGCTCACCCATCACCTAGTGATGTCAGCTGTCTAACAAGTGAGTGAGATTTAGAGAAAATGGCCTCATGGGCCAGAAGTCCCCTAACCCTTTTCTCTCTGGACTGCAGGATTCAGCACTGAAGAGTTCTCGTTTTACACCACACTCCTTGTCACAGCCTAAATTTGCCAAACAAAGCTATTATAGCATTTTTTGCCACCTTAAAGGTACTGGGTGATATTCAACTAACATATTCCATTAGAGCAAGGATTTACACTTGTGCAATTGAATGACCCCACCACCACCTCCTGTGTGTGCCCTGCAGGTTGGGGATGCCCCTATAATAGATTTAGGGGGTGTGCAGGAAGGTGGGAGTTCCATTGTGCAAGCAGAAATCATTACGCTGATGGGATGTGTTAGCTGCACACCACCCATGTTATTCTTCTCAGACTAATCAGCCTCAGTGATTGTCAATGATAATGTCAATTATTGGTGTGCATTCAAAATATATGCAAAGGGACTTCCGGGGTGGCGCCATCGGTAATGGCGGATTCCCTCTGATCTGGAGGGACTAGCTCCACGGGAAACAGGTCTTTTCCGCTACGGCGAGGTGGGGACCCATTCAAAAATCACAGGCGGATGAAGCCTGTGACCATGGGACTCGGCGGGCACCTTTAGCGCCCCCCCAACCCGCAAGGGAACCCACTAACGGGCTCCGGAGCGAAGAGGGGGAAGTGGCGCGGTGCTGAGAGTCAACTGCTTCTTCCGTGGAGTGAAGCCGCACAGCCGTTGCCGGAGAGTGCTGCCTTTTTCCTGGGACAATTTGGCTTTTAAAACAATCACCCGTGAGTACTTAAATTTTGGACAATTGGACTCTAAATAAGGATTTGTGAGCTGAAAGGAAAATTGGACTTAAAAAGTTTACTTTAATTTGGCACTGAAACGGGAAGGTCTAAACAGGAAGTCAGCCTTCCCTTTCTTTGTAGATAGATTAAAGCAAAGACATGGCAAACTAGAGTTCTGAAAATCGCTTGTAAAGGATTAGCTTTCATCATTTTAAATTGTTGAACCCCCTTCGGAAGCAGGAGAAGAGGGGGGATTTTTTTTCCAGACTGTTTAAACCTGCAGAAGTGAGTGTAAAACAAAGTAACTTTCCACCGTCTTGATCCTGGAGCGGGGTGTCAGGACTGACGTTTTTTGAAGCTCATTGACCAGAGACAAACGTTTTTGACAGATAGCTAAAAGAAGAGAAACATAGTGACTCCATTGTTCCCCTTCGCATTTTAAAGGAACAAATATTGACAAAATATCTGAAAAAGGAAACTTTGTTGTTAGATCTGTCTTTAAAAGAAAAGAACAAACAGAAGTTCTTCCCTAGAGGAGCCTGTGAAACTGTAACCAATTTTGAATCAGGGAGCTTGCAGCTGTCACAGATTACGATCGTGGGAATAGACTTTTGACCTTGCAGGACAATGTATTCAGAAGCTCTGTTGTGTGCTTTCTGTAAAACAAGTGCCCTACTGGAACAGCTACATGAGAAGACGGATTTTATGACTGATGCGATCAGAAATTTTGGACAGGTAGTGGGAAATTATATAGAGCCCACCCAGGAATCAGATCAGGAGTGTGCCCTGACAGAACAGATGAGGGAAGAGGATGTTTCTGAATCTTGGGTGCCAGAGATGGAGGGAGCTGTGGCCCAGCAGGAACATGAATTCTTGGATTTGACAAATGAACTTGGAAAAAGCCAGATTTGGAAAGATAAAGTTTGGTTTGGTTTGGTTTGGTTTGGAAATGGGGGGTTTGGACTTTTCAAGTCTGGCAATGGGCCGTGAGATGTTGTGGGGGCTCTTAATTTTGGAGGGACTTTGAAACATGTTCTTAAATACCTCATGGAGCTTAGTCTGGACTATGGAAAAGGGGCTGATTTGTCGAGATGGGTCAAAAGCATTGTCAAGCTGGAGTTCCCAAGAGTGAAAGGAGCAGGAGATAAAGGAAAATACAGCTATAAATATGAAGAAGAGCTGCGGAAGGGACATGGAAGGGACTTAAGGGCCTCGGACATAAGATTGCCAGGTTAATGCGCTAGATTGATGAGATAGAAAGGACTGACAAAACCCGGGACCAGGAGGAAGAGACGCTGGATGAAGATTGGATTTTTTTTTTGTTATTTTTTCTTATTAGGATTGTTTTATAAAATTGATGAATGTTAGAAAAATGTTGGAACGAAATTATTTGGCTTTAGCAAAAATGTTTAAAGAATTAAGTAAGAATATTATGGTTATTGAGAAATTGGTAAAAATAAGATTTAAGTTTTAAGCTTTAAGGTTTTTATAGTAAGATAAGATTAAAATAGATTAAGGTAAAGTAATGACAGAATATTATGAAATATGGAAAGGATTTGCTGCGACAGTTAATAACCAGGATACAAAAAAAGGGAGGAGGGGGAGGTCAAAGAAAGAAGGTAATGACAGTTAAGGATTTGAGAATATTGGATTTGTTTTTAAATGTTTGTGGTATATTTTTGTTTTTTGAGCGTGTTGTGCTATTTTTTGATTTTGATTTCTATTAATCTGTGTTGTTTGACTGTGGTTTGTTTTTTCTTTGTTTTTTCTCTCTCCTTTTCTTCTTTGTTTTCTTTTGTAATTCAAAAATTTTCAATAAATATCATTTAAAATATATATATATATATATATATGCAAAGGGTTTGCAAATTATGTGCACCTCATTGCCTGAGGTTCAAATACCCACAAACAAGTTTTCCACATAAAAGAACTTCATATCAGAATTGAGTGAACACCAGATCAGATTCTGACCAATAGCTTGTGTATTTAGCTAATGGAACAACATCTTTTGTTTTCTTGCAGTATTGAAGTTTTCCCATGCCTAGAACCCAGCTACTGCTTACAAAAGACAAGAACCAGACGGTCTAGCCTTGAGGAAGAGGAAGATGTGGGACTGGCCAAATACTTACCTAAATCTTTATTGCTACCCATCAACACTTTTGCAGGCATTGTTCAGTGAAAAAGCTGATAGCCACAGCTATTTCATCTTTTACTGCGTCTGATTAGGGAATATCTAGTGATTGTGTTCCTACGGTGAAGCAGTCCGTGGAAGAAAGGAAAAAGCAAGGAGAACAACAAGGAGGACAAGCAAGGAGACCAGAACAACAGCTCAGGTCTGCAGCAGGAGATGAATCCCAGCCCAGTACAGAGAAGCTGTGTCCTTCTATAATAGTAGCAGATAAAACTGTGGCAGGGGGCATGTACAAAACAAAACAGAGTATGAGAGTTTCAGACTTCAGTGCCATGCTTTCCTTATATTCATCTTCCATTGGGCAAGGAGAGAATAGTTTTGTTTCACCAGGACACAACAAATGAAATGGTGGTAATTAATGCTAAATATACTTTCCTTTGAACCCTAGTTGTGATCACAGCTCTGCTTAGTCAGGTGTTGCTGGACTGTGGTATAGATATGGTTATTCTGTAGAACTACCACAGACAGGTAAACAACTGTTCTGAATTTAGGGATTTGGATTTAATGAAACAGTATGCAATTTTTGTTGCTGTTAGCAGAATCTTGGGATAAAGGGTATACATGCTACCCATCAAGGGAACTGAGGGGGGGAATACTAGTGGCTATAGAGATGTTTGAACAGGCACATATGTGGTGGTGACTGTGTGGAATAGCACAAAATATGTACCATAGGCAGGGCAAAATGTTATGCAGACAGAGGTCAAGCGTTTTCCCATGAGACCTGGGCTCCTGCTATCTTGCAGAGTGCTTTAGCCATGAAGTGAAGCATGGGTAATAAACCTCCAGCACTGGTGGCATGGAGGAAGGACTTTGTGATGGTGTTGTACAGGTGCGCAAGAAGGTTAGTGGGCCTTGCTGTGGCAGAGTCAGGTCAACGCTACTTCCTGCCTTCAGTATTTTTATTTATTTATTAATTAAAATATTTATATTTTGTCATTTGGTTCCTCCCCAGTTCACAATAAAATTGCAGCTAAATACAATATAAATAGTAAAATGGAAATGGAGACCTAAAAACCAGGTGTTAAAACATGCAAAAGGAGGGGACACAAATTGATAAACTTGCTGTACTCCAAGGTGTCATGAAACTTGGCTTGCTGCTACGGTTTACTCTTTTACATCATGCTCTTCTAGGCATTTGGACTTTTCAGCAAGGGTGTTGCTAGGTTCTTTAAAAGTGTGGGGCAGAGGCCCATAGAAACAAATTTGCATAGCAGATTTATACGTATAAGCACAGATTTATGATATAAATATCACAGAAGGCAAGCCAATTCATTTCCCTTCCAAATCATCAGATAAATTCTTCAGTTAATTTGCACCCCACCCCCAGATCACCCCAAAGTAGCTCCTCTTCCATTCATTTACCCCCCAATTAATCTCTCAACAGATCTTGTAGAAATCATGTCAATTCCCCTTTACTTGCCCTCATTTATTACTCCCATGCCCTGGGCAAGATTAAGAGGTCCTAAACCTCTATTCAAAATAAAAGCTAAACCGTAAAATAAAATTTTATTTTCTGAAATGACACAAAGCATGTCATGTGCAGCATAAGAAAGGACCTTTGCATTGTTTTGATTTACATTATTAGGACGCCCCCTGGTGTAGGTGGGGATAAGTAATAAAAAGAACACACAGTGTAATTTTGCTTGAATTCATTACCCACCCAGAAACTCAGAGCACATAGGACAAGATTTGGGGTCTACGCTCTGTGAGTTCACCTCTAGCAGCGCTCCTGATTCTTGGCCTAAACAACAGTATGTTTCTACTTCAGTTGCTTCATGTCTGAATGTAAGACTTTTAAAGTAATTGATAAAAAAATGCCGTAAGGTTTATTGCAAAGGGAGAAGGCACTAAAAGTAGACATATGCTAGAATGTGGAAAGAAGGATAAATTTCCTAGAGGGAAAAATAATAAAAATGTAGGTCAAATAGCAGCTGATGGAACCACATGTAGCAGTGATACTCCCGTGAGTTGTTAAGGACAGTGACTTTAAACAAGCAAGAAAAGATTTCAAAATGTTTGCAATCTTAAGCATTTTTTTAATTGGTTCTCTTAAGTATGGTGCTGTGGCTACATGTTTACAAACCAGAAGGTTATATGATGGATTGCTTTGAATTTTGTAATGGAGATATCTGTATTAACTAAGAATGTATATTATGTAAATTAATTATAAATTATTTGTACAGATGTAATACACTTTGTATATTCAAAAGTGGAATCCTTTAATTTCATTAAATAACTTCCAAGGATGTTTGATGTCATGTGTTCATTTGATAGTTGGCAGCAGAGGTAAGATATCCTGTGGAGGTTAGTTATATCAACATGATCTTTGTGTCCCCTGTTCAATTGCACATTCTGATTCCATTGGAAGACTGTATGGTGTGGAGAACCTTTGGTCAGTGGCCAGGGATGATGGGAGTTTTAGTCCAACAACATCTGGAGGCCCAAAGGTCCCCACAGATGCTGTTTTCTACAGTGGCACTTCATTTGTGTGATAAGCTGTACAATATGCACCTCTGTATTGTAAGTGCAACACAGTGGATACATGTGTGTTTGTAACTGCACAGTTTTAACAGGTATTGCAGCCTCAGTTCCAATAAATCAGCTAATGTTAGGAAAACCCATTGTTTCCAGTAGAAAGTTGGACGGGGATGTTGTAGTTCTGGAGATGATATTCCAAAAAAAGAGGGGGACACCCCAACCCAAGTGGGACATTATATATGATTGCTTCCAGAGTATAGAAGAATGATTTCAATTGAAAGCTTTTAAAGCATTCAGTCATAGCAACACTGCAAAGGTACAAAGGGGTTGGGTGGTGTCTTTATATCTTTTAATGATGTTTTAAGCTCAACCCAAAGTCTCTTGTAATCCTGATACAGTGTTCTGCTTTCCTTTTTACCTATTGGCAGGCTACAACAATATGGCTTTGCAAACAGTAACACCTGAAGAGCTAAATAGTTCCGTGTCTGGTTGGATCTGAACTGCTTTCAGCTCCCACATCAATTAAATTTGAAATACATCTGTGAGTATCTGATGCCACGCTGTTGAAGCAGGGCAAATATTTATTTAGTCAAAGAGCATCAAAATTGAATAGATTTATCTTTTAAGATTATTTCTTGTAGCTTTACACCCCAGTCCTAACAATAGTTGTTCAAAAGTCAGCATTAGTTTTAATGGAGTTATTGCCTCCAAGTACCGTAAATATGCTTGTGACTGCAGTGTACTGTATTTTTCGCCCTATAGGACGCACTTTTTCCCCTCCAAAAATGAAGGGGAAATGTGTGTGCGTCCTATGGGGTGAAAGCAGGCTTTCACTGAAGCCTGGAGAGCGAGAGGGGTCGCTTCAGGAGAGCCCCATCGCCAGTCCCACAAGCTCGGGGGACAGCGGGGAGGCGGAATGCCGCCATCCCGCTGTCCCCCGACCTGGTTTGGAGGCTGGCAGCGGGGAGAAGCGTGCTTCTCCCTGCCGCCAGCCCCGCAAGCTCGGGGGACAGCGGGGAGGCGCAGCGCGCCATCCCGCTGTCTCCCAACGTGGTTTAGAGGCTGGTGGCGGGCTTCCCCCTCCCCCAGCCCCGCAAGCTGCCAGAGCGATGCCGAAGCTGCGCGATGCTGAAGATCCCAGAGCGATGCCACAGATGCCGAATATTCCACATAAGTGAGATATTAAAATAAGCTAGGTACATTGAAACTTTATACTATTCCTTTACTTTTACCTACTGTTCCAGAGAAGTCCATTTGTGTATCACTTTACTTTCATGTGTTTCATCAAGGACTACTTAAATACCAAGTAGATTCAACTGGAAACTAAATAAAACCTAGTTAAAGACAAACCACCTGTACAATTCTTTACCAGTAAATAATTAATTCGTCTCTGAAAAAGAATACCTCTCATTACAGGGAAGACAACTTGTAGACAGCAGAACCAGAGACTCTGAAAATACATTTTAAATGTCTCTTATATGAGAGAAAATTCAGTTGTCTTGGTGGTTTTCATCAGCATAATGACAACAAATAACATGGTAGTAAGTATCAGTGTCAATGGAACTCGACTTGGGGATCCAGCATGGATCTTTCCTGGAAAAGATTTCCATTGGAAAGGAGATGACATAGATTTCTTTATCAAAGCTAAGAAGAGTCGTATAATTATGCAGTGTAAGTAATACAGCCACATGGTATTTATAGGATTTTAATTTTTTAATTTTTGGCCAGTTGTAGTAACAGGTACTAAAAACAAATGCTACTTGTGTTTAGTTTGTGGATAAATCCCCAAGTTATTTGGGCTCTAGGAACTTTTATCCTGGGATTACAAGAACCATTTTGATAGAAAGGCCTATGTTCCCTTAGTAGCTGATCCTAAATCTGGCTTTTAAAAGATTTGTCCCAAGCACCACCATTTGCTGCAGCTATATCAATGAAGCAAGAGGCAAAACCACAAAAAGACTTAAGTCCCTTGAATTCATGGTGAGCTGAAGAGAAAGAAAACAATCAGGATTAAACACAGCTTCGTTTTGCATCCCAGCAAAACTATCTGAAATGCTGTTTCACCCACAATTCTCTGGCCCGTAGGAATATGGGTTCCAGTGACGCAGATCCTACATTTGGGTGTCCCCATCTTTTGAAAGAGGGTGAAGAGACTGTCTTTTCTGTGAGACCTTTTATTTTTCTCAATGTTTTAAAACCCCCGTGACCTTCCCCACTGTTATTTTCCCTGCCTCCGTCGTTTTATGTACTGTTCATTTTAATTGGGTTAATTATTTGATTGACTCTAGTGTGGGGTTGTTGTTTTTTGGCTTTTTAATTTTAGCTCCTTGGGGAACATGGTGTGCTGAAGGGTGGGGTGGGGGGGATATAAATAACATGAAACAGAGTATCGGAATAAGGGACAAAACATGAGTAGAAAAACCTATTCTAACAGGTATGGCTAGAATTAGAAACCGAGGAGTGGGAGAGTCCAGAGGGACTGCTCCAAGGGTCCTTTTGTATATCCAATTATATATCTATAATATGTGTGTGTGTGTGTGTGTGTGTGTGTGTATAAAATTATATATAAATATATATAATAAGTCCTATTATATATCCAATTACTTGGGAGTAAGTCCCACTGAAGTGAATGGGGCTCACTTCTCAGAAGACATATGATGGACCTGCACCACAGCGCCAGAACAGCTTGGAAATGTCAATGTGCGAACCGCACAGGATAAGAATTCACCCTCATCATCATCATCTCCAAGGCCACCCGCCGTTTCCTAGCAACGGCTTGCCCCGCCCCCCTGAGGCGCCCCCGCCGAGCCCACTTTCGCCCTCGAGAAGGAGATCGAGAGTGGCGAGCGAAGCCGGGAGGGGCTCCTCGGGAGTTCTCCGAAGGGCCAAGGCCAGCAGGTGAAGAGAAGGGCGGGGCTTGAGCAGCTCGCTCGCGCTCTCTCTCGCGGCGGACAGGTGCGCCGCGGCGCATGCGCCGCGAGAGTGCTTTCCCGCTGACAGCAGGCCGAGGCCGCTGTCCTCGTGGAACAACGGAAGAAGCGGCGTCTCGCCTTCCCCCGCCCCCGCGCCCCCCACGCCCTCCTCTCAGGTACGGGAGGCTCCGCGCGCGCATTGTAAGAGGCAGTTCGGCACGAGAGGGGCGGGCGCTGGCGGCGGTTGCCATGGCAACCCGCGCGAGGAGCGGGGTGGGAGGCTGGGGAAGTTCCCCAGGCCCCACTTGCTAGGGGGAGGAGTGGGCGGGGTGTCTGCCTGGGTTGGCGCGGGGCAGCTTACGCCCCACTGAACCGAGGCGGGAGGAAATGAGTGGCTGCGGGGGGCCAAGAGGAGCGTTACCCACAGGGACTGACAGGGGCTTGTTTTTAAGTAGTCGCCCGTGTGGGTGGCAGGTGAGGGGATGGAGGGCCGCCACCTCAGGAACTGTTCCGACGTTCTCGGTGTGGAAAAGCGAGGGAGGGATCCAGGGCCTTGCTGACAGGCAGCCATGCTTTTGCAGGCAAACATGTACCGATTCCATCGCTTTTAATGGACAGTCGAGTAACAACCAGCGGCGTAGCGTGGGTTGTCAGCACCCGGGGCAAGGCAAGTAATTTGCGCCCCCTAACCCGGGGCAAGGCAAGTAATTTGCACCCCCTAACCCGGGGCAAGGCAAGTAATTTGCACCCCCTAACCTGCCGCCGCTGCCAGCTGCTTCTTGCTGCTGCCTGGGCTGGTCTGGTGTGGTTCTCTCCCGTGCTCAGCGCTGCGCTGGGCGGCCGCTGCACTGTCCCTCCCCCCAGATAGTCCCTCGCTCTCTCTCCGCACCGCACGCCTGGCACCCACCCCCTCCACAGTGGGCGGCGACCCAGCGGCTCGGATCGGATTCGCACAGCCAGCACTGCAGTGAGAGAGAGTGAGTGAGCCAGGTAGGGGCAGAGAGCTGCGAGTGCGAGCGCGCCCCCCCCAGATGTTGCGCCCGGTGCGGCCGGCCCCCCCTGCACCCCCCACGCTACGCCACTGGTAACAACAACAGGTCGCTGAAAACCAATGGTCAGCAGCAGAGCATGTTTTTGCCTGTTTATTTTACACAGCCGCTTCAGTTCGCAGAGCGGTCGTGCCAAGTGAAATGACACACAGTGCATCATGCTTCTACAAAACACCTTCGCTTTTCTCTTTAAAGGCTAGTTAAAAATCCTGGATTTCATTCTGCTCTGTTGCACGGCAGTGCTGTTGGTCTTTGACATTTTCCCATAGACCTGAAGTATAAAGCGAAAACGATGCCACCCCACCTGGACTCATTCTGAAATAACACAGAGACTAGTAGCAATCTGGTAGCAACCCAAAGCAAATGTTTCCTGCTCCTTGAAATACTACACCACACACACCCTTACATAGAGACCTATTTTATGTGTCTGGCATTCAGTCAGTTCCTTTTGCTAACTATAATAACTTGGTGCTGTTCACTGCCCAGTGAACCTGGGAATCCTCACAAAATTCACTGTAGTAGACTATCAGTGATTTTATGAAGATGAGCTTCAGCAATGCCCTGCTATATACTTTGAGAACTCTTATTTTAAGAGTCTTTCTGGTTGTTTTATTTCATAACGCAACATAAATGCACACATTTCCTCACTTGTTGAACTTTATTCAAGGAAACACAGCTATTGTAATGATATAGCATTTTCCCAGCCCTCGACCTGCAAAATTTTCTCTCTAGAAAAAGTATGATTCATCCCTTATTTGCATATTCATTTTTATGGGATAGAACAGGAAGTTTGTTCCACAAGTCATAGTACCGAAGACATCACTCTCTCTCCATTATTTTTGATTTAAAATCTGCTTTATGGTTGGCTTGCTAGACCTTTTGTGAATTTTAAAAAGGTTTGGGCTGCAATTTTGCATGTGAGTTGTTTAAAAAAAAGAAAAATCCAATGGGATTTAAAGTTAATAAATTACAAGACCCTTTTAAAAGTCCTTTCATTATGTAGGAAAGGAGTGTCATGCAACTGGCACTGGATAGGGCTTAGTATGAAGGTAGAGCTTTTAAAAATGCTTTTCATAGTAATCTCTAAAGGCTCTAACACCACACACATAAACATCCCAAGGTTTGATCTGAATACACATGAGGCTACCAGTTTGCTGAAGCTAAGCAGGTTTTGGTCTGGCCAGTGCCTGTATAGCTGGTTGCCTGGGAACCAAATGCCTTGGGTGCCATGATAGAAGAAAAGTGGAGTATCAGTGTAAGAAATTATTCAAAAATAAGAAGAAAAAAACTTTACTCAGAAACGAATCCCACTGAGTTAAATGGGTAAACATAGTAAACATGCATAAGATTGCAATCTAATATCTGTTCTGGCTAGTAAAGAAGGATTTGTACAAGTCAGGTTGATTTTGCTTTTTTCATGAGCTCCTAAAAGCTGCACCTGATATGGAATGTTTCTATGGCTGTAACCAAGCACAGTAACTATTCTTGTAGGGCTTGCTTGTTTGTTTGTTTGAAAATTTGTAACTGCACTTCTGATTTGATTACCAATACAACTTTTTGCTGTGCTAGAAAAAGAATTTTTTTGTTTTCATTTTCTTACAATGTTCTCATGCTGACAACAAGACTTCAAGGTGGCTGACAATAAGTGAAAATGTTCCTTGTTGTCATTTCTAATTTGTTATTTGATATTGACAAGCCTTTTTTTCCCCTTTTATTAATTTGCAGGACAAAATTGGGAGCCAAGCCTGCACCTGAAGCCATGAATACAAACAACCAGTGGGATGTGAACAAAGCACTAACTCTTGCTAGCCTCTTCCATTTTCTTTATGGTGCAGGAAATGCCTGTGCAATTCCGTTTTTAACTCTGTACTTTCGGCAGCTTGGACTGACTGCACCATTAGTAGGGATTATAATAGGATTAAAGCACTTAGTCACTTCTCTTTGGGCTCCACTGTGCTCCTATTTAGCAAAAACTCACAATAAGAGAAAAGTTCTCATCAGCGGATCACTGCTGTGCTCAGTTGGAGCAAGTTTGCTTCTTACTCTTGTCCCACCACCGAGCAAGGACATTGTCTATAGGTATTGTAATGTGAGCCAGCATCCAAATAAATTACTGACAGCAAACCAGGTGTCTGATGTAAATGTGAACAGTCCAAGTGCAATGAATGTTAACCCTGCCTCTGATGACAAAACACTATCTACTGAATCATTTGGAATAATCTCTAAGGACTTGATTACTACTGGAAAGCCAGTAGTAACAAATGCACCATTCAAAATTTATTCCACTATTAATATCCCTTCTGTGATCAACAGTGGTGTCAATGATGGTGATACAAGTACCCAGCAATTCACTGATGTTCCGTATGGTGTGATATCTGGTACTTCTGGGAAAGAAGTTTCCCCAGGAGAACAAATGTTGGAGACACTGACTGTAAACAGGCCTGTGAAGACAACTAGTAGCCCACCTGCTGATATGAATATTGAAGAAAAAATTGTGGAAAATGACTCTTCAGAAAGAAATGCTAACTTCTCATTTTACACAGCCCCTGTACCTCTTAAAAAGACACAATATATATTCAAAAACTTGTCAGGTCGCTGGGAAAGAGCACAGGATATGAGTTCTTGGTTACTACAAGGTACTGACTTCTTGGACAGTGAACACCAGGCCTTTCTTATGGTGCTAGGTGCTGTTGTTCTTTGGGAGCTCCTGGCTGCACCTCTTGGATGGATGGTTGAGGACAGCCTCTATGAGTACCTTGATTTTGTTGATGCAGCAGACAAATATGGAAATCTTTGGATTTGGAGTTACTTAGGAGCATCTATGGGTGTCTGTGGTGTAGCAATATTTGTGGATCAGCTGAGTTGCTTCTTGAGCACGAATATCCCACGTTTTGCAGTTCATTTTTATGGCTATGCCATGTTGCTAACTTTAACGTTGGCTGTCAGTGTCTTCTTTCCCATTCATGTGTCCAAAAAAAGTGAACATGTAAACAAAACAGTCAAAGCTTTAAACCTGATTGGGAGTGACGGCAGAACCATCCTGTGTGCAGTAACCGTCTTCCTCACGGGTGCCATTGGGTCAACTGTGCAGAATTTTCTTTTCTGGCAAATGCAAGACCAAGGCAGCAGTGAATTATACATGGGTCTCTCAGTAGCCATTGGACTGATTGCCGAAATCCTGCTCTACATCTTCAAAAGCAAGTTACTAAGGACTCTCTCAGCTGGTGGCACAGTTGCCTTGAGTTTAAGCTGCCTTGCAGCACAGCTGCTCTACTATTCCTTCCTATGGAACACCTGGTCTGTGCTGCCAATCCAGATCTTCTGTGCCTTCAGCAACGGTGCCTTGTGGTGGGCTGTGAACATGCTGGCAGATGACATTGCCACTCCTGGCACAGAAAGGTCTCTCCACCTTGTCCTACAGGGCCTCTCTTGTGGCTGTGGAGCCAGTCTGGGAAGTTTTGCAGGAGGGTTTGTTGTGAACAGCTTTGGCCTAGCAGTGCTCTATCGGGCATGTTCCATTACTTTAATACTCTGGTTAATCTTGTTCTTGATTGTCCAATCCAAGTTGCCACGTCAAAAAAGAATTAATTACTCCCGACTCCTAGCTGCAGATTCTAGTGATATGAGTGACTCTGATGATGATGATAAGGAAAGGGACTGGCTGGTGAAAGCTATGAAAGACGAGAACTTCACTAGGAATTGGTAAAAGTCTTGCATTTCATCGGTCTGTCAGGCAAAGAACAGACTTTGGAGGAATAGGGTGATGCTATTAGAAATGATGCACATGGAATCTGTAAGAAGCCATTCTACTAGCAGTGGGATTTTATGATGTACATATTTATAAAGAAAGCAATTATAAAGATTTTATAAAGATTTTATTTTCCTAAGATTAATTTATTGCAAAAACTTGTAGCATTTTATTTGCTTTTCTAAGATTTAAGTTTTCATGATTCAAGGAAATGGGACTTTGACTAGTTTCTGCTGAAATTAATAGTTTTTCAGCTTCAATAGTGACAAAAATTGGTTATCTTTAGAGACCCAGATGGCCATATAGGAGGTTGTAATTCATAGCAATTTAATCTTTTTTTCACTACTAGTTAATTCCTAGTAGATAACATGCTGTCTCTTCTTTCAATTTTGTCCTCAATTGGGCACAAACTGCTGTAGAAACAAATATGCTGATTCTTTATTTTTATGGACCCAACATCTTTTTGGAAACTAGCACTTTAAATAAGTGGGCCTCGATTCTGGAATAAAATTGTCTAGTGGCTATGTAGATTTTATTGCTGGCAAAGTATGCGGCTTACTTTGGTCAGTATTATTCTGAAATAAAATATTCTTTCAGAATATCTCTCATCTCCTGACTGGGAACTTCCATACAGTAAAAACATTTCTTTTTAAACATCTCACATCTGTGATGTGAATATAAAATCTACATTGGTTAGAATGCACATGCAGTTCACAAATCTCTTGTCTACTTTCTATCCTGCAATAATAGCATATGTGGAAATACTGAGTTGTACAAGTTAACTCCAGGCCCCTTAACATTAGACCCAATGGATGAGGAAGCAAAGTTTCTAGGATGTCAGGTTTTGCCCCTCTTAGGTGATGGATATTAAGAAACATTTTTTAGTACTCATAGGGCTTTGCTTAAACACTGTGAGAAGAATTCAGTGTCAAGCTCTTATAATTGTTCCATCAGCATAAGCATTTCTGCTTGGCAGATGGAACAATCCTCCCTCTCCTAAGTCCTCCCCAGAGCCAATGAGGGGCCGGCACAGAGGGAGAAGAGGGAGGGAAATAGCCATTGTGCTAGCAGGACTCATTGCGTTGGCTCATTCTAGCGCAACAGTTTAGTTGAATCCAGCCCTCAGCCATAATCTAGTTTGACTGATTCAGTTTACTCAGGCAAGGGAACAAGTTAACCAATGCAGAGGGCTACAAACCCCACGTTTGCCTGAGAGAATATACACTTTCAGCTTCATATGTGTGTGTTGGAGAAGAGCTATATATTTCATAGGGGAATCATGATTCAGAAGGATGTTAGAAGCATAATGGGAAGTTGGAAGGTGGCCTTTCAAGTGCCACTACAGAAAAATTGTCACACATTTCAAGCTATTGGAAAATTTCCTTTCATTTCTCCAGTGCAAACTGTGTTGCTGCTAACAAGTTGCCTTTGAGAGAGGAAGCTTGAATAGGATGTTTTACTGTTCTGCAGTAGCTTGTCCTCATGCTACAGCCTTGATCCAAATCATCTTTCTATAGGTTTTAATAGCCATGGAGAGGGCAATCTACAGGCAAAGGTTTTATGCCCAAATTTTCCCCTTCCACAGCTAATAGCAACTTCATGAAGCAGGAACATTAAACTGGTGAATCACCACACAAGCAAAGGGTGTCCCTTGCCCAGCTGCTTTTTGAAAAGAAAAAAGATGTTGGGAGTTCAAGTCATGAAACTCCCATAGTCTAAATTGTCTGAATTTATCAAGTTGCTTTTCATGTGTTTTGCATGAATGCTAGGCATGTTGCTCTGAATGTTGTTGCCCTTTGGCTAAGAAAATAGTATTGACCACACCCTATGTTTACATATTGGTAGTTATGGGTATGGAAAAGTGCGTGGTGTTGTAAGTAAATACCAACTTGTATCAAGAATTAACAATATAAACTGTCCTTACAGAGAACTTTATTTAATAAGTATTTGATGTAGTTTTAATTTTCCCTAGCAAGTTTTCACTTCAGCAGAGCCTGATAGGCAGAACAGTATTACGAAAAGATGGTGCTTTGAGAAGCAAGTTTTACCATTCATCAGTAAGAAGATTTGTTACTCATTCTAGATTGCATATTTAACAGCTCGCTCTGGTGCGAATCTGTTTTTGTGACCCAGTGTCTTCTGGTAAAATTGCTCAGTGAAATGTTTTGTCCTAGTGCCACAATGCCAAGCCAGTGCAAACAAGGACATGGTTTGAGGTGGAAGCCCTGATTGCTCTCTGCGAAAAGTTTTGCCTTTCTCAGCTGTGTCCCAGAATGCTGCTGGTTTGCTTTGTCCATAGAACTCAGTGGAAGCCATTGAAAACGAAATCTGTCCCTCTCCATATGGACCAATCCTTCATTGGCATAACTCTAGCCCAGGTTCTCTTTCTCGGATTGATAAAAATAGAACCCAGTAGCTTGGTTGTAAGTACATGATGACATTTGGCATTGCTTTGGGAGTGGGTTAATATATATGAGGATATTTATGTATATATATATATATATTGTACAAATTTTACAAATTGATTAATATTCAAGAAGTTAATGAATAAGATAAGCAAAAATAACCATACCTATATCTAATGAGCTGAATGTTTTTTCATAAAAGTGTCAAATAGACGTTCTCATAAAATACTATAATTATTCAAATTTTCATAAATATATTCCATAAGAAAACATTGTTATATTAATACTGCAGCTACTAAAGGATTACAAAGAGATCCTATAAATGCAAATCTGACTGGGTCTTCTTATATTATAAAAAGCCATGTTTTCTGAATTTCCCCAAATAAAAAGTTTTGATTGATTTCATCTCATACTTTGTTATTCCAGTAAAGGACAGACTGACACAATTTTTCAATAAACATGTAATCATGTTGTCTGCTTTCCTTCCTACTGATTATATTTGTCAGTTTTCCCACATAAGCTGTGTGTGAGGATATTTTATGGGAATATGACATCTACACACAGTGTTCTTTAATGTGCATGAGTTTGATCCTGAATTGTTACATGCAGCTGTAGAAATAATTTCAAAATCCATTTTTAGATGTCAGTGTTATGTTAGCAAGTGATGACTGGCAGTATTAATGTTAATTACATAGCTTTAGTAATGAGTAGCATTAAAGACCAACTTTTAAGCATCTCAGTGCATTAATGCGCTTAAGTAACAAAAATCCTAGAGAATGATCCAGTCGCAACTGAGCATTTTAAGACCTATTGAATTACTTTTTAAAGATAATGATGTAATCATATGCACATTTTCCTGCAAGTAAGCCTCACAGTACTCAGTGGGACGTCTTGAGCACACATGCCTAGATAGAAGAATTGCACTGCACAGCACATGTTTAACTCTTCTGTGAAGCCAGCAGGACATAAAAAGCTAAAGTTTGGCTGGGTTGTGCTGCTAGCTTTCAGGGAAAGCAGAATTTTACCACATGATAAGAGCAACAAACATTCTGACCTAACCCAGCCATAAAGTTTAACATGCTGTGGGGTGCTTTACTATTCCATCTTGTTGATGATAGCACAGGCATTAGCCAGTCAGCAGTCAAACCATAAGTCTCTGGCTTTTCCTCAATGCCTTGGAAATACGTGGAACCATGTCTTCTAGAGCTTGTTCCAAGATATGTTTTCAGGGCAGCAAACATGCTTTCAAAGCAGTGCCCTCTTATGTAAAACATTAAGGCTATCTTTACTGTAAACCCACCCATTTTTCTTCTTCCACATGGAGATTTCTTCATCCACCTTCTAATATGTTATAGTATCAATGTGCTACCTGATCTTGTGAATTTATTCTGCTCTTGTGCATTGATCACAGGAGTCTAGCTCAGTTTTGTTTTAATCTTGGTATCCCATAATTATTTTAGTTAGGTTTGCAAGTAAAGAAACATTTTTAATTGCCATCTCTTCAAACTGCCTGGTATCTGGAAACTAAGCTGTGTGTGTTTGGTTTTCATTTCAAATTGCAACCTCTGTTGAATGTTTTTAGAGTTCAGGTCAAATAACATATAATATGGTGTGCTGATTGCATCACCTTCTACCAAGACATGCTTTTATCTTTGTAACCATAGAAATTGCCTTCTGTAACACCTCTCAGTGTTTGCCTTCTCCCGAAACCTTTTCCAAGCACTAGGTGGTGGTTGTAACTTGATAAGGCTGAATGTGTTGTTTAGAAGACTTGCAATTATTTCCACTGGATGTGATTTCTTGCAGGAATTCAAATTTTCTGTGACTTGCATAGAGTCTCACAGATTGCCTCAGTGTCATGTCTCCAAAGAGATGCATTGACAGGAGTATAAGCTGAGAGAAATTTTCGATTTCTGTGTATTTGTTATGTATAACTTATTCCAGGTTCTTCAAAAGATTCAGCATAATTGGCAAACATTCTCACAAAAGACATTCAGTGAGGAATTTACAGTCAGGTTTGAGATCTGGTATGTTTAAGGCATAAAAATTCATGTTTTATAATTCCTCGCAAGAAAAGGGAAAAGTTGACAGCTATGCTTTAAGTAGCGTTTACTTAGCTTTTAGAAAATTGGTCTCATTTTGCCCTTTTCTGTCAGATAGCTAAAAGCAGCTAGTTACAGGTCTGCCGTAGTAAAAAAAAAAAAAAATTCCTTCCAGTAGCACCTTAGAGATCAACTACCGGTAAGTTTGTCATTGCTATGAGCTTTCATGTGCATGCACAAAATTTTGTTTTAAAAGCAGCTGTGTAATTTCTTCATCTCTCTCTCTCCCCCTCCCCCATCAATACATCATGAGGCAATTCAAAAACTGAATCTCTTTGATGGAACATGTGTTGATCTTCTATTCAAGTAACTTCATTTATTTTGCTACTATATTATAATACTGCTCTTCATTTTTCCAGTATGCAAAATGCCTGTTGTGATGAGAACCACTGGAATTGAATTTTGTCTTGGCTATTCATGAGGAACTATTACTACTTGATAATGCAACGATTAGGAATTCGACTTTCTTTTATAGATCGTTGGGGTTCCTTATATGTTTCCTGATAAACTGAAGGCATTGATATATTTTTTCTGCTAAAATGAGATATGAATAAATATTGATTGATACGGAAGTCAAAGGCAAATATTTACCTGGTTGGTATGAGAAATATGATGTCAAGTGCATAATAGAAATTTACTTGTGAATTGAACTTTCTTATTTGCTTCTACCAGTTCCGCCCAGCACCTTTTGTTTGATACTGACAGCATACTCAGTGAGGCAAGGTGATCTACAGACTCAAACTCAGGCCTAGCTCTCACAAATATTATGAGTTTAAATTCCCATACTTGTAAATTGCCTGGAATAAATCTCTAAAAGTCGCTATACATTCCCATACTTGTAAATTGCCTGGAATAAATCTCTAAAAGTCGCTATACATTCCTTCATTTTTGCTCTTGGTTATATTCATTCCAGGAAAGGGGACTGCCTCTTTAGCCTTCAAATATCTTCTTAATTTAACTGTTGCTCCGTGCTCTTTCCATGCAAAGTTGAGCAGTCCAAACAAATCTGAGATGACACACACTGAGATCTCCATGTGATGCTTCATTTAGTGAGATGAGTCATTTTCATTGGCTGAGCCTCCTAGCTTTTATGTATGTAATTAAGATGCAATAATAAGCTTGCAGGTGTTTCTACTTTAACAGGAAACAGCCAATATGTTTCTCTATGGAGTTTGGCATATCTTCCTACTGTTTGACAAGTAGTCTGCATTTGCACCAAAAAATGATACAGCATCTGAGGACACTGTGCTCAGGAGGAAGATGTTCAAAAGGCTAGCTCATGAAAACATGAAGTCAAATATTTTTAAATCTACTACCCATAGGCCAGAAAGTGGCATTTCTCCCCAGTATGGTCAGCTGTGTTTGGTTTTTAAAACTAAATAGCTGGATTTATAGGGAGGATATTGTTTCAACATTTATTTAGAAACAGACTGATTTGATGCCTCTTTACAATTTGCTGCCTCTCTGCAACTAGAGCATCCAGACCTATCCTGGCCTACACTACCTTTTGCGTAGGAATCTAAATGCATGTCAGCATTTCTGTTTACTTGAGGGGCCTATGTTAATGTGCATTGGTGTGCCTTGTCACCAGAATGGCACCAAGCCCTCTGGAAAGATTTAAAGTTGCTGTGCTGCATTTGAACTCTGCTCTTAGTTAACTCTGAGTGTCACTCAAAAGCTCGCTGTCTCAGTAATCTCTGAGCCTTCTTATCCCATGACTTCTAACTTTACTTAGGGGCCTTTGATTTGGGACAAGCATTTTGAGGTTGAAAATGTCTACACCTCTATCCATATGCTTGAACCACATCATCATCACCATCATCATTTATTATTTATAACCTACCCATCTGGCTGGGTTTCCCCAGCCACATGAAAGTCAAGACTTTGTAGCAGCGGTTCGGTTACCTGGCAGAACCTCCTGTGGAACTGGTGGAAAGGTGGACCCAAGAGGGTGGAATTTCAACCAGCAGTGCCTAAGGCAGCCCAGTGTCAAAGTGAACACACATACACATTCAAACGAGCTCTCAAGGCCCCTTGAATGAGTGGTTGTAACAAGAAAGAAAGCACAGTGTGTACGCTAATAGTTGACATACTACGCTGTATCTTTAATTCAGGATGCTGTATGTTCAAGTCTAGGTAGGCAGCAGGCTGGAACATGTAGTCTACACAGCCTACTATCAACAAGAAAGACAATAGACACTCCCTCTCCTACTCCAATCTGTCTGCAAAGCAACTTCAGAAAGCCACACAACTGAGTAACCAAGACATTTCAGGTAGTGGAAATGCTGGGCTTCTCGGAGGATTCCGTTGTGCCATTGTGGGATACAGGAAGCTGGACAAAATAGATATTTGATCTTATTAAGTGAGGCTCTTACATTCTAATGACTAAATACTTTTGAGGCATTAAATAAAGGAACTTGCAGGGCTTTGGTGAAAAGCAGAAATCCGTAATAGCTCTCAATCAATGTAAATAGCTCTTCACTTGCATATTTTATAGCAGGTGAGTCATTACAAGTTGCAATCAAAGGAAGTACTGTACAAATAAAAGAGGAAGATGAAACTTGACTATTCGTTGTTTCCATCAATGTCGCATTAGAAGAAAGCCAAAGGGAAGAGAGATTTAAGCCAGTTGCTGTGGTAGCTGGAAGTAGGGCAACAGACACAAGAAGGCTGATGGTTTGGGGTAGGAGGCCAGGTGTGGTGACGACAAAAGCCTCACCTGTTGAATTCCTACTTATTATGCAGCTAATAAAGCTGCAGGAGGAACCTGGCCTGAAGAAAGCAACCCAAAGGCAAAGGTGCATTCGTTTTGGAGACTGAGCTTATAGAAGTGTTGTCAGAGGAAGAGAGAATTCTTGCTACCTTCTTCCTCGGTGAGATGCTGAAGAGATGAATAGAGGGTATAAAAAACACAAATGAGTTGGTAACTTATCTGATACTTTGCTCCATGGTATCTAGGGGAAGGTTTTGAACACAGCCAAACTGCAACTTGGATCAGGGGTCTGTTTGAAAAGTGCCAATCAGCTGAGTTTACTCAGAAGCATAAGAAGGCACCTGCAGGATCAGACCAAAGACCTGACTAGTCCAGTATCTTATTCTCACACTGGCCAGATGCCTATGAGAAGCCCGTAAGAGGCAATGTCACTCTCACTCTCAAGATTCCCAGCCATGGGCATATATAGCCTTTTCCTCCACAAATTTGGGTTGTTTTATTGCTTCATCTGTGAGAGTTTTTAGAAATGTTGGTGTAGGATTTATGATTTTACTTGTATTTTACTGGTTGGTTATTTAATGTTTGCAAACTATTCTGGAATTTATTTACAAGAAGGTCAGTTTAGAAGCTCCATAGCTCAATGAAACATTTGCGTCTTAACTGCCTTGATTTTAAATAACCACTTCTAAAGCCCTGTACTCAAAGTGCCTGTTGAATGGTTGTCCTCATTGTGGGATGTGAAACACAGAGCAGTCAAATACAACATTTCTAGAGTGGACATAAAAGGGGGTGTCTGGACCAGCCAGTTGGAACTTCCTGTTTCCTCCTGGGCTGGGACAGACTTCCTCTATATGTGACCAGAGATGGGCGTGACCTCACCTATGCAGGCAAGAAAACAGCACAGGGGATGCAGACATCTCTGACTCCATTCCTCGAAGAAGCAACATCATATTAGCCTGAGATGCTCTCTTGGCTTGCAGCCAAGAGAGGACAAAAGAGCTATCTCCTTATGGGATAGATTCCAGGTGTATATATTTTGTAGCTTATGTCTGCCTTCTGGGATCCATCTGTGAACAGAATGTGTGTGAATAAACTCTTTTATACTTTTATACAAGACTGTCTAATCTTTTATGAGGGAATAAAGGGGAATTATCAGGAAACTTATTTTACAGGCTTAAACGATCCTGGCAAAGATGTTATCTGCTGTACAAGTTAGAAAGGAGAATGTTACTCTGCTAAATTATAGAACTAGTGTTAACTAGTTGGGAAGGATATAATTCAACAATATATCCTCTCCTGCCTCCCTGAACATTCCCACACTCATAACATTGGGCTTAATTTCATTCATTTGCTTTAAAAAGTAGTACCCTTCTCTCCTCCTGAAAAAAAGTCCTCAGTGCTGACCAATATACGTTTTCCCACTGACACAACATTCATCTCACCCCTTTTAAAGCCATCTAAGTTGGTGCCTATCACAACATCTTGTGTTTTGCTGATGAGTAGTTTGCACTTATTTCCACCAGAGGGCGGCTCTTGGTGTCATAACAGAGCCACATCTAGTCTCCTGCAGCCTCTGATTCTATTTCATCTTTCGGCAGCTGTGCTAAAGCATCTCGGTGTGGAACTAGCAGGCAGCAGCTGCTGGGCAGGTACCAGGCTTGGCTGTATTCTGTGCTCCTTTGATTTTGTTTCTCTCTCTATTTAATCATTCCTTTTCCAGAGGATGGGCTCTGACTTCCCTGCAACGTGTGCTCTTTAGAAGTCCTTCTCCCTAAGAAATTATGCTCATCTAAACAAACAAAGAAAAAAAGATTAGAGGGGGAAAAACATCCCACAAGCGAGAGGCAAGGATGGAGAAAGAAACCAAGGCATCCACCCAGTACGGATCCCTGGAGTCAACCAAGTGGAAAGCAGCAGATGCAGGCAAAGGTGAGATTAGTTTGCACACCTGGGGCACAGCAGCGAAGTACCAACTCCCTCCCTGTTACTCACTGCACCCCCTGAAGTGGGGCTTAAATCCTTGCAGATCTGCATGATGTGTGTGTATGTGTGCCAGTATAACATTTGCCTGCTGGGTGTCTGCTATTTTCTGTCTTCCTTGAAAGTTTCGCAGCAGTGGAGGTGGAGGTGGATGTCTTGTTCAAATCCCACCCCCTAAAAACCCCGCTCCTGGTGATGTTATTATTGTTATTATATAGATATATGAATGAGACCCCACCTGTCTGTCTCACTGGCAGTGGAAACGGAGTACGTTTGCATTGAGTAGTGGCAGGCAGCAGGGAAAACATGAGTAGAGAAAGCTGGCCGAGGACCAGACACTCTAGTCTCTGTTCATTCACAAAAAGAGCCTCTGGCGTGGATGGAGTTTGACTGCTGGGCACACTCTAGTAGCTTGGGGGATGCCTCAGTGCATGTGTGGGCATTACAGAACTGGCCAAAATGAGAAATGCACATGATTTGGGGTTTCCAGGAAAGGCCACGTCCCCAAGGGTGAAGCTGAGGGGCATTGAGGTTAATTGATGGCTTTTAGCAATACCCCATGAAGGCACCAGGTAAGGATTTACTCCTTCTCTACTCAGCTATATACCATCCGTGCCAGTTCCCAATTTTTGTGAATGGGCATAACCGGGCAAGCGACAGGCAGGAAGGAGTTAATGCCAAAACTTCCCATTCAAGAATTCAGCTATCTCCTTCTGTTGCTTAGAGAAGCAGCCGCAGCTTACCAGTACAAATGCCTTTATCAGATCCTCGGTACAGTGTAGACTAGTGGCTAAAGCAGCATGCAGGACAAGGATGTTGCAGTTCCTTCCCCTTCATCCGCTGCTGGTGGGTGGGTGTTTATTATGTATATATATGATACACAGAAGCACATTGGCATCAGGAGCGTCTGGAGCACATTTGACCTGCTGCCCAAACCAAGTCTGCCTGTTTCAGCCGGGTTGCATGGCAAAGAAGACCCTGTTGCTTGAAACAGTGGGTCTGGGCACTTGGCTGAGTTAGGTGGGTCACCTAGTGCAAAACCAGTTCAATTCCCCAGGCAGATGAGGCAAATTATGCAAGGTGGCTCAGCTCAGGTCTGGAAGTAGCATGCCAGCTTGGGCTCCTATGGTACTTCCCACACAAGCTGAGAGTACATCGTGTGGATGGGTGTGCTTTCTCTCAGTCCCCAAAGCCTTCAGCTGGCTCCAACCAACAGCTACTCCCCCTGGAGGCTAGAGACAGCATGGGGTTGGCAGCCAGTGGTTTAATCACTCCCACCACAGCAGGTGAAGTTAATAGCTCAGTTCCAGACAAGAATACAGTGGTTACAGATGCTTCAGGTTACAGACTTGGCTAACCCGGAAGTAGTACCTCGGGTTAAGAACTTTGCTTCAGGATGAGAACAGAAATTGCATGGTGGCAGCAGCAGCAGCGGGAGGCCCCACTAAAGTGGTGCTTCAGGTTAAGAACAGTTTCAGGTTAAGAACAGACCTCCAGAATTAAGAATTAAGTTCTTAACCCGAGGTACCACTGTATAGCATTTTGTTTGTGAGTTCTCTTAGCATAAACTATGGGATTTTCTGCTATAGCTTTTAGGGTGGACTAGTAGTGCAATGGGAGAGGGGGTGCGTTTTGTGTGTGTATGTGTCTCATCTGCCTTGAAGTAAAGGGCCTTTCATCTGTGTTAAGTTTCCGTAGCACCTAATGCAGTTCTTAGCATCTTATACGACTCAGCCTAAAGGGTTAGGGGCCACCATCAACAGATTTGCTGGAGATGGCTGTGGTGCTAGGCTCCTAGCCAGCATCTGCTTCCTCCAAAGTCACGGGAGGCAGATGTTTAAACTTCCATCTTCTTCATTCATTCTTTCTTCCCAGGTAATGATCACAGCATTGTTTAGCTCATAGGTTTTCAACCTTTTTGATTCCACGGCTGCCTTGACCCAACTACATTCTTCCTGTGGCACCCCTGTGGGGCTCAGAAGCCCAGTTATGTCACCCCTTGCCTGCAGGGCTGGCAGCCTCTCACCCTTTTTCAAACACCCTCCCTTGTGGAGTGTTTCCTCAGCCTGCTTTCTTCTCCCCTCTCCTTGGGAGTGCTCTGGGCAGCCGCCATCCCTGGTCTCTTAGCTGCCCCCTCTGACCCAAAGAGAGGTGCCTCCTCCCACTGCTCCACAGGGGCCTGGGAAGCACCCCCTGGCCAGCCCCAAAGACACCAGCTTGTAGCCAGGGCTGCTGCAACAAGCAGCTGTGCAAGCCTTTGGGAGGCAGAGATGCAAGAGGGTATCAGGGGAGGGAAGGAAAGAGGGACAGAGGACAGAGGCTGGCTTTTTCCTCTGACTTGACTCACTGGCACAGGCCAGTGTTGGGAGGTCATTTGGCTCCAGTAATGATGTATTGATCTCATCACTTGGCTCTGCTAGTGCATGCCAAGGAAGCTGGAGATGGCCTTTATACACTTTGTATAAAGATAATGCAGCTGCAGGTCTGTCCCTAAATCCAAAGGAATAATATTCTTCAGGAATGACTGGTCCAGTTAGTGCAAAATACAGAGCACGAGAGATGATGTTGGGGTTCAGACTTGATTGCATGCCAACTAATTCTGCCTATTTGTGTGTGTGAGGGAGGAGCAATTTTGCAGGAGACTTTCACTGCAGGTAGATGCTCCATTCATTCCGGCAGATGCGTGTTTTTTCCCATTTTATTTTAAACGTTTATTTCCATTCATCCAAACCCATTCCAGGGTGGTTTGTAGGAATATCCATAGCAGTGCTGGCACATGGTGGGGGGAAAGGACAGAAGTACAGGAAGCTGCCTTAAACCACATCAGACCATTGGTCCATCTTTAGCTCAGTTTTGCCAACACTGACTGGCAGTGGTTTTCCAGGTTTTCTGACAGGGGCCTTTCCCAGACCTACTTAGAGATGACCGAGATGGAACATGGACCTTCCACATGCAAGTCAGGTCCACAGTCTTTCCCCAGAAAGCAGAGGGTACAAGACTCAGCAATAGAAACTTTTTTTAATATTGTAAACTGCCCTGTGATCCTCACATGAAGGATGGTAAAGAAATTCAACAACAACAAGAACAACTATTCAACTCTGAAATGAGGCTACTTCCTAACATCTGTGAGGGTGGGAAGAGAATGTGCTTCAAGGCTGCCCTTGGCTCAGTAGGGGTGGTAAAGATTCATTATGTATTTGAGATCACATGCACTTCAAATGCAGGAAGTGCCCTAATCCAGTCAGGATGAATTCTGAGCCTGGCATTATGCAAAGAGCCAGGCTTTATGTTTGTTAATGGCTCCTCTTATGGTTGAAAACAACAACCTCAAAGCAGTTTACAAGAAGGTAAAACAAGAAAATCAAGAAAAAACTCACAACTTTGAAACAATGAAGGTTCCTAGGACTTTTGCAGTCCATTTCTGTGTCTGCAAGAAATGTACGCAGGGGTTGCATGTTTGCTGCAGCAATGTATTATTTTAACCAAAACTGTACACAGCAATATTTTGTTACTGTAGTAAATAACTATTTTTCATCCCTTGTTCCAAGTATCACAACTGCTGAGTCTGTTTTTATTTGGGGAGCAGTTGTTTGAATGTCATGAGCACCTACTGGACAGTGCCTGTGACATGCAGGATAACAGGAGCCACTTAACTGTTCACCCTGCCCACTTGTGCCTGTTGAAGGACCTGTGGAGTCCCCCCCCCAATAAAGTCTTTGCTTGAGTTCTTTTCTTGATGTAGGTGAGAGAGCAACTTTTCCACCAAGAGAACCTCTCTCCTTCCAGAGTCAAAATAGCAGGCCAGTCCTAACTGCTACTCCCTGGTGGGTCTTCTCTAGAGCACAAGCTTTTGTTCTTTGGACCTTTGACACAATAATAATAGTGCAGTGTCGTTCCCCCTACGCGGAAAGGAAAAGGCATGCACAGATAATTCAGTCTCCATCAATGCTGGTTTTGTTTCAGAGATTCCACAAGGGATTATAATAAAAAAGCTAAGATGAGCACATTCCCTGTAATCTTAGTATAAGAGTGCAGGCTCTGAAATTGCTGCCAGACTCTTGACAACTATGTCAAGAAGATATGAGGGGAAATGTGCTTCTCTAGAGGTATAAAGAGAGAAATGAGCCCCCCAGGCATTGCTGTGAAAGAAATATGTCTGCCTCAGGGGAGTTTGGAAGAAGGAGCTGAGGAGCAGCTGCCATCTATGGAACTAATTCTCTGCAGTCCCCCCTCCATTTCTTCAGTGATATTTTCATGCCATTTTATCAGCTCCTCTTAGATCCTGTTGAAGGCAATGATATGAGACTGAACTGTGGCTCTCCAGAGGTTGTTGGACCACAACTCCCATCATGCCTCATCCTAGGCTGTGCTGGCTGAGGCTGATGGGAGTCGGAGTCCAACAGTGTTGGGGAGGGGCACAGGTCCCACATAGGCCATATAAGGCAGCCTGACAGAAGTCGGAACTTCTTCGCCATGTTGCCATAAATTAGAAGAGATTCCAGTCTAATCACTGATGACATTGCTTGCTTTCCTGTCCACCCCCATCCCATCTGCTAACTGAGTTCCTTTTCCCTTTTGCCCTCAGAGGATGAGATAGTGTCCATGGCCGACTCCACAACGACCATTGATGACATCGAAGGGGAGCTCTTTAAAATTGAGAGGATCCGGGAAGTTCTGGTGCGGAGGGAGTCAGAGCTCAGATACATGTGAGTTGGGAAACTAGAGAGCAGGATGCCCGTGGGAGGGCGCTCAGCAAGGTGCAAAGTCTCCGTGGGCACAATCCTTTCTCTTTCCACCACCTATAAGGAGGCAAGAGGCAGCTGGTCCTAGGTGCTCCTCTTCATCTCTCCCTCTCTCTGTCTAGATCTGCTCCGTTTCCCTCTCCCTGCTTTGAGCTCACAATTTAGTCTCTCTCGTTTTCTAATGGCCCTGGAGTCTGATGATGCTCTCTTTGAAAGGATGTAGACTTAACTCAATGAGAAGAGTCCACAAGAGTATCAGACCTCTCTTTCAGCCTGCCTGGGTGGGCGGGATCCCATGTTTTCTCAGGCTGCATATGCCAACTTCAGGAAAGGTCAAATAGCCAGTCTGGCCCTCTGCATCATGGAACATCACCCCCCTCCCTGAAGCGTGCAAGGGTTTCTCAGCAGACAGCTGATTGGGAAGCGGCTCATGGGAGCGTGGGTGTTTTGAAAAGAGCTGCTGTATAGGGTGCCCAATGCTGCCGACTAAGTTCTGTGGATAGTGAAAATATGAGGTGGGCTGCCACCAGCCTCTTCACCTAAACCTCTTCACCAAGCCTACATGTGCAGAAGTTGTGCACATGTACATGCTGTACGCAGAATCTCCACAGCAACCGCGTCACAATTTCTCCATGTTTGAACCAATGGAAAGGGACTACTGCGTGACCATGAAAACATTTCCTGGACTAATCGTTCTGGTGTCACAGGACACTGTTATCTCGCTGAGGCAAAACCAGGTCAGGGGAGAGCTATGGATTAAAAATTCAGGAGCTCCTCCTGACTATTCATAGATGCACCAAGAGTGGGGACCTTGTGTTTATTCAGACATTGTTGGACTGCAACTCCCATCAGCCCCAGCCAGCATAGTATAGTTATCTCCCCCCTCTGTCTCTCTCTCATATATATATATATATATATATATATATATATATATCCCTGCTGAATTGGGTTGGGAGGTAAAGGGTGTAGCACACTGTTCCTGAACATAGAAGTTTGGTTTTACTGTCACAGCCAATAGTCATTGACACTGTATATGGTCCAAAGGCTCAAGGGGCCACCACCTTGAAGGTCTGATCAGTGCCTGGACAGGAGGCAGCCTGGGAACCTCATGTATGCTGCCTTGGGTTCCATTATGGCAGGATGCTGTTGTAAGGAAAATAAACAATAAGTGCCTAATCCATTGAAAAGCCACCCAAGCTAGCAACCGGTGACACATCTTATGGTACAATTTTTCTTCTCAGTCCTGAGCCTACCACAGCCCCTGCCCCTGCCATGTCAATGAGAATGAGATGTAGCATCGCACTATTTAGAAAATGCAAAAAGAAACTCATCTTCCCTTTGATGACTTCCAGCATCTGGTACTGCAGAGACTGACTGTAGCTAGCCTAATCTGTGCCAGCCCTTCTGCAGCTAAGAATGACTCAGCTAAGCAAAGCTTCTGCGATCCAGCTGTACTCATCCCAATGCCATAGGGATTGGTCCTCATCAGAGGCTGGGCTGCTGTTAGGAACCTATGTATCCCTCGGGGCATCCATGGATCTTTGGATGTACCTTGAACGCAGGGTTGGCTAACCTGTGGCCCTCCAGATGTTGTGGGACTCCAGTTCCCATCAGCCCCACCCACCATACTCAATTGTCAGGAAAGGGTGGGAGGTGTGGTCTGGCAATGCCTGGAGGACATGGCTGTTTTAGTAGAACTGTGCATCCTCCTAAGAAACCCCCTTGACAAATGCATCTCATTTTTACATGATGCATCCTGGCATATATTTCAGACTCAGCCAAAGGGAAGTGCCATAAGGACCCCAGGGATGCATCCATTGTCCTTTATGCAGCATTATCCTGGAACACAGGAAACTGCCTGAGCCAGATCATTGGTCCCTTTTGCTCAGGGACTGGCAGTGGCTATCCAGAGTTTCAGGCAAAGGTCTTTTCTGGTTTGACTTGGAGACGCTGGGGATTGAACCGAGGACCTCCTGTATGCAAAGCAGATGCTCTACCACTTCTTCTGGTTCCTGTCCAACAGAAAGCATATTCTTGGTGCTGCAATGAACCCCAAACAGGGGCTGTTAGAGAAGAAGCACCCCCAAATATGTCTGCATTGCAGGTTTGGCAGCCCTGGGCTTTCAAGGAATAGCACTGCCAGACTTCTGTGGCCTGTATACACATAGAGAGAGATCTAAAACTGAAGTCAGAGGTGAGTCATCATTCATCAACATTAGCCTAAACCTGACTGCGATGTCAACACTGTGCCTCTCTCCTAGGGGTGGAAAGCCTTCCCATTTGCCGTGTTACAGCATGGCCTTCTCCTTATTGAGTCAGCATGCAAGCTGACTTTTTCAAGGCAGCAGAAGGAGGGAGAAATTTCTATAGCTCTGATTTCCATGCTACAGCAGCCTTTGTTTGTTTTCTCCAATCTCTGAATCACTCCGTGGAAGAAGCAGCCAAGCTGCAGGTGTCAATATCCACCCTACAGCACACAAGGCAGGTTTGCCAAGGACATGCTCTGCATTAGACTGTGGGTTCCACAGAGTAGGGCTAATTTTTGCCTCTGAAAGATATCAACAGGGACAGGAATTTGCAAGGGCCTTTTCCTAGATCCAGATTTATTTTCAGCAGTCCACCCCCAAATTGGCTTAGCCCTTAAACCAAAGATAGGGACCTGTGACCTTCTATACATTGTTGGACTACAGCTTCCATCAGCCCCAGCCAGCATGGCCAATGGTCAGGGATGGTGATGTTGTAGTCCAGAATCATCTGCAGGGCACCAGGTTGCCCTAGAAGTCCTATTTATATATATACCAGTCTTTCATAGAGATGAAAAGTATATAGATGAAAACAGCAGCAACAGCAGCAACAAAATCCAACTATCTAAGCTAGCCAGGCATAGAAGAACATCAACCAGAAGTGAACCAGAAGAAACCGGTCTTGCAGTCACTATGAAAAGAGAGCAAAAAGGTGGCTTACTGTTGTAGCTTACTGTAAAAACAGCACACAACAGAGCTTTCTGGCAGGACCACAGCAGGCAAGTGGGCTCCAGAGATGGTCTTTGGAGCATGATGTTCCTACACCAAGGGTAGCCTGAACAGGACCCAGAAGTGATTTGACAATCCTTGCAACTGGCCTGACACATAGTGGGTTGGAAATGATTGTGCCTTCCAACACCTGTCAGAAGGACTGCACTTAGGCTGAAACTTCTGTAGCATCTTCAAGGGCAGCTCTATTTAGTGTGCATTGCCATAATCAAGCATGGAAGTTACAGAACTGTGAATCAATGTAGAAAAAGGAATCATAGAATCATAGAGTTGGAAGAGACCACAAGGGCCATCGAATCCAACCCCCTGCCAAGCAGGAAACACCATCAGAGCACTCCTGACATATGGTTGTCAAGCCTCTGCTTAAAGACCTCCAAAGAAGGAGACTCCACCCCACACTCCTTGGCAGCAAATTCCACTGTCGAACAGCTCTTACTGTCAGGAAGTTCTTCCTAATGTTTAGGTGGAATCTTCTTTCTTGTAGTTTGGATCCATTGCTCCGTGTCCGCTTCTCTGGAGCAGCAGAAAACAACCTTTCTCCCCCCTCTAGAGGCATCCTTTTATATATTTGAACATGGCTATCATATCACCCCTTAACCTCCTCTTCTCCAGGCTAAACATGCCCAGCTCCCTTAGCCATTCCTCATAAGGCATCATTTTCAGGCCTTTGACCATTTTGGTTGCCCTCCTCTGGACACGTTCCAGTTTGTCAGTGTCCTTCTTGAACTGTGGTGCCCAGAACTGGACACAGTACTCCAGGTGAGGTCTGACCAGAGCAGAATACAGTGGCACTATTACTTCCCTTGATCTAGATGCTATACTCCTATTGATGCAGCCCAGAATTGCATTGGCTTTTTTAGCTGCTGCATCACACTGTTGGCTCATGTCAAGTTTGTGGTCAACCAAGACTCCTAGATCCTTTTCACATGTACTGCTCTCAAGCCAGGTGTCACCCATCTTGTATTTGTGCCTCTCATTTTTTTTGCCCAAGTGCAATACTTTACATTTCTGTTAAAATTCATCTTGTTTGTTTTTGCCCAGTTCTCTAATCTGTCAAGGTCGTTTTGAAGTGTGATCCTGTCCTCTGGGGTGTTAGCCACCCCTCCCAGTTTGGTGTCATCTGCAAATTTGATCAGGATGCCCTTGAGTCCATCATCCAAGTTGTTGATAAAGATGTTGAATAAGACCGGGCCCAAGACAGAGCCCTGTGGCACCCCACTAGTCACTCTTCTCCAGGATGAAGAGGAACCATTGATGAGCACCCTTTGGGTTCGGTCAGTCAGCCAGTTACAAATCCACTGAGTGGTAGCATAGTCAAGACCGCATTTTACCAGCTTCTTTACAAGAATATCATGAGGCACCTTGTCAAATGCCCTGCTGAAATCAAGGTAGGCTACATCCACTGCGTTCCCTTCATCTACCAGGCTTGTAATTCTGTCAAAAACGAGATCAGGTTAGTCTGACATGACTTATTTTTCAGAAATCCACGCTGACTATTGGTGATCACAGCATTCCTTTCTAGGTGCTCACAGACTGTTTGCTTAATGATCTGCTCCAGAATCTTCCCTGGTATTGATGTCAGACTGACTGGGCGGTAATTATTTGGGTCCTCTCTTTTCCCCTTTTTGAAAATAGGGACAACATTTGCCCTCCTCCAGTCTGCCGGGACTTCACAGTTCTCCCCATTAGCTGAAAGTGGGGGAAAAGGTCTCCTGGCAACCTGCCTTTTGAAAAGCAGTGCCAGGTCAATGAGTATACCTAGGGCAGCCATCCCCAACTGGTGCCCTCCAGGTAGACTACAACTCCCATCAGCTCCAGCAGCATGGGACGATGTGAGTTATAGTCCAAGACATCTGGAAGGCCATTAGGGTTGGGAAAGGCTTAACCTGAACAGAGAAGGTGGTAGAAACCCCATCAATGACAGTTTTGGTACTCCCTTCCAAACAAATATAAGGGCTGCTCTCTGCCCACTTCAGAGCTGTTATAGACTTAGCCCAAAGTCTTCACCAAATGTTGCTGCTACTGCTGCTGTGATGCAGACTTGCTGGCTGCTAATTGCCTTTTTCTCCCAAGTACCACTGATTATCTAATGAATTCTCCCACGCAGCCACCCACACTGGTGACTCTTGATATGACCTCCATGCAATTCTCTCTTCTAGCCCAGGCACCCCCTTCAAAGTGGTCTAGCCTTGTCCTCCTACTTAAGGGGGGGGAACGTACATCAATAGATCCTTGTCTCCTTCAGTGTGAGCTTTGCCCAAGGCCAAAAGCTCTTTTTATTCATATTCGTCTACAAGAAGCAGGACTCTTGGAACAGTATAACTGAGCGGCAGTGTTGTGGGACTAAACTTTCTTTTCTCAGGTGGCTATGTCCCCTGGCTAGTTGCTCAAATGGTAGCATATCTTGCAGAGGAAGGTGTGTGTGTGTGTGTGTGTGTGTGTGTGTGTGTGTGTGTGTTTCTTTGCTTCAAGGAGCTGTAGCATAAGCATAAATAAAAGTAGAGTATTGAAGTGGGGTCTTATTTGGAGCCTGGATATGCTTCATGGGTTGCCATATCCAGGACTGTGAGTTAGATTTGAGAAGCCAACGCCTGCATTATATTTTGGAGAAATCTTATTTTATAGTGGAGCCTTTGTAACACTGAGGCTCCTAAAATAGTGGGTTCTCTGGTATGTGTTTCTTTCACAATTTTTATCCAGAAACACAGGAAGCTGCCCTATACTGAGTGACACCCATATTTTCTGCACTAACAGTGGCTCTTGAGTTTTAGATAGGGGATATTCCCAACCTTACCTGGAAATTCCAGCGGCTACACCTGGAAGCCTTCTGCATGCAAAGCAGATGTTCTACCACTGAGCTAAGGTGCCTTCTCACCCTGCCAGATCTGTTTTCTGTGAAACAGAAGCACAAATGTTCCTGACACTTTATTTTGATATGACTGGCAAAAGGCAGAAACATGTGAACAGCAAAAAGACATCATAAGCCTGTGAAAGTGACTTGGAAACTACAACTAACCCAGAATGCAGCTGCCAGATTGCTGACTGGGGGTACAGAAGATAATTAGACTTGCTGCTTCCACTACAGCAGCTTAAGAGGTAGGTAGCTAGCTGACTGATTAGGCAATGTGTGAAATAGTCTTTTAGTTAGCAAGGAAATTGGTTTAAGTTAAGAATATTTCTTCAAGTGATGCTAAAAAGACCTTTCCCACCCAGAAAGCATCACTTGTGAGAGAAGTTTATGCAGCAGAGTGTATTTTTAAATGGTGTCCAATCTTGCCAATTTAGGTTTTACTTTCAAACTACAGATGGTAGGTAGTACAAAACCTAATTTAAGTGTGAACAGGGCCTTATAGTTTTTCAGGGATGAGTTGCAGTGCCTGAAAGAGCTACAATCAGATTCCATGCTCAGTTCTTCTAAGGTAGAGGGGCCCAATTTTTCCCCAAAGAGGGCCAAATTTGAGGGCCAAAGTTGTCGGGATTTTTTTTAGGATTGAAGTTGTCGAGATTTTTTTTACAATTCAACTTGTTGAGCTTTTTTAAGGATTTGACCCCAATAAATAAACTGCCACAGAGGCCAGATTAGACCCCAAAACAGACTTTGGATATGCCTGTTCTAACAGAACCACGGATAGCTCCCTCTGTCTGCTTAGTGTGCCCCCCCCAGGCCTCCACATAAAATAATAAACCTTATCCCTCTATTAGTTCATTACATATGCAAAAACAAGAGTTCTGACATCAGCAGCAAAATAGATTTTCCTCATGCTGTAGAAGAAGAGTAGCAGTTGCTGTGCTTTGAAAGAGCAATTCTTTGGGTTTGTGTAGGTGGTTTAGCTGCCTCATCCAATGCCCTGCTGAGTTCTGCAGGCAGCTTGGCATCAAGAAAGTGGGAAAGCTCTTCTCCCTCTTTCATGATACTAGAACACAGGTGCATCCGATAAAGCTAAACATTGGAAGAGTCATAATAGACAAAAGACAGTACTTCTTCTCACAGTGTATTATTAAACTATGAAATCCAGTACCACAAAAAGAAGAGGAGGAGTTTGGATTTGATATCCTGCTTTATCACTACCCGAAGGAGTCTCAAAGCAGCTAACATTCTCCTTTCCCTTCCTCCCTGACAACAAACACTCTGTGAGGTGAGTGGGACTGAGAGACTAGCCCAAGGTCACCCAGCAGCTGCATGTGGAGGAGCGGAGACGCAAACCCGGTTCACCAGATTACGAGTCCACTGCTCTTAACCACTACACCACACTGGGATTACTACCAACTCTGGGACAGTGTTAAGAGATGATCCACCAAATTCACTGAGGATAAGGCTATCTCTGGCTCTTGCCACAAGGGCTATGCTCTGCCTCCACAGACAGAGGTAGTATACTTATGAATACCCGGTGCTAGAAACTACAGGAGGTGAAGAGTGCTGTTGTGCCAAGATCCTGCTTGCAGGCATCTCACAGGGATCTGGTTGGCCACTATGAGAACAGGATGCTGGACTAGATTGGCCACTGGCCTGCTTTAGTGGGGCTCTTTAAGTAAAAAGTGGAGGAACAGCCTGTCCATTTCTGGCCTTTCGTGTTTGTTTGTTTGTTTGTTTGTTTGTTTGTTTGTTTTTTAACTTTTCATTTTCTCACTCATTAGAATCTTAGAATTGTAGAATTAGAAGGGATTCCAAGGGCCTTCTAGTCTACAATAAAAGCTCAACTTTTAGGAAGTAAAAACTGTGGAATTGGTTTTCTGGAGCAGATACTAAAACCTGAATGCAATCACCATGGAATTTGCAGCAGGGAAAGATCCACGATATAAGATGATAGACATTTGTTACCTTGACATAACAGTTTGCTTTGCAAGCATTTTCCCAGAAATCCATACAGCAGGCTGTAGGCACTTTGCACTGACTTCTCAATACTTTCAGAATAGCCAGCATTTTAGTTAAACTCTGAGCCAACAATACATCCATGACAGTGATGATGTCAACTGCAAGGGAGCAGGAACTCTAAATCAGGGGTCAGCAAACTTTTTCAGCAGGGGCCCAGTCCATTGTCCCTCAGACCTTGTGGGGGGCCAGACTATATTTTGAAGGAAAAAATGAATGAATTCCTATGCCCCACATATAACCCAAGATGCATTTTAAATAAAAGCACACATTCTACTCATGTAAAAACACAGTGATTCCCGGACTGTCCGTGGGCCGGATTTAGAAGGCAATTGGGCCGGATCTGGCCCCTGGGCCTTGGTTTGCCTACCCATGTTCTAATGCATTAAGCCAAGGAGGACTATCCTGTATTCTCAGGTCTCAAGAGCAAAAAGAGATATAACAAAATGTGGAAATGTCTGTTGCTTAAAACCTACCGTGCATTCAGATGCATGTTTACTCAGAGGCAAGCCCCACTACATTCAGTGGGGCTTACTTCCAAAAAAGCATGCATAGGATTGTGATCTTACCAACTCTCCCTAATCTCACCCCCCCATCCCCAATTTCTTTACATGTGAAATTGTAGGTTATCAATTTACTATGATTCAAACTGGTCGGTCCTTCCGGGGTTAGGAGAAATTGTATTGGAGGTTGGACCTAGACCACAGGTTGTCCGTTGGCCATACCTGCATTCTGCTATTCTTAATGGGATATGGTTCATAATGCAGAATTTGGTGCTCCTGGAGATTTCCTGCTATACAGAAGTATGCCTCTAGCCCTCGTGTCTGCAGGGAAGGGGGAATTATTATAACGAGAGTAGCTGCTACAAAGGGTTTAGGAATCAAATGGTACCTAGGTGGGGCCTTCACTCATCATTTAGGACCATTTTTCTTTTCACTTATTAAAGACAGGCTGAGCAAGGCTGTGTGGATTAATTAGCACATCAAAAGACCTCTGTGAAAAATGGAAAACTCAAGAAAAAAGAGAGATTGCCAGGATGGTTACATAATGTAATGCAATTAGATGCACTGTTCTGATGAATGTAACCCATGTATATTATGAACATAATTCTTTTGCTGCGGGGATGTGCTATAGGAAGTAAAATTACACAGACATACACAAAAGGTAGCCAACCCAAATTCGCTGATGGATAATACAACAATCTCTATTGTGGCACTGTAAAGCAATTAGATAATAAAATTTCATTAATTTTAGCCAGCTTTCTTTTGTTGTCAGATAAAATGTATTTGTTTAAGCCAAGGGGTCTCAATAAAGCATTACAGAATTACTGTACTTAGTAATTCACATTCAATTTAAAAATAAGGCATGAAATGGGAGTAAAATACCAATGTTGTTGTTTTTTTAAAAAAGAATCCCAGTTCTTAAATTGTATCTATCTCCTTGCAATGCAGTTGAACAGCTCCTAATTTCTGCTTTACTGTGCATGGCTCTTTGAGTCACTGCAGACAAAATCTATCTGCTCATATTGGAGCACCCACAATACGATAGTACTGCACAGCAAAGTTTATTATATATTTGTTTATTTCAGTGCAATCATATCCCACCTTTCTTCTTTCAAGCATCTCAAGATGACATACTCAAAGTGGTTCCCAGAAGATCTCCCATCCAGAAAATGACCAGACACAGACCTGCTTAGCAGCAGCAATGGTGACTGCATCACATGCCCCTAGACCATGCCCTGGACTAAGGGGAACTAGATCAATGAGACATAGTTGACATGGTATACTAGGACTACCTATAGGAGTTGCTGCTATATTGTTTCTGGGACTTTTCCTTGTGTTGTTGTTGTTGTTATACCCCACCCATCTGACTGGGTTGCCCCAGCCACTCTGGGTGGCTTTCAACAAATATAAAAGCATAATAAAACACTAAACATTTAAAACTTCCCTATACAGGGCTGCCTTCAGATGTCTTCTAAAAGTCAGATAATTGTTTATTTCTTTGACATGTCATGGGAGGGTGTACCACAGGGCGGTTGCCACTACTGAGAAGGCCCCCTGCCTGGTTTCCTGTAACTTCACTTCTCACAGTGAGGAAACCACCAGAAGGCCCTTGGAGGAGGACCTCAGTGTCTGGGCTGAGCGATGGAGGTGGAGACGCTTCTTCAGGGCTGAGACCATTTAGGGCTTTAAAGGTCAGCACCATATGTTCCAAGTACACAGCCATTAAATCTTCTCCATTTTCCATGGCTTGCTAGCCATAGATGGCATCAAGCATCACTGCAAGCTAGCGAGCATGGATCAATATAGATAACTTTTGCTCCCAGCAGCCCCAAGTTAAATCTAGCTAGGAATTCGATTTCTAACCCTTAATGATTCTAAGAGTGATTTGGCACCTGAGGCTACAGATAATTTGCAAACCACAGGTGCAGCTTCTTCTGACTATCACTAAGTTGTCCTTAGAAAGGTGAATTAGTATCTCACTGCCACCTAATTCTTGAACTCTGTTTTCCTTCCTCTGTCTCAGTCCTGTCCAAGTTATGATTCCTGTATGTGTGTGCTTGTGTTTCCTGAAAAAGAGCATTCCAGGTTATCAGATTATCTTAGAAGAAGCCCTCCACCCAAAGATGCTTCTTGTAATCCTAAAAGCATCACATTATAAAACCAAAATGCCGTCTAAACTGAAGGAGAATGGAGAGAAGAAACAGCTGGCATGTGGGGAGGAAACCTGAATAATGTCTTCTGTATAAAATTATTTCTTGGCTTTGAATGGGTATCAACACATTTGGCTGTATTCTCATAGGGTTTCACCGGTGACCAAGATAAATTATAGGGTTGCGTATTTAGAGAACAGTATCCTCTGGAATTATTCAGCTTGTGACTGAGTCATTAGAGGAGCAACATTGATTCAAATCCATTTGCTGGGATGCAGATCTATAGTTTATTATTTCTGTCGCACTCCTCAGTGTACAGATTTCTCCTCTTATTCATGAAGACAGATTAGGCTGAAAGGCAGTGACTTGCCTGAAGGGCATCTACAGCTAAGTCAGTTTCATGGCTGAGAGAAGATTGTAGACTGGATCATCTTTGTTCAAAGCTCTCATAGCAGGCTGCCTTTGATTTTTTGCAATAGGTTCTGTGTTCCTGGGAATATCTCTCCCACTTGGTCCCTGCCATTGGTTCATGATACCTTGCTACAATGTTGGAGCTTGATCTCCCTCGTTACTGTAATCTACTATAAGCCCAAATGCCTATTCAGAAGAAAGGGCAAACCCATACAAGCTGTTCATTTGCACAATATTTGGTCATTATTCCACACATTCTAGTGCAATTTTCTGGTCGTGTTTCATTGTCACAAGGGTGAAGAAGTGCTTTAATCTACTTTAAATGTGTGAACACAAGTTCAGGTATGCGATGTAATAATACTGACAAATCTGGAGGTGTCCAGAGGTATCCTGCAATGTCCAAATATCCAAGACAATCCCAGAGGCTTTGGAAGCAGCCTGATTCAGTCTGTGACATTGCATTGGACACCCACCTTAGAAGAGCCCCAGTTCTCTTCAAATCTTCCTGATTTGTCTCGGGATTCAAGGGTTTGTCTGAAGCAAATGTGCACGCCCCTAGCGTAAGCCCTCCTTCCAAGACGAATTGTCTTCTACAGCTCCTTAAATGATCCCTTGTTGCATTCTGCATGTAGAAACACATGCTGCTTCACTTACCTGTCTCATGTAGCAATTTACTAATTTGGAAGAAAGGTTGTGGAGCAGCTAGAGAGTTTTAAAGTGTAAAATGCAGGTGATGGATTAGAAAGTGGAAAACGATAAACAAGAAATATTCCACATATAATCTGTTGCAAGGTGGTATCAAAGGCCCCAAGCGACTGGTTTCAGCCAAATGTGTCCAACCCAGCTTGGAGTTCTTCCCAGCAGCATGCTGAAAGGTAAATGATTAGGATTTGCAGCAAGGGATGCTCAAGTGACTTGTCTCTGTGGTCTCTTGTGGACAAGGGATTGAGGCTCCCTCCCTTGTCTTTTCAGGATGGATGACATCCAGCTTTGTAAGGAAATCACCAGATTGAAAAAGGAGTTGCAGAAGCTGATTGCAGTGCCAGGTAAGGCCCAAACCCATGGCAACTCTCCCAGGGAGTGAGTTTTCTTAGCACCTTGTTTTTCCATAAAGCTTTGTTGGTGCCATCCGCATGTATTGAGGTATGAGGAGCTTGTGACCTCCAGCTATTGCACAAATACAACTCCCATCACCCCTGTCCACTGGCCATGTTGGATGGGGCTGATGGGAGTTGGAGTCCAATAACATCTGGAGGGTTGTGGATTCCCCACCCCTACCCTATTCACCGGTGGGGTTTGCCATTTACAGGATCACTTGGCCTCCAATGCACTAAGCTAGGAGAGGATGTTGCAAAGGAATGTGAATTAAACAGGCCAATGCAAAGTTATCGTAAGACTTTTCTTGTCTCAGAGATGCTTGGCTAGCTTTGGAATCTGAATTTTTAAATGTTAAGCAAGGCAGGAGGAGAACCCAGGCATCTCAGAACAGGTGAAACCTACTAAAGCTGTATAAAACCCATTCTGCCACAACTACCACGGGGGAAAATAAAAATAGTTATATAAATAGGTACTGCTCATAGCATTGTCTGTCACACCCAGTCCCAGTTAAGGGGTGCCATCATTAAGAAGGGAATAAAGGTTAGAAAAAATCGAGAAGAACCTTCATGAAAAGGTTGGGAGGAGGAAAGAGCCTGTGGGGAGCAACAAAGATTTACAACCATCCATAGGAGGTCATAGTGGAAACCACCACTATGTTTGGTTGGAGATGTTTAGACAGAGGACTGCAAGTTGGGCCTGAAAGTCATTGTCTGGAATCCTTGTATCCTGAACCACAGCCCAAATGTTTAAATACGGTAAAGTTTCTCAAGTCCAAGGTGCATCCTCCTTTCCTTCATGGTGCAGCTTGATCAGTACCAACTCACTCTCTGTTTGTACAACAGTGCCCTACAACATGGGTCTTCATCCTCCAGGTCTTGTCCACTGCCTAGCACTGAGACTTTCAGCCCTGCCACTCTGCTTCTCCTGCCCCTCAACCACTTCCACCTCCACCAGGAAGCCAAGTTGTCCTTATGGAGGGGCTATTCAAATGCTGCCTATCCATTGCCGGAGAACAGTTGGGTGCATACTTTATATTTATCTATTATCTATGTATTTTAAAGTGTGTGGATGGGTTTTTGGAAGATATGTGCATGAATTTGTTCTATGTGTGGAGATCAGTGCATGCTGATCAATGCACGGTTTTCACAGTCAGGCTCTATTCCAAGGTCATGAGTATCATGATGATCAGTAGTTTCTTATCTGACGTAGTCCTCGTCCTCCTTCACAGCCATTGTAACATAACAACATTGTTGTCTTCTGCCTCTTCTGCCCTTGAGGACTTCTTGGATCATTCTTTGTCCAGCTTCTCCCCTTTGACCTTATCATCTTGGGTGACCCTAATGGGAGTATGAGACTCCTGATGGCTTCGCTCACAAGGAACATAGGAAAGTGCAAGGCCATTCACCACAACAAGGTGATGATCCTGCGAGTGAGATCTGGCCTGCGAGCACTCCAATTGGAGAATAGCCTCTACCAAAGGCATCATGGACTTTGAAGAAGCATGGACTTGAGAAGATAGGGAGAAACGAACTCCAACTCTACAATTCTATGATTCTATGAATCAGTTAATTACGGAGCAGTCTAAAGTCAAGGAAGAGTGGAGAGGCCGATCCACTGTCACATTTCGACCTCTACAAGCTTCAGAATTTGTCTTTCCTTTTTGCTAGTTCAGCTACAGGTTGATGTACCTCCACTGAACTTTTGATTCAGCAACACGAGAAACACATTAACATTGTGTATAAGATGCTCAGGAAAAAACAAAATCGAAAAGGTATTTGCCTGGCATTGAAAGGACAGTAAGGTAAGTGCCAGGAAAACCTTTGTGGGGAAAGTGTTCCATCACTAGGATGCCACTACTGAGAGGGCTCTGTGTCAGGCAGAGGACACCCACATATCTCTCATGCAATTCCTCTGTCATTAACCTATTGCTTTGTGGGTTTCCCCCTATTTTGCAGAAAATAAAAAATCTAAAGAAGACAAGCAGCAGGAGGAGGAGCTAGTGCAGCAGATTCACAAACTTGTGGAGACTCGAGATTTCCTGGTGGATGATGTGGAGTTTGAAAGGCTCAGGTACACATGGATACCAACAGCTGTGCCAGCTTCCTGGCTCCAGCTCAGTGTTGACATGAACCTAGTGCTGTTCATATATGTTTTCCACCTTTCATCCAAGGAGCCCAGATCAGCATACCCAGGGGTTATCCCATTTTATCCCCACAACAACACTGTGAAGTAGGTGAGACTGAGTGAAGGTAGCTGGCCGGGAGTCACCTCGAGTATTTGAAGCCAATTTTATCCACTAGACTCTTTGGTTGGGGTATGCAGGCAGACTTTGCTTCTGTTGCCTCCTCAGTCCCACACAGGGCAATTGTAAATGTGTGTGCTGTTAAATTCATTGCTGCATATTGTTTTGTTTTTTTAAGGGACTTTTCCAAAGGTAAGGTGAGGAGATGGGCTTACTCTACATCACTCACCAAAAACTCAAATCATTGTCTCCAGGGATGATCAACCTTTTTGATCCTTAGATTTATACCATTGCTTCTGGGCAGTATTGCAATACTGGAGTCTAGGCAGATTTTAAAATGTTTTTTTTTTAATAAAGGACAAGAAACAAAGGCTTGGGGTACTGGTACAAGCAGGGGAAAGGAGCTGTGCATGTCAGTGAAGCACTACTCTTTTTGAAAGCAAATATTCCCTGGAGCCAAGAAAGAACAAAAAAGCAGCCTTGTCCTTCACAGAGATCTGAAGAACAATAATTCAGGATACCTTGACTCTAACCTATCTGGATTATAGCCATATCTTCACACACACCAAGCAATGGTTGCTTATTGCTGGGAGGCAAATCTCATCCACAGAGTAGTAACCAATTTCCTCCTTCCACAGAGAACGAGAAGAAGACAAAGAAATGGCAGAGTTTTTGAAGACCAGGATTTCCAAAACCTGCCTTCCGAAAACAAGTAGGTACTTGGGAGTGAGCAGCCTCCCTTTCCACTGCTGTGTGTATGTAGGAACAGTGTTGTGTTTCCTCCATGCTATATCTCGATCTCTGTCATCTTTTTCTATATCTCTATTGCACCAAGAAAAGTTGAAGTCTGTAACCTGTGTAAATGATGCAAATTTGCATAATTTAGATTAGGTGTTATGATTCTGCACTGTTTGCTCTTTTGCATTCATAGATCTGGGTTTTGCTATCTTGCATGGCTGAATCCATTGCATACATGCTGCTCCAGAAGGGAAGCCATTTGTGTGAAGAGGTTCCCGTGCAGTCTGGAAAATGTCCATCAGCCAGATGGACACACACATACATACACACACACACACACACGCACACGCACACACACCCTGCCCAAAAGGAGGAGGAGACATTGTTTGCAACTAGAAAACAGCTGGCCTGTGTGGGAAGCAGCTGCTTATATGATTTGTGCATATTATTTGTATTTCTTACTTCATAATCAAAAAGATCCTGAATTATCTACTTTTTAAAAAATGAGTGGCCCAATATTTTTACTAGTATATCTTATTAAAGTCCAGTGTAAATGTGACAAGTTTATGTTTGCAAATATGCACACACAGATACTTATCAGCGCTGGCAGCTGTTCCCACTGAGTGTAGTTTGGAGTGGAGGGTTGGTGCCTTTGTGATTTGCTGCTGCCACCCAATATACAAATATACACATGACTTGGTTACAATGGTGGCTGGCACTCATTGGAACTAGCAAGGCAGAAGGCAGGGAGGTCAACAGTAGGTGGAGCCAGAGCCAATGGCAACGCGAGTCAACAAATTCTAGTTTTGTCTCCACTCTCCTCCCTGCCAAGTTCTAGAAGGGCAACACTGAGAATAAGGAAGATTAAGCTTATAGCCAGTGTCACACCCTGGACTGGCTGTAAGGAAGCAGACAGGTGGAGGTCTGGTTGAGGGCAGACAGAGGTAGGTGGGGCAGTGCCCCATATGCCCATATGAACAATCCTCCACTGGTTGGTTATGGGCCAGCTTTAAAGCTCACACCTTCCTTCCATATGAGTTGTGTGGATCCCAGATGCAGACACCTGCTTACCTCAGGCAGATTGGTGGCTATCATAGGGCCTGAGCATGAGCCACTGTTCCCATAGCAGTGACTGTTTGTTCCTTCACAGCTCCAGTAAAAGAAAAGAGGATGACTTCAAGAGGACAGCAAACCTCTACACCATATGTAACAAAGACAGGCCTCACTCTTCTGAAGGAATGCTGCGGCTTCACCTGCTCGGTCATGTAGGCTGGGGCTGTTGTCCATATTGCCCACCCCACCCACCCCAAAACACAAAATACATTCATGGGCAAGCCCTGCCCTCCCACACCCTGGTCAACTGGATCCATTCAACTCATAGCAGAGTCACAAGCTTGAGGAGCAGGGACAAGGGATTCTTTTGCAGATGACATGGACCTTGCAAGCACATGTGGAAACTGCTGGGGGCCCAAAGGCAGGGCCGGCATCCACCCACCTGCCGACCAAAACCAACCCACACAATCAGGGTGGGCATCACAAGCAGAGAGCCAGTATGTGTGCTGCCAAATGGGAGGGCCAAACCACAGACAAAGATTTCAGCCTGCTGCCTTTTTCCTACCCTTTAACAGGGCAGACGGGGGGGGGGGGCAGGAGCCCCCAGCCTGGATACTATTTGCAGACTGGCTACAGGGTGGTGAACCAGAGAAGGTTTCATGCAGCAAAATATTGTTGCCAAGTGCATACAAACAGATGCACACAAGCACACACATGCAGACACAAACAATATGGAAGGACCGAGCCCTTCTGATAGTTTAAAAGCAAGAAGAATCAGCAGAACTAATACAACACTCTCTGCCACCCCCACCCCCCGTCTCTCTCACACACAACCCCGGCCTCTCAGTAATGTGGATGTTGCTCCTCTTCATTCCTTCTCTGATTAGCAGGTTACATCGAAACCGCCATGAAGTTACCTAGCAACTGTGGGGCACTGAGCCTTTCACCGTATCATCTCTACGGCCGCTTCCATGTGCAGAATGACGGCAATCTGTTTAAGTTTATTCTTAAATTACCGCCCAGCAGCAGTCTCATTCACAGCGATCATCAGCTCTTCATTCTTCATTCTGTTCAGCGCAAAGACGGGTGGTTAATTAAATGCTGCTTCAAACGGTGTGTGAAAATGGGTGTAAGGAGTATGTGCAGAGGAGAGACTACCACGTGTGAATGCACACATGTCTTTTTTTGCTGTCAGCTACACCTTCTGGGAAAATAGGTGCTTGCATGGTCTTCACATAGGATGGTGTGCAGAGATATAGACATGCATACTTCCCCCATCCCTATAAGGGAAAAGACACATATTAAGCAGCCCGGAGAGTCCCAGAAATAATGGATTCCTAAACCATCCCTAGCAGGACATCCAGTGTCCTCCTTTAAATGGTTTCTACAGCAGCCCCTACTGTATATTCCCAATATTTTTTTTGAAAAAATAAAAATAATGAGGAAGCCATCCATAAAAATATACTTTATATCAGTTTGCTACAACTGAACCTTCACCCGCTGCTTCTTGTCGTTTCCCTTAGTTGCAAACTTGCACTCTTCCTCTATTTTATGGCAGCCATTTATATATTTGAAAAGTGCTCTTGTGCCCTCTGCTTCTTGCCTTGAACTCTGCAGCCCTTCCTCTTGAGATGCCTCATTCTACCGCCAATTGGTCAAACTGGAGCACTTTCACACTTCAAATCTATGGGGTGGGATGTAGCTCACTGGTAGAATATCTGCTTACTATGCAGAAGGTCTCAGCTTCAATTCCTCCAGGCAGGGCTAGGAGAGACTCCTTGACCGAAGCCCTAGAGAGCCACTGCTGGTCAATGTAGATACTAATGAGCTAAGTGGACCAAGAGTCTGACTTGCTATAAAGCAACATCCTATGTACCTAAACAGTCTGCCCAGAGCATTCTCTTCTCCAGATCACTTTCCCACAGGTCTCCAGGAAATTGCCAAGGCATCCCTGAGAGTTTCAGCCTTCCTCTCTACTGATCATGCTTCTGGCACCAAGGCAAGTGGTGAGCACTTCTGTCAGGGGCAGAAAAAGCCAAAAGCTTGGTCTTCCAAGCTGTCATCTTTATGACATCGAATGCCACTTGTGTTAGAGGGACCAGGCCATGAATTGGAATTGAGGAGGTATGTGTGGCTGTCAAATTGAAGTGAAGCCCAGCTGCAGAATCTCTGTGCATTCATGTCTATGTTTGAAGTGCTGCAGCTAGACAAAGAAGCACAGGGACCTCTGCTGTAGCATTATGTCCTCCTTTGATTTCCTATTTCCCACCTTGGCAGAATAGCTTCTGGGGGGTATCCGGGATTGTTTCTCACATGCTTGGAGTTAGGGTGGCCATGCTTGAGGTGGACCTACTTTTTGCAGGCCTATCAGAGGGCAGCCCTCTATTTGAAAGCATCCTCTATATCCGGTGTGGGGGAACCTTCACCTCTCCAGAATCTGCTGACCTACAACTCCCATCAGCCCCAACCAGCATGACCAATGACCAGAGATGATGAGAGCTGCAGTTCAGCAACATCTAGAAGGCTGTCTGGTCCAAGTCAGGTTTGAAGATAAAGAACTCCAAGAACAAGAAATGCCTGGGCAGCAAAATGGGCACAGGTCATCTCGCCACAATCTTCCCTGCTATGGTGAGATGTATTGTATTTCTATTTAAATTACAGTAATTATTTCTAAGCTTTCACCTATACATATAAATTATCATATGCACATTTTATGCAAATCTGTGTTCTCTTTTCTCCTTTTTGATGATGCATTTTGTGACGCTTAAATGGCCACCCTATCTGGCAAAGGTTAAGAGATCAAACCCCAAAGGTCAGAGGTCAAGGCTGGGAGGGAAGTGGGTGTCACATGAGCTCGGCAAGCAATGGCTAATGGGTGTAGTACGCACCCTTTTGTAAACACTACTTTCTTCACAAAATGAATTCAAGCTCAGAGGGCTAATGTGGATCAAAGGCTCAGATCAGAAACCTGTGCTAATGGCTTTGTGCTCCAGCTAGGAAGGAAAATGAAAATCGCAGCTGCAAGAAGTGAGTAGCATAGTGTCCAAATGAGATGAATTGGAAGTGATTAGGATGAGATGAGGGGAGAAGAAGAAAGACTGTTCTGAATGGCTAAGGCACACAGGATGCTAGCTTCATCAGGGATGGCCACACATGGGCACGTATCAGTTGTATGTGCCTGCCTGTCTTATATATACACTTATTCTAAGTCATGGCAGAACGCTTTCAGAGAAGGCTTGTCCAGAACCTTGATTTGGCTGTGGCTTTGCCACAAACCATAGACTCATAGAACTGTAGAGTTGGAAGGGACCCAAGGATCATATAGTCCAACCCCCTGCAATGCAGGAACCTATTTAGTGAATCCTCCAGAATAGACAGAAAGCACCCCTTTCCCAATCTCACAAAGGAAAAGACACAAATGCCTTGAGTTTCTCTGACCCCATAAATTTGAATACATCCGCAGAGCTGAGTTGCAGGGTTTTTTTGATTGGCATCTTTTCAAATGCGCACCTTGTACTGTTTTATATTTTGTGCAGCGACATGCAGCTTTGAATTAATTGAGGCCTGGGGGTAGGAATGGGGAAATGGAAGGTGCGGGTTTCATCCCTGAACTCACCTAGCTTAAGGACATCGTATTTGGTTGTTCTCCAAATGGCTATGTATGAGTGGGAAAAGTAAGGCTCCCCAATTGTGAGAACAGGAATTTCTGAGGTATGCTCATTCATAGTATCAGTTAATTTTGAAAGATGGGCACACACCTACTTTAAAGAAAGAGGGGAAGCCTTACAAAACAGAATTTGAAGTGCCAGGAAGCACAAAGAGCAGTGCAGTAGTTCTACACTAGCAAAGCCCTTCATAGGAATGTATTTCCCAGTGGAATCGTACACTGCAGCCCACTTTCACACACATCTGGCTCACATCTAGGTTGATAGATAGATAGATAGATAGATAGATAGATAGATAGATAAACTTTATTCACATTAGCCAATGACCATAGCAACATAAAACAAGCAATATATACAATTAAAAAGACAACAATGGGTAAAAAGGGCATTCAAATGACCAAGATAGTGGCCCTTAATCTCATTGCACTCTCGATAAACCATTATCACATCTAGGTTTATAATGAGATGCTGTACCAGCTTCTGGGACCTGTTTCTATCAAGTTGCACTGCTGTCAGCTCCCTTTGACGGAGGCCCAATTTAAGAACCTCATTAAAAGCTACGAGTTGCACTTGCCTGTCTGCATGGAGGTGTCTGGAATCATTAACTTCTCCTTACTTCTTTGTGAAACCCATTTGCTAATGGTGAAATAAGCTTCTTGTTCATGGGTCCCTTTTTATTATAGCAGAGGCTATAATGGCTTTTCCATGGCTACATCCAAGGGTTTCGCTAGCTAGCGGATGGGCCCAAAACCTGGTTCTTTTGCCCCAAACCCTGGGTCTCTTTCCCATTCCTCTGATGGATCTCTCTCTTTGTGTGTATGAATATGCAAATTTATGTAAATTTGTTGCATAGCCATATGCCCTGAGTCCTTTAAAGAAGCTACCACTGCTGTAACATTGAACAGCTCTGCACCATGTGGTCAGTTGCTCCTGTCTTTCCGAGGCAGTAATTTGCTTCCAGCATAGTAATTAGAACTGAGGGCAGAGAGGGAAGAAGCCACATGGTGCTCAGCTTCTGAGTGTGGCAGGCAGGCCATGAATGATGCCACAGGGAAGCAGTTCCCCTACTGCTGCTATAACACACAGAAAGCCCCATAACATGCTGTGTTTCTGTGTGCAGTCAGGACACTCTGCAAATATGGTGGCCATTGTGAACACAGACAAGGGAAGAAGTGTGGAATGTGCAGGGGGGGGAGAGCCCATCCTAAGCTCCAAGATATTCTGATGGTTCATCAGGGAGAGGTTAAGAGATTTGACCCCACCCTTAGCCTTGTCTCTACAAGAACTGCTACAGGCTTGAGTTTGCATAAGGGGTGCTGAACCAAGCCACCCTCAGGCTGTCAAGATGGCAGGCATCAGAGAGCTGCTTGATGGGAAATCACTGAAAACACCTTTGAGCTTACCGTCTCCATGAACCTAATGGGCAAGCGTGGTTCTTTCCATCAGATGAGGGTAAGTCAAGTTTGATATATGGGGAACCACTTTTGTTCAGTGGATGTAAGTGAAACAGCACCATGATCCCCATCCCTGCTCCCCATTCCCATCACCACTCACTAGACACCTAAAATAAAATAATCTGCAAAACAATAAAATCTCCCACACATCCCCAGATATACCTGCATATCCCTTAAAAGACAAGAGGTTAGAAAATATTACTTTCAGATACCTTCCAGTTAATTTGATCTATTATTGTGTATAATTGTTCTATCAGTTAATAGCAGACACAATCATTTCTTCCCTTTCCTCCTCCTAGACAGAAATGATTTCATCTACAACAACATCAGTTCATCCATGCCACATTCTCTCGCCACAGGCTCATAGCTCAGTTCCCTTAAATGACTGAGTCATTCATCCCGCCCACCCCACAGAAGCATTTGTTCATTTTTAAATCAAATTTTTAGCAGTATCAGTTCACCTCTTCCACATCATCAGTTTGAAAATGAGAAGGATCTCTCTGAGTGGTTCAAAGTGATTGAAAGTGATTGCAGCCATGGAGGGGGAGGAACTTCAATGGACACAACTCAGAGGCTACAGAGGCACTAGTTAAAAAGTTCAGGGCTCTGAGTGTGCTGCTGAAGAGCAGGAGACCACCAGCAGGAGACTGTCAGAGAGGAGTTCCCAGAAAAACTACCTGTACCATCAGGGCCAGAGCCAGGACCCTCACCTGAGTGTGAGGTACCAAATGCTTCCCCCCAGAACCTCACCACTCCAGCAGGGCAAGGCGCACACCAGGTAAGAGGCTATGGAACAGAGGGGGACTACCTATCTTCATGCCAGAGAGTTGGCCCTTTAAGAACCTGGAATAGAGCAGTAATGGGGAAGCTGTGGCGTTCAGTATGTTGTTGTTTGACATCTCCCATCACCCTTCTTCATTGAACATGCTAACGGTAGTTGTAGTTCAGCAACACCTGAAAAGTCAATGTTCCTAACTTATGTGGTAGAGCCTAGAAAAGTTAGTCTGGCTTTAAAGGCCTCTGTGTGCTTTAGGTCTAGGTCAGGGGTCTGCAACCCGTGGCTCCGGAGCCACATGTGGCTCTTTTACACCTTTGCCGCGGCTCCGGGGCGGATACTAGCGAGGGAAGGAGGCGCATTGTGCGCCCCGACACTCCCCACTGTGGCGGGTGCTGTACTGGCTGTGACGTTAGTCACGCACCGTCCCAACGTCACCTTCCCGCCCGCCCGCTACATTGTAAGGGCCATGTACGCTGGTCACTGCATTGAAAGGGGGCATGTACGCTGGTCACTGTTATGAAGGGGAGTGAAGAACACACACACACACACACACACACACACACACACACAAAGGTAACTTGTTAATTTAACGTTTATTTCTATGAGGAGGAGTAATTCTGAGGGGTCAAACAAAGAAATAATAAAAAAGTGACAAAAAAGTTATTTTTATAATGACGAGTTTTGCGGCTCCCAGTTTTTTTTTCTTCGGAAACGGGTCCAAGTGGCTCTTTTTGTCTTAAAGGTTGCAGACCCCTGGTCTAGGTGAAGCAAGTTGCTCACTTGGAGCTATCCGTGGTCCTGAAACTTCTGGCCTGCCTTGCTGCTTTCTCTATGGGGATTCCTTATCAAACCACAGCACAACAGCCTTCAGCAATCTGCCATGTGTAGCTCCAGCTGCCAGAAAATATATATTAATTTCCATTCCATGACTCCACAAGCTAATATAACAACAAAAGGTTTTGGAATTAGTGTCGACATGTTCCTGATGTAGTCAATAAATCACATTTCAAAATATTGCAATTTCTGAGGCCTTCTGTAAGTGTGAGGCAAACTGTGGGTGTATTTTAGCTTCCACCCACACTCCGTCTTTCTCTGACATATTTTTTTTAGCAATCTATTCAAACTGCAGATTTTGAAGGGTGCCCAGGCAAAGTTACTCCCAGGCTATTGTCACCATGGTGTCAGGACTAAGATATTATTTTGCTTACCCATGATGGTGCATCCAAGATTCTTTTATCATTATAGAAGGGATGTGATTTCACAAGGGATCCATTGCCGCCACCCCTTTTAGAAGGATGAAAAGCTGGACAACTGCATTGCAGAACTTTGACATTTTCAGACAAAAAGTGAAATGTCAAAATGATCTTCCCACGTATGCTTACGTTTAAATGACACACAGAGATGGAGAGTGAATGCAGGAAAACGCTTCACATTGCATTGAGTAAGGCTGAACTTCTAAGCTCCATCCAGCATCTTATTATTTTAGAATTCTCATCGCAATAAGATTTTGGACGTGTGTGAAGAATTAGAATTACCAACCTAATAAGAAAATTTTGTTTATGTATATGGAAAATGTATATCCTGCTTTCTCTATTAAAAAAACCACACCACAGCAGTTAATGTAATAATCCTTAAAATGCAGAACAATAAATCTACCATAGTTAGAGATGTAAGGTTTTCTGCAGGGCCTAGATTCTGGCGTATGTAGACTGCAACATAAAATGCAACCTGAAACATAACAGGGGGGAAATGACTTCACAGCATTTAAAGCCATTCATGTGCACACAGCCTTAGACTGCAACCCTGTGCACATGTACTTTGGAGAAAACCTAATTAAACACACTGGGACTTACTTTGGAGTAAAGATGCACACAGTCAGGTTGCATGTTGCATGAAGGAATAGGTTGGTCATAAGATCAGTGAGCTGGATCAGATTCAGTAGTCAAATATTCCCTTCTCAGTTCATCGAAATTCCCATAACAAATAATTTACTACACCATCCACATGAAGTGCTTCTTTGTGAACTCAGTCTTGCAAGGAAATGGGATTTGGGGGCTGTTGGTGCCAAAGGCGGCTGGTGCCAAAGTCTCTTGAGGGAAGTGATGGCAGGAAGGATCAGCTTAATCAATCAAGAGACCTGTGAATCTGTGTGAGAATGTGCAGCCTCATAAGCAATGATGACACTGCAGCTATCACCCTCCATAAGCTCAAACTTGCAAACCCTCTTGTCTAAAGCAGCCTTGCAGATGAGTCACCACAAGTCACTGGGTGCCTGTCAATGTCAGTGGGCAGACAGCATCACTATCACTGCTGTGGCTATTAATGGGGTCCTATTTTAGCTCTTTGTAGAAGAAACACAACCCAGGTAAGCTGATACACTTTATTAAACCAACTTGTTTGTTTAAGGCTGAACTGAGATTTGGTGTGGGTGGGTGTTCAATGCTCTGAACTATGCTACTGTAGCAAAGCAGTACCTGGTACAAAACAGTGACTGCTATTTCATAGATCAGGTGTGTACACTGTCCTGACAGTCCACATATTCCCAGGACTTTAGCCCGTTCTGGTCTCCTGCCGTCACCCCAAGGATCATAAGTATGAAATATATCTCATGAGAAAATATATCTCATTTTGGAGGGGCAGAAGAAGGAGCACAGGAAGCTGATTTACCCCATATCAGCCCTGGTTTATCTACCTTAGTATGGTCTACAGCAGCCTTCCTTGAACGCTTCCACCAAGATGTCTCCAAGTGCCAAGGTTGCAGGTGTAGTGGCATACATTTCCCAGCAGATGCCGGCTTGCTTGAGGAATTCTGTGAGTCATTCCAGACCCTGCACCAGAGAATCATAGAACTGTAGGGTTGGTTGGACCTCAAGGGTCATCTCATCCAATCCTCTCCAATGCAGGAATCAAAGCTAAATCATACTGCTGGTGATAGGAGCTACTCTGAGGAGATGTTGCCCAGCAATGACTCTGCAGCCGGGCCTAAGGTAATCAGTTTGTTTAACTCTACCTCAGGCTCCCGATGAGGAGTTTTTCATGGTTTTGAGACTGCTTCTGCTCCTATTCAGTGGCCTCCTCCATCACCTCCTCCAGAAAATGGAAGTCCATCTTCTGCCATCAGATTTGGCAAGCCAATGTGGTCTCTGCTCACTTTGCCTAAGTAGATCAAGGCCATTAAATGTGTCCTCCAGATGTTCTGGTCTACAACAACTGCCTTCCAAGACTGGGACTGATGAAGGTCTGGGAGAAGGCTGGTTTACACCAGTTCTATTCTGAGCTTCTCCCCCCCCCCCACTGCACAAGCAGCCAGCACACTGCCTGTACCCAAACCATTTTTTAACCAAAAGGGAAAAAAAACATGAAGGAGGGAAGAGAAAATAAGAATTAAGAGAGAAGGAGACAAGAAGGAAGAAAAAAATAACAAAGACACTGCACAAAACATGTCTAACTGCATGTTTGAAGATGCCCTGGTTTATGCTGACTGGCAGGAATCTTTCCCAGCCCTACCTACAGATACCAGGGACAGATACTGAGAGCTTCTGCCATTGCACAATGGCCATTCCCTGAGCTAAGGCCCTTCCAAATGCTTCCAGGGATTTGCAGGCAGGCCAGATGCAGAGGTTAGGTGAACAATTCCACAATGAGCCGGAGTAACAGTGGTAGCAGTCTTTAGACCCCTGCTGCTAAATCTGTTTTCCAAACAAAAATGAACTATTACCTTCCCTCTTTTTCTTTGAATGCACCCTCCATGAGCCACTGACAACCCAATCTGTACCTATACCTGAGCGAAACCCATTGAGATAAACTGAGAGATAAACTGATTTACACCAACAAGACCCTAGCCCCCTGCACCTGCTCCGAAGCAATTCTTCGGAAAAGTGGCTTTCCATTAGCTGACGCAGTGGCTTGTCCCAGGCTCTTTTAAGTCCAGTTGATAAGTGGCACCATCAGAAGGGATACAAAGGGGCGAGCGCTGCTGTTAATGTCAGTGTCGTTACAAAGGATGTTCAGCAGCAAGAATATAGTGCTGCCAGCAACTCTGCTATCTGCCACTGGAAGGAGTCCGAATGAGAACGAAGCAGGGGTAATTGTGCTCCTAAAAGCCACAAGTCTTGCAGTGTTGTGCAAAAAGCTTAAGTGCTTTATCAGAAGAAAGCAAATCACAAATGCAAACTCCTGAATATTCAGGTCCCCCCACCATACTGTAGCAGCATAACAGGCATCAGTGGGTGCTCCCCTTTCATTCCTCTGTTCTTCTGATGTTGTGAGCTGAGTTGTGCTTTAATTAAAGCAATACAGGAATGTTTACCAGGAATTTTATTCTTGGAAGCAGTTTCCTCCTCTACAGCTGTGTCTTGCATATTCCTAACTCTCTGGAGAAAGGGCTATATTTCAGAATCTACATCCAGGGCAAATTCTACACTGTGTGTACACAAGAAGCTCAAAAAGGTCCCAGGTTCAATCCTCCCAGCATCTCCAGCTAGGGCTGGGAATGTCCCCTGCCTCAAATCTTGGAGGGCTGCTGCCAGTCAGTGTATGCAATACTAAACTAGATGGACCAGGGGTCTGACTTGGTAGAAGGCAGCTTTTTTGTATTCCATGCTCTTAAGATGGGGCGGAGGAGGGGAGGGATAGGATTTAACAAAGAGAGGAGAGGAAGGATGAATTGGCACATTTCTGAAGATTGCAACTAGCAGCTGGCAATCATTCATAGTTTTCAGACTCACAATTGCTGTATGGATTTGGGGGGGGGGGGTGCCAGGGAGTGCCGGTGTTTAAAAAGACTTGGGAAATCAAAGACATGCAGGCCACTGCTGTGGCAAGTTCCAGTCCAGTCTCCCCAAAGACTCAGTGAGGTTTCTCTATAAAACCTGCACTGATTAAAAACAGGAGTAGCTATCTTTCCTGCATTTACCTAGCTGGAACTCTGTGGTCGCCAGTTGATTAAGCATATAGTATACAGCAGAGTTAGCCAACATGGTACCCTTCAGATGTTCTTGGACTCTAAATCCCATCCGTCCCAGTCAGCATAGCCAATGGGCAAGAATGGTGGAAGCTGAACTCCACCAACAGATTCCTCATCCTTGGGTTTGTCCTTCCTAGCAAAAGCATGAGAAACAGCATTTTCTGCCCCTGTCCTTGACTTCAGGAATCTTGAGTTGGAGAATAATTCCAGGCTCAGTGTGTATGGATGGTCAGGGCCTTGATACTGTGGGTCCAAACTCCAAGACAGAAGAAACCCATCTTCAACATGACATGTTATCTCGGAACTGTTGGAAAGAGAGAGAAATCAGACACTGTTTCTGATGTTTGTTTCTGAAATGACAAGTGTGGGAACTTCTTAGCAACTCACTCCACCTTTCTCTCCCTCCCAGTTCTATTCTGTTTGGCATCCATTCCAAAGAAAGGCCCTTTCTCTTTCCTTCTTGACATTCTAGTATAAGAGGATCGTTCTCTATTCCTTCATACACACCTTCTCCTGGCTGCTGCTCCCACAATAGCTGAGTTAGGCTTATACAGAGCTCAAAAATAGCAAATTTCAAGAGTAAGACCTTGAAACAGCCTCTTGCCAACAACACATCTACAACAACAACCCTGCTCAGTATTTATTGAGCAATAAATAAATAAATCTTACAAATATATTCCAGCCAAGGCAAGGATGCCTTGCAACAGCCCCACCATGTGGCATTTTGCAGGTGGAACACAACTGAGGGAGAAATCGTCTTTACCTTGGGATGTTTTTAATCTCTAGTGTAGAAAGAACCATGCTAGGGATGAACTGAGTGGTCTCCAGCCAGAGCCTGCTTGCACGAATATGTTATAAGACCTAATTGTCTACCTATGAAAATTCAGCCTCTTGAGTTTAATCTGTTTCTTTCACCTACTTTGAATGAACCGCCAGACAATGCCCCAAATGGAAAGGAAGGTGTAATGTCAGGGGTGGGAAACCTGTGGCCTCCTAGATGTGGTTGAGTTCCAAATCCCATCAGCCTCATCTAGCATCACCAATAGTCAAGGAATGATGGAAGTTGCCATGTTGGCTACCCATGACGTACAGAATGGTTGCAATCTGCAAAAAAAAAATCATCCTCTTTATGGAATGGAAATGCTCTTCTAAACTGGAAGTATGGTGGTGATGTCAATAATAAACTTAGTTCAACTGCTCTATTGCTATCCACAGCCTTTTTCTTCCCTACTTTTGTGTGTTCCCAGATTTGTGTCTTATATAATTATGGTAGGAACAAGGGGAGCTATTGTTTGTATTTGTTTTTGTGACATGTACGGTACTTCAGTTCCCTGCTTTATCTGTTTGAGTTAATATAAGATTCAGAATTATTATTAATAAAAATAGTAAACCCCACCTAGGTTACAGGGAATTTCAAAGGCATCATTTATAACTGTACAAAATTGTATGGAATATAACATGGAGGAAAGGAAAAAAATATAAGCCTGCAGGGGTGAAACATTTTGGCTGAAACCCAGGAGAATGTTTTGGTAGGACTGCACACTTGGTAAGTTGAAGGAGATAGGAGTCAAATGCCTTGGTATTCTCACCACTATTATTATTTTATTGAATTTTAATCTCTAGCAAAGGTCACAGAATCCAGCTTTTTGCCTCTCACCAGTTTGTTTGATCATAGATGCGAAAAGCCATTAAGGTTCAGTAATTAATCACAGATGGAGAAATTTGAAGCAAAAGCTGCACATGACAATGGGAGACTGTTTCAGATTTTAAGCAGTGCTCAAATTCAGAGGCTACCCTCTTCTGGTTTCAAATGGCCCTCTTAGTTACTGTCTTGTTAGAGTGTTGGAGGGTGTGATTAGCTAAAACTGGGGTGGGGACTCAGCTGGTGAGGCTTATGCATTTTGTTCCCTACATAATGGGAGCATTGCTTTTAAGTGCAAAATGTGTGCACAGGTTGGAGATGAGCCGTCCCCAAACTCACCTCCTAGCAGCCCTCTCCCAGGTATGTGAGCTGGCTTCTGACATCAGAGGCCAGTTTTGGGGTGGGAGATGGCAATGAATTGTTGGGAGTTATGCTGCAGGGAGGTTCAACTCTCCTTACCCATTGCAACCTTAAAATTAGGCCCTTGCTCTCACTTAGTAGCAACAGGACAGACAGTTTAAACAAATTGGTCTGCCACTGTGATGATTGCAACAACTCAGAATGCACAATATGACACACAATACCTCCCAAACAAACAATTCCACTGAGTTACTGAAGTGCTTCTATTGCAACATTTAACTGCAGCATTCTTCCCCCAATTTTCTCCTCCTGACATTCTGAACTTTTAGCTCACAACAGGCTGAAAACTGTCAAATGGGACAGTTCTCTGTGCAGAGTTCCAATCTTTCATTTGTAGTCAACACCGATTAACCTGGAATCCTGAGACTAGAAAAAGCACACCTACTTACACACAGGTCTCTCAATTGATTCATGTACAATCAATTAAAAATAAGGCAGTTCCTTCCCACAGGCTTGCAACCTAAAAGATATGACACAAAAGAAAAATGGGATGGGGAGGATGCTGTTGTTATTGTTGTTATACCCCACCCATATGACTAGGTTGCCCCAGCCACTCTGGGCGGCTTCCAACATATATAAAAACATAATAAAACATGAAACATGAAAAAACTCCCCTATACAGGGCTGCCTTCAGATGTCTTCTAAAGTCTGTATAGTTACTTATCTTCTTGGCTCAGGGGTCACATAACTCCATGCCCTCCAACATTCCTCTGAAGAAAATAGGGATGTCCTATGGAAAAGCGGGACATTCCAGGATCAAGCGAGAAACTGGGACTGCTTCTGTAAATTCAGGACAGTCACTGGAAACTAGGGACACTTGGAGGGCCTGCTATTATGATTCAGCACAAACATTTCTGCGTGACGAAACGATCTCCCCTCTGCAATGTTGTGGCAGGACAACACTTAGGAGGGATAAAGATGAGACTAACTGAGAACTGCAGGATGCGTATGTGGGTGATGGAGGGGAGGTTAATTCAAGAGCCGTAGAGGACTAGGTTTAAGAAAAGGGTTGTAGACAAGCAAGCCAACCCACAGTGTCTGTTCCCTACCATGGCATCCTCCACACTAAGGCCAGCACAGGAAACTCTCACTGCCCTTTGAAGTCACCCATGGCCTGGAGAGGGACATTCTGCTCACCCCAAGGCAAACTGTCTGGCTGACTTTCTCTTCACACAGAGAACTGGGCAGACAGAAGAATGAAGGAAGAGACAAAAGGCCCCATCAGAAAGACATGACTCAGAAATGGCATTTTCTCTATTCTAATAAGCGATGTTGTGTCAGAGAGGTAATTTATTCATGGGGTGCTGATGCAGTTGCCATGGAGAACCTAAGAAAAAGAAGCTGAGCTTTTAAAGCACACACTGTATCCAAGAGCCGAGCGCTCAGTCAGGGAGAAGATGCAAAGACACTGGGAGAGAAGGGTGAAGCACAAGACAATTAAAGCTAACCCGCTGTGGCTTCCACTTCATCATGAGGTAATGCTCCAAAACTTTTCCATCACTGACTTCAGGAGAATTCAGGCTCAGCCCCAGTGTAAAGGCATTTGCTGCAGCCCACGTGAAAACACAAGGACAGTATGACTAGATCAGCCCTGGGGAATACTTATTATGATTATTTATTTTATTTGGAGTTCACTCTTTGGTCTAAAAGGCTCCCAGAGTGGCTTAAGGTAAAGGTAAAGGGACCCCTGACTATTAGGTCCAGTCATGACTGACTCTGGGGTTGCGGCGCTCATCTCGCTTTATTGGCTGAGGGAGCCGGCATACAGCTTCCGGGTCATGTGGCCAGCATGACTAAGCAGCTTCTGGCAAACCAGAGCAGTGCACGGAAATGCCCTTTACCTTCCCGCTGGAGTGGTACCTATTTATCTACTTGCACTTTGGCATGCTTTCGAACTGCTAGGTTGGCAGGAGCAGGGACAGAGCAACGGGAGCTCACCCCATCGCAGGGATTCGAACCGCTGACCTTCTGATCAGCAAGTCCTAGGCTCTGTGGTTTAACATGCAGTTAATTGAAACAGGTCACTGCCTACAGGCTTACAATGGTTTGGTTAAGGGGGGGAATGACACACAAGGGGGAAAAGGACAGGGAGGGAAGAGGAAAATAAAAATCAAACTCAGGCACCAATTCTTAAACAGCTGTTCTTAAAATGACCAGCTGGCACAGTTCAGGGTTAGGAGGTGCCTGACGGAGTTTGGTTTTCAACAAAGCTGATGAATGAGCCCTGCTTCTAATCTCTTGCTATGGTAGCCTGATGGAATGGCTGACCCCACATGACAGCTGAGGGGAGATGAGATCTGATGGAGCTGGCCTACCACAAACAGCAGAGCTGATGGAATGATCAAGACTTCCACCACAGACAGTGCCCAATCCACAATGGGTTGGGGTGAAGGATGCCGATACTACACTGGGCTGGCGTAATAACATTTGCTCAGCCAAATCTTTGGCACTCTCGTGCTGTTCATGCTTCCAGTGAGGGAAGGGCACATTTCTGTGGTGACAAGATCCCAGGATTTGCTGAAAAGCACCCACACAATGTTGATGGTTAGCTGGCATTTCTGCAGCATGATCAGCCACACACCTCAAGGAAGTCGGCGTAGGAGCCTTGCAGATGCAGTCCACTCTCCAGGAAACCTTTTGGAGCTTCAGGGCTTGACGGAGCTTGTCCCAGTCTCAAATATTTTTGCACCCGAAGAGACCAGTTAAAGTTTCACTACTTCAAAGTTGCCACCATGGTAATCACTCTTGCTTATCTGCACAAAAGCCCAGACTTGTATGTAGTATCATCCTATCAATCTGGTTGTCACCATCAAAGTTTTCATTTTTGCCATAGCAACTGTGAGACAATAGGGTGGATGGAACTGAACACAACAACCTTGAACAGGGGTAACCAACCTCTTTGGGCCAGTGGGCACATTTTGAACTTTGAGAATATATTTTGCGTAGTATAATGAATTTGCATGAAGTTTTCACTAATATATGCATTCCTGTACACACTTTATACCAATGTTTGCATACACACCCCGCCCCATCGCTCAGCTGGAGAACTGCATTACAAAATTTGGAGATGCGTGAATTTTAAAGGCTGTTTGTGTTTCGGTTCACATATTGTTTCAGAAAGTGAGGATAGGATAAAGTGAATCTAATTTCTTTTCAGCTCTAATCAGAACTCGTGCTGTGCCACAATGTTGTTTCAAATGTGTGTTTTGATTCCTTAATGCTCTCCTCCATCTAGCAGAAAAGGTTAATTTGACCATTTTTCTAAATGACAACTCCTTCCTGTTATCCTGACCACTCTGAAACCACTGGCCGCTAAAAGTATATGCTTGCTACTTCACACAATCTCCCTGGCCAGTTCAGTCCTTCTCCAAGAGGGAAGGATGGATTGTGGCATTTACTGGTACCCTTCACACGAGAAGAGAACGATAGCTTCACATAGGACCCTACATCATTCCCAGTGCAGAACAGCCTTGTGGTTGCTAAGCAACCCTTCTGCATCTTCCGGAAGGTTCTGTGGCCCCAACTGTAACAGACTCTCTTTGCCTGATTCCTCCCAAGGCATTAGGAGAGGTGGAAAGGGGTGTCTCTAGCTCTGCGTAGAGTGTTGGGTTTAAAAGGGCTAGGGGTGCATTGCCTAGCCAGTGAGCAGGCATCATGACCACCATGGATGAAGAGGATCTGAGCGAGTATTTCCGCATACAGTATGGACAGAAGTTGCTGAAACTTCTGATGTGAGTTAAATGCCACATCTCTTCCAGCAAGAACCTTCCTCTGGGCTCCTCTCTATTCTACCTTTTACTCTCCATGGTCTTCTTCTTTGCTCTCCCGTGTTTTTGGTATCTTCTTCTTTCTTTCCCCTTCTAGGTTCTCCTGCTTCACCCCCCCCCCCAGACACACACTTTTAATAAAAGAGTCCAAGGTCTTACCAGCATCCTGGTTCCAGCAACAGCTGGCCAGGTGCATCTGGAAAGTCTAAATCAGGGACTGGACTGAGGAAGAATGGTGGGGGCTGCCTCAGTCCTCTTGAACCTTCCCAAGAACAGGAGGACAGTATAGATTTAGAACAGTGGTTTGCAGAAGGCCATAGTTTAGAGGCTGCAGAGGCGCAAAGCTGGGGAATATTGGGAGAAGAACAGCAGGAAGAAGAAGCACTGGGGGAGAGACAGCTGACAGTCTCAGTGTCTTTGGAAAGCATTCCTGAGCCACCCTCTCCCAGGACTAGGACTAGGCAAGCATTGCGAGTAGTAGAACAGAAAGCTCAGATCAGCTGGCGCAGGGATAACATAGGAGTGACAGAGGGGGTTGGAATTTATTCAGAGCAACACCATTATTTAATAAAGACTGCATTCATTTGTGTCTCTCTGTAAATACTGAATAAATTACGTGCTAAGAACTCTTCTTGTTTATCTGTTTTTTGGCTGCCACCAGGGGAGGGATCGGATTCCCTGAAGCCTACCCAAACTAGACATGAAGGTAACAGCCCCCTATACTGGAAAATTGAATGAGGAGGATTTTAACTTCACCTCCAGTGCTATGGTCCTGATTGTAACATCCATCTGCTGCCATTAACTTTTTTTAAAAAAATGTAGGAGATCCTGAACATAAATCTCTATGTCACATGTAGTTTGATCCTTTGGATCCTTTGATGAGGGACTTTGTAAAGCACTTTTTGTATTTTCCAATATATAGCATCTACTGGATTATCACTATTTATACACTTGTTGGCATGCTCAAATAATCCTAATTCTAATTGTTGCAGGATACTTCCCTGGATGGTGCTGTACCCCTGTTCCCAAGTGGTTCGGCAACTAACCAGACCACCCAGTACTAAAACAAGCATAGCTTCCTCTCTTCTTGGCTCCATGATTAGCTGTTCACTTTTCCTTTCCAACATCCTTCTTCGTCTGTCTCATGTTCCATTCACTGCTTTCATTTCCCTTTCTTCCACTATTGCCACTAAAGTTTCGTTTCCTTCCTCCAAACCCCTTTCTCTTGCTGGGTATCTAAATTGAACCCAAGCCCCATTTTCTTGTTGCTCCTTGTAGACCTTGTAATTTGGAACCTTGTCTGTTTTCTGACTGAAACTCATCTCTGGGCTTGATCCAGGCACCTTTGAACAAACAGGATATTCTATCATTCTGCCCCTTCATCCTAAGGTGTGTGAGCTGCACAAAACCTACCTAGCTCACAGGTCCTATGACTTAGAAATATATCTGCACTCTTCATGGGAAAATTCTTTTTCTCTTTTATTAGGAAATTCCCAGTATCTGAGGAGGAGTCCCCATCTCCCTCCATTCGGCTCCTGGAGAAGAAAAAAGAAGCCAAATTGGTGCACCAGGCCATGGAGGCACAAAAGGAGGTGAGGAGATGCCCTGCTTTACTGCCTCTGTATCCCTGATGACCAGCTTTACCTTCATTTGTCACCAGCCACTTCAAAACCACAGAACTACATGGCTTATTGGCAGCAAATTGCACATGTTTTTCCTATTTGCTATCAAAACATCTTCTGATCCACCTGGCCAGGATGCTGATTTCTTTGAAGTTTTGGGCTCTCTGTAACTTGAGAGAAAAGAAGGAGGCAACACAGTCTTCCGACTCCTAACAGAACAAGAAGACTACTGCAGCCTTCCCTGACCAGATGTCCTCCAAATATTTTGGATTTTAGCTTCCATCAGTGTCAGAATGGTTAGTAGGGACGAGTGTGAGCTGTAGTCCAAAATATCTCAAAGGCACCAGTCTGATCTACTGGAGTCAGATGTCCTACTGGTCTCTTCCCTCTGTGAACCTTTCAGGCATTCAAGACAAGGATGGAAGCCCTGAACAATCGTTGGGAGGAACTTGGTTCTAAGGAGATTCAGTTGAAAGCATATATTCGGAAATTCGAGCAATTCATACAGGTATTTGCTTCTTGCAATTCTCTGGCTCTTACATTATAAGACCTCCACCCTATTTAAGCACAGCACAGGCCTGATTGTGATATGCCTGGAGCTACGCATATGTACACAGGCTAGTTGCTCTTCACCCAATAGTAGAATCGTAGAATTGTAGAGCTTGAAGGGACCACGAGAGTCATCTGGTCCAACTTCCTGCAGTGCAGGAATCTTTTGCCTAACGTAGGACTCAAACCCATGACCCTGAGATTAAGAGTCTCATGCCCAACCGATTGAGCTATCCTAGCTGAAACTATCCCAGTTTAACTTAGGTGGAGTGATAGGGGGCATAACCTGGGCAAGGACACAAAATATACAAGATTCATTTAATGCAATCACCAGGTATTTAAATCACATCGTGTTTTATTTTCAACATCAAATTAGTGAGCTTGTCTTCCAAATGTAGAGGACAGTCTAGATATCAGCTTGTGGAAGATTACCAGAGACTCAATAAATGCAGCAGGCTATGCAAAGTGCCATAGCTGAGGCTTCTGCAGGCTAACCCAAGCAAACCATATTCAGGCATTGACTACTGCTAGCAGTGGAGAAGATCAAGCCACATTGGCTCCATCAGCCAGCTGAATTTTTGCACACCAGATGCTGAGTAGACTCAGTTTGAATGCCAAGAATTTCAGTAGTGGTACTTTTAAAGCAGTACCTCCATTTCCTAGCTCAATTCAATGCTGGTTCAGATGGAGACATAGTGTCGGGAGAGATCATAGCTCAGTGGTAGAGCACACGGTTTGTGTGCATGAGGTCTCATGTTCAATTGCAGCCTTGGTCAAAGAAATGGCTAGTTAGTTATAGCACTGCCTCTGCCTCCGGAACAGTACTAGCAGGCATTACTGGGCTAGATGGGCAAATATCCTGACAGGGTACAGGGCAACTTCCTATGCACTTCTGACAGCCTTATAGACTCTGCATCTTGTCTTGATTCCTTTTCAATGGTATGTGGGGTGGGGTCCAACATGGGGCCATTAGGAGAATGACCAGAAACGGATCAGAGCCCTGAAGAAAGCCAACAAGGAGCGGGAACTAAAGAAGCAGCGAGTGAAAGAGCTGGCCAAGGCCAAGATAGAGATGGCAGCTCTGAAGCAGCAGCACCAGAAGCTCTACAACAAGCTACAGCAATACTCCATCTTCAACAAGTACCTGGAGAAAGTGGTTGAGGTCTCCGAGGTACGTATGGCTGCTAAGATGGGAGACATAGTCTGAGGGTGGAGCTCAAGAGCAGATGTCCAGTTCTTTGGTCTGTAGCCTATGTGCAGAACCAAAGAAGCAGGCAGGGGGACAAAGGACCAACACTTGAGGTTACCTTATTGTGATTCTGTCTGTGCCACCAGAAATATGCAGATCAGAATTAAGTAAAGGTAAAGGTACCCCTGACATTAGGTCCAGTAGCGGACGACTCTGGGGTTGTGGTGCTCATCTCGCTCTATAGGCCGAGGAGTCAGTGTTTGTCCACAGACAGCTTCCAGGTCATGTGGCCAGCATGACTAAGCCCCTTCTGGCAAACCAGAGCAGCGCACAGAAACGCTGTTTACCTTCCCGCCGGAGTGGTACCTATTTATCTACTTGCACTTTGTCTTGCTTTCGAATTGCTAGGTTGGCAGGAACAGGGACTGAGCAACGGGAGCTCACCCCCTCGCGGGGATTCGAACCGCTGACCTTCTGGTCGGTAAGCCCTAGGCTCTGTGGTTTAGCCAGTGCTTTTTTCCTTTTTTTGAAAAAAAAGTTTATGGTAATTCTCATTTTCCTACTCATATTAAAATACTGCCCCTCAATGAGGCCAAACTTAGATTCACAAAATGTTTAGAGGTATGTGTACCCCTGCATCCCCCCAGAAAAAAAGCACTGGGTTTAGCACTGGCTCTACAGTTCATGCTAGAATCTAGAATCATGTTCTAGAATCTGAAGTTTCTACAGTTGATGCTAAACTAAGTTTTAGAATCTGAAGTTTAGAACAACTGGATCATTGGTGCAACTGCTATTCAAGCATCTACACAGTTTCATGAACAATGGTGGTGACTTTGTATCGTGAGCATTTGTCCCCCTATTTGCTGCCTTTAAGCTGTAGTTCTGCACAGTGCAGTACAGCCGTGATCAAATACCCATTGTACAATAATAGCTGGCTTCCTAAGCCAATATATTGGCTGGCTGCGCTATGGTGTCTGTGGCCAGGCACCCATCTGTTCCTGCATGTCCAAGGATCTGTCATGGGGAGGAGACGATGTGATCCTTGAGAGGCTACTATTTGGAATTGACTATTGGCTAAGGGAAGATCAGTATCTCAGGGTTCAGGACAGTAATGAAAGGCATTCCCTGTAGTTTGAGGAGATCCGGGAGGTCATCGGTCGCTACAAGACCCTCGTAGGAATGCACCGGGACCTTGTGCAGTCGGCACAGGAGGGGATGGAGATGATTGAGCAAGCTAAAGTCCGCCTGGCGCGCTACAAGGAGGAAAAAGATGATGAGATGCTGCAGCACAACAATGAGCTAGCCCGCCTACAGCTGCGTTTCGACCATGCCCGCAGCGATGTCATCGTCTGGGTAAGGAGTAGGGATGGGGAAATGTCTTCCTTTGCATGGAGGGCTTTGACCTGGTAATACGATGGCAAGCCTGAAACCAGTCTGGATGGATCAGAATCTTTGTCTCTTCCTGAACTATCTGCATATCCTAACAGGCTTACTCTCATCCCAGACCTCGGTCTAATCATAACTTAAAATCCGCTGCCATGAACCCATACTCTGGACTAGCTGCAGACAAACCCTGGCTCAGTGAACACTTAAGCCAGAGAGGATGGCAAGAATGGTCAGCAATCCACTGGGCATCACTGGGAGCCATTTACCTGTTTGGCAGTGGGCAGGGCATTTTGGCTAGCACATGGCACTGTATCACTCGAAATCAGGGATAGGGAATCTGAGGCCTGGAGCCAAAATCTGCTCACAGAGCTACAGTTCTCTGAGTGGTTTAATAGTCAATCCCTTTTCCTGGGGAACTTTGGGGACTGTGAGTGGAATAAGGGTCTCCTAACAACTCTCAGCAACTATAACAAACTACAGTTCCCATGATTCTTTTGGGAAGCCATGATTGTTTAAAGTGGTGTGATACTGCTTTCAAAACATAGCGCAAATGGGGCTGGAGTATTCAGAGAATCATAGCATTGGAAGGGACCCTGAGGATCATCTAGTCCAAACCCCACCCCACCCCTGAACGCAGGAATATGCAGCAGTCCCTTACCAGGATCGAACCTGCAAACTTGGCAACATCAACACCACACTCTAACCAGCTGAGCTATTAGGGAGTCTCAGGAGCCATTCCAGACCACCATATATGTTCTTTATCAGGAAGAAATGACAGAAGGAGGGAGCTACTTCATTTTTAAACCTCATTAGTGGTAGCCAGAGAACATTTACCACCATCTTTGGCAATGGTGAATATCTTACAGTTTAGGGAGGGAAAAGAAAGATGCTGGCCTTGTGTTTGAACGACTAACTACAGTAGGACAAGGCAGGATGATGCCATGAACCCTAACTGGGGCTGCCCATTTCTGCCTAGTAACAAACTTCTTAGCATTTGAACCAACATTCCATGGGGGGGAGGCAGACAGGCAGACAATAACACAGAACATTTTGCTGAAAGGGCTTTGTATGCGACAGATCAGATTGCACAATGGAAATGCAAAACATAAGAGAGGCATCTTAGGCTGGTTGCTATGCAAGTTGTGTTGAGCCCATCTCCCCCAAATGAAGTTCAGGACACTTTTAACGTGGAAAGTAGCAGCATACTAGTCACGTCCATCGAAACCTCATTTTCGATGCCTCTGCCTTCTCCGCAGGAGTCACGTTGGGCCCATATCCAGAATACGGCTGCGAAGAAAACATTGATGCTGGGTACCATCAAGATGGCCACTTTGAATCTCTTCCAGAGTGTAGCCAAGCAGATGAAGGAGGCTTTAATGGTGCCCGTGGAGGACACACACAAGCAGCTGGATATGGTACACGTGTCCTGAGTTCTCCACCTCTCCTCTCCAGGGTCTGGCAGTGCTTTTAGTCTATACCTGAAGGTCTCAGGGCGGTTCACAGAACAAAATCGAAATACAAAACCACAAAATACACATGGGGTTGAGTGCCCTGAGGGCATTCTTGCGTTTCTGCCCCCTGAGATGGTTGCTTGTGAGTGGGCCATTTCTGTTTGCAAGCTGAGCATAAAGTCTTCAGTCCTTCATTGTTTGAGGCCCATCAAGCCATGTTGTGACAAGGAGATACAATTGGGAGGGCTTATATCTGGTTCGTCCAGAATGTATCTGGAAATGAAACACAGTAAGCTGGAAACAGTGGTGAATTGATGGCTCTTGTGCTACAGCATGTTCTCTCTCCAGTGTAGTTTGGACATTGCTTCCCCCCACCAGCCCCATAGTCCACAGTTCTACCAAGAGTTCTATCCTCCAGACCAGCAGCCCCAATTAAATCCCAAAGTAGCTTTCTTCTCCTTTAAAAGAAGAGGAAGTAAAATCGGTTAAGGTTCAGTGGGCGAAGGACATTAGGTACAATATACAGATGACAGAATGGGAAAATTTATGGAGAAATGAACTGAAATTTATGGCTTGCTTTACTATAAAGGAAAACTTTATGAAGATGCTATACAGATGGTACATCACACCCAGCAAATTGGCTAAAATGTACAAAACCAACTCAAATTTATGCTGGAGGTGTAGAGAACTAGAGGGAACAATGTACTATATGTGGTGGGGTTGTAAAAAAAAATAAAGAGCTTTTGGGAACTTAAATACAATAAACTAAAAAAATTGTTCAAAATAACGTTTATCAAAAAACCTGAAGCCTTCCTCTTAGGCATTATGGCATCAGACATTTTGAGAGAGAAAAAGAGGATTTTTATGTACACAACAACTGCAGTGAGAATGCTGATAGCCAAGGGACGGAAAGGAGATAAAATCCCAACAAAAGAAGAGTGGCAGGTTAAACTGTTTGAATATATGGAATTAGCAAATATGACAGAGAAGATCAGGTATCCATCGACCCAAAAGTTCAAAAAGGAATGTGAGATTTATAGACAATATTTAAAAGAACATTGTCCCCACATTAAAACTTTAGATTTAATACAGGTTGAGTTTATTGAAAAATAGAGGCAAGTAATAAGGAAACAAAGAACCCACACTAAGGAGGGTGAAAGTTGGTGGGTGAAATATTTTTTGTGTTTCCATGTTGTATTGTTCTTTTTTCTTTTTATTTGTGAGTTATGTTTTGTGGTTTTTGTGTGTGTGTGTCATTTATAAACTAATAAAGACTGAAATAATAAAAATGAATAAAAATCCCAAAGTAGCCCTCAGTTCCAGCCTATGCTGTTGTGATGGCTCCCCTCTGCTTGTATTAATCGGATGTTCATCCTCTTTGTTCTCAGATCCAGCAGTTTATCCAGGACCTGTCTGACATCTGGTCAGAGGTGAAGAAGAAAGAACAAAACAGATCGCTAACAGGAATGAACAAGGAGTGACCCAGGAGGCGTCAGAAAAAGAGTATAATGTGCCCCACTTCTCTTCTCTCAGAGAACCCCCTCAGCTGTGCTTTGGTTGTCCTTTGGAACGGAAGATGCCCCATGACTGCATTTTAATCAATATCCTTCCCACCTTTTACTTTCCCTTCACTGGAAACAAAACATAGTCTTTATGGTATATAAAGAGAATATTTTAGTTAGTGGAGCCTTGGCTTCTCATCTGCCTTTGTTTCCACGTGGATAAAATGAGTCCTGTGCCACAGACCCACCGTTGGCAGCCTGTTGATGAGCTGTTTGGAACTGGGTGGCCTGCCAAACATGTGCTCTTTGCAGGAAGTATTCTACAATCCTAATGCATCTGTGGTGGATTTATACTGACCTGCCCACACATCACTCCTCTTGATGAGCTGATTTTTGCCAAAGCTATTGCCTTACTGGCGTCAGGGTTTGAACAGATGCACAATAGCACAAGGAGTGCAAGACCAGCCCCTGCCCTCCAAATATTTGCACAGGGTTTCAGCAGGAAGTCACAGGACACACACTGATTGGAAGCAAAGAAGGATGCCCACCCCGAAACCTTTTCAGGCACAAACAGTGTTGAAGGTGGGATCGTGCAAAAGTGCCCCACCCTGATACTACCATATGCACAAATTGTCATCATGAATGCACGGCACCAATGAAAGGAGATGAACTAGGCAGGCAGCACTCCCAGGAGAGAAACATGAGGCCCCCCGGTAAGCGCCGGCCCCCCGGTGTGGCGCCCAGTGTGCCCTGCCCCCCATCCCTCCTAGCCACTCCTCTGGACACTAGCCAACGAAGCCCAACCTCCTAAACATGATTAGTCTTGAAGGCTGAATTATGCTTGCCCTGGTATGTTCATTTTGAGAGGAGGGGGCTACATTCCAAAATTAAGATAGAGTGGTACCTCGGGTTAAGTACTTAATTCGTTCCGGAGGTCCGTTCTTAACCTGAAACTGTTCTTAACCTGAAGCACCACTTTAGCTAGTGGGGCCTCCTGCTGCCACCGCGCCGCCAGAGCACGATTTCTGTTCTCATCCTGAAGCAAAGTTCTTAACCTGAAGCACTATTTCTGGGTTAGCGGAATCTGTAACCTGAAGCGTATGTAACCCGAGGTACCACTGTATGAGAATTTAAGGGCGTCAGGCTAGGTAAGTTCACCCAGATGTTCCAAAGGCCTGAAGAATCTCTGTCTCTTCTGGAGGCAGAAGGAATGCCAAGCAGTTGCTTAAGTAAGGTGCTTGTATTACATCTACTGTAGATATGAACTTCACGAATAAACTCCTTGGCCAGCAGCAATGGAGAAGAAAATGATCCCTGGAGCCAGGAGCTCTTTATAGCGCTGGGGTGGCTGTCGATCGTCCCTGGGAAGCAGAGCTACTGCGGCTTGCTGAGCTCTCTGTGCTGCAACAGGCAGCTGATTGTTGCACAGGAACAGACAGCCAAGCGCAGAGCTGCCACGCTCGCCTCCCTGTCGCTAGAATGACAATTAGCATTCCGCACTCGGGAGTCTTCCATTCAGCAAAGAGCGCGACGGTGATTAGAGCGAGAGCAGCGCAGATCCCGGAAGCGCATCCCGTCCATTCAGCAGGCGGCAGCAAAGGAGCTGAGCCTCAGACAGCAGCCATTGCCGAGAGTGCCCCGGTGCTGGCGTCATCGCTTGGCTCTGCAGTGCAGTCAGGTGGAGCTGATGACGCAAATGCAACCGGGATGAGTTGGGAGCGGGGGAAATGTCTCGTCTTGGGAGGCCACGATGACTCATCCTGCCAGGGGGCTGAGGTGCCCCCACACACTTTGCGGCATGTTTAGGGAGTGCGGCGGGGGGGCGGGACCCAGTGGGTTCTGACCCTGGAACCCGAAGGAAGAAACTGAAAGAAGAAAGGGGACCTCGGAGAAAAATGGATTAATACCTCCCACTCCTACGGAGTTCTAAAAGTGCGGAGTGGCATGTTCACTTACCAGAGAGGATTTGGACTTCTCAACAGACATTAGGTCTGAGCATCAGTACGGACACAGGTCAGCGCCACTGATCACCTGCTTTTCATGCAGGAAGTCTCAGGTTCATTCTCTGACATCTCCAGATATGAGTGTCCTCTGCCTGAAACCCTGGATAGTCGCTGGCAGTCTGCAGAAAGTACAGTGGTACCTCAGGTTACAGACGCTTCAGGTTACAGACACCACTAACCCAGAAATAGTACCTCGGGTTAAGAACTTTGTTTCAGGATGAGAACAGAAATTGCACGGCGGCAGCAGGAGGCCCCATTAGCTAAAGTGGTACCTCAGGTTAAGAACAGTTTCAGGTTAAGAACGGATCTCCAGAACGAATTAAGTTCTTAACCCGAGGTACTACTGTACTGTACTGTACTGCACTGCACTAAATGAAGTGGCTTCCTATTTTCTTAACATCCTATGTTACCAGCATTATAACATCACCATCCCAGGCATTTTGTTTCTCAGCATCTAGCTAATATTGAACCCCTTTGCGTGACAATTCCTTTGGGCATGCCCACGTTATAAACTGACCCACTATCTTATACTAATTGCACTGTCACAGCTTCCTCAAAGGAATCGTGGGAATTGTAGCTTGTTGGAGGTGCCGAGGTTTCCCTCTGACAGCACACATGCACACAGACTCTTCACAGAACTGCCCTTTCCCAGGGAATGGCTGTTGAAAAAGCTGAAGTGTGGAGTGTATAGATAAACCCCAAATCACTTTTGTGATCGTTGGCTCAGCAGGGGTAACGAAAGTCAAAAGGACAGCAAAAATGCAGCTCCACGTTTGCATGTTGGAAGTTGGACAGCTTTACTTCTTAAAAACACTGCTTTCGCCCTTACAAATCTGAGATCCAAAGGAGATCTGACTTGATATGGCTTCCATTCAGTTTCCAAATGAAAGGCATTGTCAAGACAGTTTGAACTAAAAGGACGGACAACATTGCCCCTCTCTCAAAGGCAGCCTGGAAGAGGGTGTGACCTGCTACAGCACACTTGTACACAGCTTAAGCATGCTTCTAAACTGGAGCAAACAAGATTTCACTGCAACAACCGATACAATTATCTGCATAAAGGCTGAAAATAGGACAAGTTATGAGTTTTCATTTAATTGTGGTGCAACATGAACTGTTAAGAAAATGAGGAAATTAGTCAGTTGTTGATTAACGTCCTGCAGTGGTGATGGCAACACAGTGTGACATGAATTAGGGCTGGATCCTTCATGTAAATCTAGGGCAATTCTGCTGTAAATCATTGGCTTCATCTTAAACAGAGAAAGGCTCATTCACACTAGATGAAAATCTCTCTGTTGGAAACCAATGAGAGAGGCATAGCTATTGGTTTAGACAGAGTGTATCATACATCATCAGCTTGAATGAAATAAGTGGTCTTTTCCAGCTAAAAATGTTAACACCAGGATCATGCAGTGAACTTGAAAGCCATTGCAAAGCAATTAATAATGTCAGTATCACAACCAGTTGTGAGCCAAAAATCTAACAACTTAAGTGTCTTTAAGGGGTGAATTTGTTCGATCTGATGGACATAGAGAATAGTTGGTTTTCTCTTTAGAGATACTAAAACTGTTCAGTTAGCAGCATGAGAGCAAGGTTTGGGCTCAGTTAATGAAGCTCATGGAAAGTCATGCTGAGACCTGAAATTTGTTAAGCACCAGCAACAATTGCTAACGATTTATGCTAAAATGAAATGTGCCAAGGAATATTTATAGGATATGTACCTCCCAGAAAGTGTACACTCAGGTTGGTGCATGAGAAATATCTTCAGTGGAAATAATTAGAATCCCATAAGGATAGATTATATAGTGAAAACACTGGGCATTACCCAGTGAGCAGAGGGAGCAATCAGGGCAATTGGACAGCCAAAGTTAAGTGGGTGAGGGCTTGCCCACTGCCTGGATGGGAGAATGCTGGAAGCCCCATGTAAGACACTCTGAGGGCCTTTCAAAGGATGAACTGAGTAGAAGTAAAATGGATTTTAAAGAGAGCAATATCTAAGTGTACAGAACAGCAAAGGTCCACATTGAAATGCCATAATGCCCACTACATGCAATGTGCTTTCAGATGGTGATGGACCTGAAGACTAAGGATGGGAGGATTTCAGTTCAAGTCATGTTTTAATATAAATCTACTTAATTCACACTTCCTGAAACAGTAAGTGAACCGATCTGCAGCTGTCCTTCAAAATTCACACTTGTCTGATTTTTTCAATACAGTTGTCCCACCAAAGAAAGTTTACTAAAATGTGTATATTCTGGAAGAGTGTGCATAAAAAAGCACATGCCAGTGCAGGTATCACACAATAATGCATTATATAGGGAAAACATATATGCAAAATAGATAACACTGCATACCTAAATGTGCTTGTTAAGAGAAACATGTGCTTAAATGCTGAGAAATTTTCATGAGGACTTTAAAAAAGAAACCAATGAGGAAATGCAATGAACCAGATTTAAAACTGGAAAAATGAGAAACAGAAAGAAATAGAAACAGACAAATTTGCCCATCCTTACCCAACTTTCCCAACCAAAGAGCTGTATTCCCATGTGGGTAACCTGAGCCATGCTTCCTTGGGGCTGATGTGAGTTGTAACTCAGCAGCATCTGAAGGGCCAAAGGTCCTCACATCTGCTCTACAAGTGCTGCTGTACTACCTTCTCACCTGTACAGGAGGATTGGTCCAACCATTTGAGCCCTAACCTGGGCCTGATGGCAGAAAGGAAAACATGGCAGTCCCTGCTGTGCCATTAATTCCTCATAGGAAAGGGCAAATATGCTAAACAACACTCATTATCTTTCTGTTGAAAGCCCATCAGTCCTACATTCAAAAGACAGTTGCTCTATGTGCAAGAGGGTGACTCCATAAGCAGTGCAGTTAAGTAACCTCAGACTTAATAGTCTTCCCCTCACTCTACTGCCCCAAAGTTCTTCCCTGGCAGCACCGCTGCTAGCACAAGTAAGGCAGAAAGAAGTCGCTCTGTGACGACTCATTATGAGTGAATAAGCCATTTATTCATTTGGTTTGGCCAGTCTTTAGCTGGGTCCTGGGTCCTTTTGGACTGTGAAACTGTGCTAGAGATTCTGCTTGTAGAGTTTCGATCGCAGCAGGCAAAATAAAGTTGATGCTCTCATCCCCCAGAATGCCAAGAGAAAAAGTATTGCTCTCTTATCTCTCCCTTG